TGGCAATTATAATTATCTTACTAGTGACATCTCTAGTAAGATAATTATAATCCCATACGATCCCACTGTAACTTCTTAATGCTTGAACAAATCTTACTAATATTATAAAGGCGAGTTTGTTTGGATGTATATTAAGTTAATATATATATATATATATATATATATATACATAGGATACTTTTATAACGAAAAAATAGTGTTCCCATAGGATGAGCAAAGTACCACCAACCGCGGGTAACACCGCTGGGTGCAGCTAATTTGAACTTAAAGGGCATTAGAAAAACAAAAAATACGAGCTCATGTCTTTCCTTTGTTTTTTTGTGTTATTGTTATTGTAATACTAAATAATAATATATTTTTGTATAATTTCAGGAAAAAGTAGAGTGCCGTTAAATTCTAAAACTCGGCGCTATATAAGGCAATGCACTAAAATTGCTTCAAATACTCAATGTGCACAGAAACAAGAAGAAAATTTGGCGCTTCTATCAAACTTCGAAAAATTGGACAAGAAAGCCAAAGCATTCTTGTTCATGCAATTAAAACTTGCAACGAGAAACAAAATGGCGAGAAGGTTTACGTTAGAAGATAAGTTATTTGGCTTGGCTCTAATGAAGCAAAGTCCGAAAGGATACAAATTATTAGAGAAGATGTTTGCCTTGCCAAATAAGAGGACACTTGCTCGTCTCTCAAATAAAATTACTTTCGAATGTGGAATGAATAAAAATATTTTTGATTATATCAAAGCAACTGTGCAAAACTGGGATATAAAGAAAAGACTTTGCTCTGTAGTATTTGATGAGGTGGCTCTAACACCTCATCTCACATACGATGAAAGCAGAGATAAAATCATTGGATTTGTAGAGATAGCAGGAGAGAGAATCCCAAAACTCGCAGACCATGCACTGGTGGTGATGATCAGAGGCATATGCTCTTCGTGGCGACAAAGTGTAGCATATTATTTTTGTGAAGGAACAATTTCTTCAACAAAATTGATAAGCATTTTAAATGCCATAATACCTATGCTGTCAGCAACTGGTCTCAAGCCATTGGCGCTGATTTGCGATCAAGGCTCTACATTCCGGTCCTGCTTTAAAATGCTAACAGATGCAACTGCTAGACTTTATAGCAGTCAAGGAAGAGAAAATGGTAAGACTTCTTCTCTAAATACTAATATAATGGGGCTGAAAAGTTTGTTTGTTTGTTTGAATGCGTAAATCTATACCTCCGATTTTAGAAAAAAAATTACACTTTACAGACCATTTATTAAGGCTTTAATTTTAATACCATCCATTAGTTTTTAAATTATTCAGTAAGAAATCGGATTCTGTTATGTTTGGCAGCCTATATCAAAATAGCTATTTGTATAATGACTTATTATCGACGCTGAGCCATATTACATTTTATAGTTTAAGTGTAAATGTTTCTCTGAAATGTTTTCAGATTATTTTGCCTTTATTTTTCAGTTAGAAATGAAATGTTAAAACATTTCTGGTTTTTTATTATGTACCTATATGGCAAAACAGTCTAAAATATTATTTCTAAATCTTGTTTCAGATGGAAGAATTCGTATAGCAGGACAAGACTTATTTTTGTTACACGACCCTCCACATCTTCTAAAAAGTATCCGGAATAACTTTTTAACAAAAGATATTCTGTTTGAGCAAAAACGAGCATCATGGGAGGATATTTTATATATTTATGACTTGGACAGCAAGTCGGGTCACACAAGAGCGTTACCCAAGATAACTTCTCATCATGTTGCACCAAAAAATAAAATGAAAGTGAAAACAGCCACCCAAGTGCTCAGTGCACGTACAGCTGCATTGCTTAATTATACCGATGCTCTTCGTAAGTAGTATCTTCTATATCATCATTTTTATTTAAAAAAATAACAATTTTTTTAATTTGTGTACAATACCGATTTATAAAAATTAGTTTTTCTATATTTTAATTCTGTCATATATTTTATGTCTTGAAATTTAAAAACTAATTGTAATTTAACAACATAAAGTTTCTGAAAAGGTATTATATCTCAGAGTAATCATAATAATATTTCAGATAAGCGGCTCAACAATCCATTACCAACAATGGAAGCTACTGCAGCAGTGGTCACATTTTTTGATGACCTGTTTGACAGTGTCAACGGATCTCCAGGTGGAACTAAAGGCAAATTACGCTGTGCCGTCAAGCCCACTTCACCACATAAAGCATTTTGGCAAAAATCCATTACAATATTAAAAAATATAAAATATATTGACACCAAGAGTAAATTGGCAATACAGGCTGGTAAACCTAGATATGTGCGCGTACCATCCCTAGAAGGATGGATAATTACATTGAAGAGTTTTCTTGGATTAACAAAATTATTATTCTCTGAATATGGGGTAGAATACTTTTATCCCAGGTTTTTAAACCAGGATCCCCTGGAAAATTTCTTTGGTCGCATAAGAGCCATGAATTATCGGAATAACAATCCCGATGCTAATACATTCATGTTCTCATTCAAATCGCTCGTCATATCAAATATATTAAGCCCTCACTCAAAATTTTCAAATTGTGAAGAAGATGATGGCGACACACTGATAGATTTAAATTATCTTTTTAAGTCCCAAAATGAAAATCAGGACAATATTTCATTAGTCGACCCTTTATTTGCACCATCATCTTCAAAGTGGCCTTTGGAGTCAGAGGCCACTGAATTAGATAAAACTGTACATGAGAAAGTGAGGGTTCAAATATCGGCTTATACCGCTGGATACATATGTCGAAAAATATCGAAAAAATTTAATTGTAATGCATGTGCAAAAACGTATATTTCTAAAGAAATCCAGGGTATTCATTTATATATAAGTTATAGAGAATACAAAAGACTACAAAATAATAATTTGGCCTATCCAAATGAGAAAATTCTTCGACTATATAGAGAAAATTCGCAATCAATACACAATTACCTTAACGAACATGGGTATAAAAATCACATTAAAAAAAAAATTATACATAATATCAATAAATGTGACATATCTTGGTTAGGTTGTGAAATCCATTCTTTAGATGTCATAAACTTTTATGCATCATTAGTCAACCGCCTGCAATGCCACAATTGGTGCAATATAGCCAATAAGATTTTAAATGGAAAAATCGAAGAAAAGTACGTTATGAAAATGCCAAATATGCAGCAACAATTGCTGAAAAAATTTAAAAGCCATAGAATAAAACGAAAAATACTCAAATAAATTTTAATTAAATGTGTTGTTTTATTTATATTCATAAATGAAAATAATATTAAAAAACCATAGGTAAGAATCCTGTACAATCTGGCCGGCTAAGCCACATCACTAATTTTTATCGATATCGGTATTTTGAATGTGCTTTAAGCACTACGGTCCTTTATTTGTGTGCCATACATGAAATGTCATTTTGTTACGTATTTTATGCGACTACAGCGCCAAGACTATTGAACAAGGAACTAAGCAAATTGTGCTGTCACATCTGTAGCTTGCTACATTATACTAATCTGTGCCCCTGATCACCACACGAAGATATGCACTGCGGTCTAAAATAAATGAATGAGTGTTTTTTAAGATGTAGACCTATCGTTCTTTTTTTATTGCTACAATCAATAATTATTTTTGCTATAAATCCAAATGTGCTATATATATAGGTGGGCAGAGAGCTTAAACCAATTGGGTTAGAATGGATTTAAACAGGGTTTTTGGGAAGAAACGAAATAAAAACCCTAAAGGCGGGTTTTTAGCTATTATCACCCTAAAAACTACTAATGAAACCTTTTTGGTTTTTTCGAGCACGATATCACTTCGGGACATAAAATGTGACAGTTAACTAATTCTAAATAAATCACGTACATAGTAACTTATAGAAGATGTATTTTTGTTGGAAGGATGTCACCTGTTTCAAAATTTTTTGTGGTTTTTGATTTCTAACAATGATTCAGTCGCTCTCATAATTAGTACAACACACAATTAGCGTACTCCTTTTGTTGCTATGCATTGAAGTGATGTATCGACCTCACCCCCATTAATGTCAATTCTAACCGGTGAACTTCCCTGAGGAGTTGTCTCACTGACCTGTTCATCGGTGTTTATGCACTCATTTAATGTATTTTTATATACTATGTTCCAATTATATGAAATAAACGTTATTTTCATAGCTATTTCTGCAGTAAAAAGATTCCGTTTTACATAATGTATGTGAGCTTCAGTGCTAGATGTGCGTTCTGTGGCTTCAGATATATAGGGTGCCGTCAAAATTTTAAATACCACTTTACCCAATTTTGTAGAACTGCAAAAACCTTTCCACCAAACAACTGGTTGAATTTCTCCAAGGCACAAGGCACAAATTGTTTACACCAAAAGCAAACCTTTTCTTCATTATCCGTCCGGTATAGCCAGTTTCGGGTAACAAAAACAATATGTATAACAGTGAATTCATTGTAATTAATATTTATCTCTATTAAAACAGTAAAATCAATAAACAACCGAATTAAACCCTGTGGGCGGGCATAAATTTGTTTAAACCCACTGAAAGATTTAAACCTGATCTTTTGCCCATCTCTAGCTATTTTTCATTTTTTCCGAATAACTTGATATTATAGATATTTTTTAAGCTAGTAGCACTTGGTTTAAATTGTGCTAAACTATCTTTATACAACTTAGCAGATAATATAATTATTGTGTAATGTAATAGAATGTAATAGTGAGAACTAATTTAATTATTATCTATGGCATATCTATGGTCATACACGCGCTGGAAGTTCCTCCTTGTCATATCAGCAGTTTAATAAATTGTATAAATAAAATAATAAGCATTACGAATAACTAATAACCATTTGATTTTTTGTAAAAGTAGCAATTACCTAAGGCGTTCGTAAAACGTCCGCGCTTATGTTAAATAGTTACGGATTAAGTTAAAAACTGAGAAGTGTAGTGCGTTTAATTATAAAAATATTTGACTTTAAGGTACTATCAATTTTATTGTAAAATATGACTACTGCAGCTAGACCCACATTTGATCCAGCGAGAGGAGGCCAAGGGCGCGGCGAAAAAGATTTAAGTGCCATATCTCGTCAATATTCAAGTAGGGATCTTCCAGGTCATACCAAGTTAAAGTACAGGTAAGCTAGGCTACGAGGAAAGCCTACTCATTTAATACAAAACCAGGCCCATACAGCTCTTTTTGCTTAGTATATATTTGAAAACAAAATGCAACATGTAAATATCATGAATTGTTGTCATAAATTCTGTTGTGTTTTGAAATTGTATATATGAGTGTAGACAAAACTAATCATTACCTATGTTAAAATTGGATCAGCGTCTTATGCTGCCTACATGTTTCTGATAAATATACTACATTATATACATTTCATATACATTTTGAATGTGGTCTAAAATTTTTATAGTCTATTTTAAGTATAAATTATACCAAACCTGCAGCAGTTAAGTTACTAGACTACTACCTTAAAAATATAATTGAGCTTTTGTCATCATCAACAGCCTATAATAGTCCACTGCTGGACATAAGCCTGTCCTTATGTCCTACTAGGAGGTGATGGCCTACTATACCATGCTTAGTTGGTTTAGGGTTTGTTTCAAGTTTTCCTTCTCTTTGTAGTCCTGCAGACTTTGCTACCTTAGTCTGCTCTCATGACACCCACAGGATGAAAAACGGTGGTGACATTCTATATTTTTAATCCATCACATGTGGTGACCTTTCATCACCTTATTTTTTTTATCATGGTTATCTAATGATCATTAGACCGTGATTCATGTAAAAGCGGAAATATAATCCAGGGCTCACCTGAAGTAGATAAGCATTTTAAAATTAATTTGTGAATGAGAAAATAGTTAAATTTTACAAGTATTAAGTGGTTCACCATATGGATAATTATAAAATGAAACACTGAGCAAACTTTATATTATTACTTCCACTTTTTAACAAAAACTGTTACTAAAACATTGTAGTTACACTTGAATCTAGTGGTAATTCCTTTTTTTGTAAAATAATTAAAGGCTAATAATTAAGGCTAATTAGTTTTTACGTTAGTTTAAAACGTCAGTAGAGCAGCTTGACTTACACAAATAGAATAAAATCTCCTGCTGCAGCTCTGAAGTCTATCAGAGCCTAAAATAATTAATCAAAGATACTTTGTGCTCCTCACAGATAAACAGAGCAACTGCAAAATATTTTTTCATTTTATGTATACTTTGGACTTTATATGTAATACAATAATAGACATATTTATTAACAGGGAGCAAGGCCAGGGTACTACAGAAGAGTTGCGTTCAAGAGATTTCAGAAAAGAGCTAGATGAAAGAGAAAAAGAAGGTTCTAAAACTTCAAATGCAAGGAGGCAGGCTGAGCCAACAGCAAAAAGGCCCAAGATAGATCAAGTACCTGCTGCCAGTTTAGATGCTGATGATCCACTTGAAGGAGATTCATCAGATTCATCAGATTCTGACGATGATACTGCAGCCCTATTAGCTGAATTGAATAAAATAAGAAAAGAGAGGGCAATAGACCAGGCTAAGAAGGTAAAGTTAGAGGCTTAAGGAAATTTGTGTCTTTTCAATATGATATCTGAATAATACTTTAATATAGTTAATATCTTAAATTTACTTTTAGGAAGCGGAACGAAAGCAAGAAGAAGAAAGAATTCGAATGGAGAATATTTTATCGGGAAATCCCTTATTAAATTACTCAGCAGCTGGACAGAAAAATGATTTAAAGGTAAAAATTGCATTTTATTTTCCTATTACAGTTCATTTGTTACTCTTCCATTCTTATCATATTGTATTCCTTATAGGTAAAGCGGAGATGGGACGACGACGTCGTTTTCAAGAATTGCGCTCGTTCAGAACCTGAGAAAAAGTCAAATACATTCATCAATGATTCTTTAAGGTCTGAATTCCACAAGAAGTTTATGGAAAAATATGTAAAGTAAAATATGTTGAATATGTAAAATACTTAATACATTTCTAATAATATTGTCTGTTATTATTTCGTTTAATTAGTAATGTGTGAATATGTCAGGCTGTCACTTAGACAAGATTAAGTTGTTGGATGGTCATGGATTAAAACAACATTTTTTATTGTTGTGATATTGCTTCATATTGTATAATTTCACCTTGCCTCGCAGCCCGTGGCTAAGGATATATGAATAGTATAAATGATTTTGCTTATAAGTTATATTTGTATGACGTTATGCCAGTAAAATTCTGAGGGTTTAAAAATAAGTTTTTTTTATTTTTATTTAACATCGTGTTTCAAGCTCCTTCAAAACTAATTACGCTACCACAAGACCAATTCTCGTAATAAAAATTCGCTTACAATTCAGTTCCGATCAACTCTCGATCTCACAAATGTCATAAAAGGTATTCTCGTAGTAAAGTATCAAATATCCAACTAGGATTGTAATATGATTATATCGTATTGCGACCAAAAATTGAATCAGTAATCTGATGGTCTTAGTAATATTTTACAATTTCCTAAGAAAATACGTGACCGAATATTTATTAGTAGGATTGGCCTTTTGATTTTGTGCGTACTATTTCATTCTCGTCGCTTTCTTATTCACTGGGAACTCAGTGAATATGTCCTCACAATACCTCAATTAGTATTAACACTGAAAAATACTGACGCCTACAGAGCTGTTCGAGTCAGTACCCAAGCATTTCCGATACTGGCGTTGATCTTGCATACAAACACCGCATGTAGGTACTAGTCATCTCGGTTACGACTAAACAAATCTAGATTAGGCATAAAGATAGGCCAGTATACAATATGGCAAATTATGCAAAATTATTAATTCCTCTGCATTAACAAACAGTGAATGTCGTAAGAGTCGACTAAGGGAACAAACTGCACAGGACAACAGCACTGCAAAAAGAAGGAAAACTTGAAACAAATCCTATACCAACCCGTCTGGCCAGCGTGGTATAGTAGGCCAAAACCTCTTTTCTAAGGAGAGGGCTATGTCCAGAAGTGGACTATTGTAGGCTGTTGATGATGATGATGAACAAACAGTAATACTTATCTTCGCAGACAAGACCAGTTTTCCGTCTTCCGTTGTACCTATACACTGCAGCCGGGTGCATCTTTCATGTGTGTATTCTGAAGATGAGTTCATAAATACTTGTGACGAACTTTAGTTAAGTCCTGGGCCTCAATTCTGCTATTTACGCCAAGTCAGTGTCATACCACTGACATGCTACTGAGATGCCATCGAGTGGCCATTGGCATCGGTATAAATACGGTAGTTGAAAATATATTACGTTTTTTGAGGAAATTATTTATTTATTTTTATTCTATAATAAATTATTAAAAGAAATAAATAAATTAAATTATTATTAAAAAAATAAAAGTAAAATATAATAAGCCCTGGAGAACAAAAGTGTTCTTTGTAAAGACAGGATGCAGCGCGGGAAATGTTCTGGTGGCGAGACCGATGAGATGCTTTGAATGCCTGGCCGCGGGACACACTCGCATCAAGTGCGATAGCTGTTTCGACTGCAGTGGACTATGTTTCCGCTGCGGTCGACCGGGGCATCAGGCGACCGAGTGTTCTGTGCGGCGGATTCCAGCGTGTGCGGCAGGTAACAAGCCCTCCAATCATCAGATGGGGCAGAAGGGATGCAATCACATCATCATCACATCAACAGCCTATAATAGTCCACAACTTTACATAGGCCTCTCCTTAGAAAGGAGGTTTTGGCCTACTATAACACGCTGGCCAGACGGGTTGGTACAGGGTTTGTGTCAAGTTTTCCTTCTCTTTGCAGTACCGTTGTCCTGCGTAGTTTGATCCCTTAGTCGCCTCCGTCCTTAGTTTTCCGCGGTGGGCTGTTGCCAAACTGAACAGGGACCTACTAGAGCAGCCATCATCTACTCATGGTTGATGATGATGATAACACAGATCTGCGATGCCGTCATGCTCCTCATCCGAGGTCGTCGACCTCCAAGGAAGGAGGTCTACTGGTGGTCCCAAGAGTTGGCGGACCTCCGCGTGGCCTGTACCCGTGCCTGGAGGTGCAGGACCCGCAGTCGGCGGCGTCACCGTGGATAAGGTGAGGAGGATCATCTTCACGAGAAATACCGAGAGGCGCGGAAAACTCTGAAGCTGGCTATTAGCCGCGCCAAATCACATAAAGCACATAAAAACATTTAGTACTAACTTTTAGGACTCTGGTTAATGAATTTACGAATAATTCAAGGGCAGTGTTTGGGTTTTTAGATTCATAAATGGTGGAAAAATTATATTTTTTATCTGTTCTTCAAGTATTTTGTAGTCGATTTTGGCTCTTGGAGTATTTTTAATTTATCCAAAGTGAGTAATACTGCGTTATGATCAGTAACGGTGGAATCGAGGACTATAGTCGCAGCTTTAAGTTTACTCTTGAGTAAGACGTGATCGAGAGAAGTATTCCCATGCGTGACTAAATTGTGCGCAGGTAGAAGACCATGACAAGCAGCAAGATTAAGATAATCTGGAGCTTTAGGATCCTTAGTGCTATGAGCAATATCTATATTGATATCGCCTATCACAATTATATTGTCATAAGAACAATTTGATGTCAGTACTTGATCTAGAGCGGCCAAAAAAGTTGTAGTATCTTTAAAAGAGGGGGACCTATATAGTGCAAGTATACAGGTCTGATTTCCCATTTTTATTAGGATGCAACAAGCATCTGGGAAATCTGGTTCCGTTACAGTAATATTAGAGAGGCTACTTTTGACATATACTACGACCCCATCATTTTTTTTAATCGCTTAGCATTACAATAGGAGTTATATCCATCTAATGGAGGGATGTTTGGGTTGCAAGATAGCCAGCATTCCGTGAGAATAATGATGTTGAGTGAAACAGACATCCTAGATAGCAGAGTTAAGAAAGTAGGCATATTTGCTGATATACTTCTTATATTTTGCGTATTTGAAAAGAATCCATTGCCACCGTGGTTTTACAATTTTCAGGCTCTCTTCTATAGGAATCAGATTTCTTAAAACTATCTAAATTATTTAAATGACTAATATTAAGCGTATCGAATGTGACCATTTAAAACTAGTGGGCCTTTACAGTAGTACTGTGGTTGCTTTGAACAAGAACTTGCTGTGATATGTAAAATAATATTAAATGTTTGTGTGTTGTGTGCGTGATAACGATGACTTGATGTGTGTCTGTGTACGTTGTGAGTATGTGCAGTTACTAAAAAATTGTGTTGTGTAGTTAGCTAATTGCGACGTAAGTATGATGTATGTAATGCAATGTACATAGCAAGAGGGTTAAACAAAAATTAAAATAAATCTAAGTATTACAATGTAAATTCTCACACTATAAAGTCACTTCTTTTTCACAAGTTTGCTAAGATCAGATTCTTTTTGAATTCGAACTGGTGGTTCTCCTTCAGCTTTACGTAAATAAACTAAGCCTCTTGAATTCCAGCAATAAGAGTAACCGATGTCTTGGGCAAACTGTCTGGCTAAATAATATATTTTCTGAGCTCTAAATATCAGTGCCTCCGATACATACACAGGCCTAGGAGGCCCCAGAAGTTTGAGATTGCCGGTATTCAATTTATCTTCGTTAGCCTTTTTCTTGTTTAGATTTTTGACTCCTTGCAATATCTTTTCCTTTTTCAAGACGCTATTGAGTTCAACCATGATAGGCTTTATGTTTTCTTTATTAGTGGTTATACCGTAAACATCTCTAATATCAGAGTCTTGTAGCTCAACCTCTACAGCTTTAACCAATGATTTAATAATGCCTCCGATTTCTTCTTTAGTCTCAATTTTTTTGTTATCATATAAGACGGCGGGAACGTTACGTATTTCTAGGCTGGTCGATTTATTTTTTACGTTCAAGAGTTTCTACTTTTTCTTCCAATTTTAGAATCAGTTTTTTGTCTCGTTCCTTTTCTTCTTCTAGATTTGTAAGAGATTTAAGAACCGAATCATATTTGTCTGACATCATTTGCAGGCTGTCTTTTAATTCAGCATTTTGTTTCTTCAGATCTTTAAAATTTTGAGTAACAGTAGCCCATACTGTCGTAAATAATCTTGTCATTTCAGCTTTTAATTGACCGTAATCATCGTCTAGTTCACGTCTCGGACGTACACTAATATTGCTGTTACCACTCTGTTCAGAAGGAGTATCTGAGTCATGCGGTTGGGCAACATATTTAACGGTTCCGTCGTCAGTGCCTTTGTGTCCGGGTGCTAATGTGCTAGGTTCAGGCGCGACTGGCGTTGAAGGTGGCGAGTGACTAAGGGGCATTGTGTTTATTTTATTTACTTCAATCCAGTAGCAACAAAGTGTGCACTGATTGTATTCCTGTATCAATGATCTGTTACAATTTTATATATGTAAGGTAATAGAATTATTTTAAACTGCATGTAAATATTCTAAACTGCACACGAATCGCACACTAATAAAGGCCCGTAGTTAAGAGTCGGCAATGTGCAGATGGTAACCTCGCGAGAAGAAAGTCATAAGCGCCGGGCTATGCGTGGCACTTACGCGTTATCTCGGACTGCACTGTTGATTTATTAACGGCGGTACTTGGAGAAGATTTTTAAATTTGTAGTTTAGATTTCTAGGAAATTCCGCACTGATACACTATTGTCTTTGTGTAGGATTGCAATTCTATATTTTAATCACAGAATTCTGTAAACTTAACGACACTCCCGAACAGATTATCGCGTATTTTAAATATTCTTACACGGAGTAACAACAAAAGATGTTTCACCGAACAGTATTACCGCCTTCGGGCCAGATGGGATACCTGCTCGAGTACTGGCCCTAACCCTCGACCGACCATATGTCAGACCGCCTCAAGGAGGTGTTCGACGCTAGTTTGGTATCCGGACGTTTTCCTGAGTGCTGGAAGAGCGGGGCCTGTCGAGGAAGCCGGGACGGCCTGAAGATTCGGTCGCGGCCTACATGCCCATCGTGTTGCTGGACGAGTCGGGTAAATTATTTGAGAGGGTTCTCTCTGCCCGCATCAACCGGCACCTCTCCGAAGTGGGCCCTGATCAATTTGGATTTCGTGTTGCATTTTTCGTGTTGCGCCTCAGGACCGTGACTGAAGAGGGAGACGGAGACCGTGGCCCCGTTGTGGTCCACCCCCTGGCGCCTCAATCGTGGTCAACTCGGTCCTTGTAGCGGTTCAGGTCCAGATGAAGTCTGATCCTAGACGAGAGGTTGCTCTTAGATGAGCATTTCCGACAGCTTGGACCCAGCGTCGCGACAAGACGACTGTACACGGGGGTTGTCCGGTTAATGTCACTGTACGGTGCACCGGTGTGCAAAAAAAAAACTATACAATTCAAATACAACGAAACATAAACAAATTAAAACAAACAAAATACGAAATACACAAAAAAATAATAATTAAATGTCCATCACTTTCAAACTTAACAACAAAGATGTCTACGTAAATGTGGGAGTGAGCAACATCAATCCCAAGCAAATTTATAGTATAAATAATCTGTAATAGTGTAGTAAGCCTTTTCACACAGTTTTACCTTTACTAAAGACGAAAATGTGAATGATTTCTACCCGTCGCGTGGTGAGACTGTGGAAAGGATAGATGGGCAGTTACATTTCTTATTGACACTGTAGGTCGCGAGCAACGGATGTTTATAGAACCATCTTACCCCGAATATCAGGATATGGACGTTCTGATCGAAAAAATGCTATTTGGCGTGAAATGGAGACGATTAATTGAATAAAGTTATTTATGTAACTCAGTTATTACTTATTGCCTTAGAATAATAGCAGTTGCCTATTCAATAACAATGTATACTCTTAGTTAAGAATCTCTTAACGATGTACTGTACTGTGTAATAATGTATCAATATCATTTTGAGAGATAATAAAAATACACACATCAAAAAAGTCTAAGCAACACGCATCATTTACATAAACTGCATGTTATTTTATTTTTTTCTTAGCAAAGTAGATTGTCGCTGATTTAAAAAATAGGAACTCTTCGGTTGTGTTTTGTTTTCATTAAAATAAAAGCTAATTATGTTTGCCCGATTTCATGTGTTTTCGTTGAACGCAATGAAAATCTTTGCAGACAAATTTTAAATAACCATAATAAAAGGTGTGACCGCCTCACACTTTGTATTGAATTAAAACTAATAAAAAAAGACGTTATTTAATTTTGTAAAACGTGCAAAGTTTAATTCTTTTTAATATTATTTAATACAAAGTAAGTACGTATCTTACGGTAGACATATTGTTAATTAATGTGATTAAATGAACAATCGAATGAAGGATTTTGTTGCTTTAGTCACTAATGCATCAAAGAATGCTAATTTATTATTTATAAAAAAAATATATAAATATATTTCAGTAGTAAAAATTTTAAAAAGTTCAAAACCGTATAATCATGTGACTGAGACTTTTTTGATGTGACATACAGTGGAACATAGAACCTCTTCCTTTTTGAAAAGGGTTAAAAACTATCTATTAGAGTGCAAATAAGTACATTGTTCTCATGTATCGTGTAAGTTTGAGCATCTGCGCTATATCAATTAGTCTGAACATAAGTATATAAATGCAGTTGAGCTGACTGGACTTGTCCGGCTCGTTGTTTAGTGTTTACGTTATTAAAACGAATGATGTGTGTTAGGCGTAAGAGGGGAGGAATGTGGCGAGTGCGGCGCCGGCGGAGGCAGCCCACCTTGAGTGGGCAGGTTCACCGGCTGATCTCGCTGCGCGCCTCAGCCGCTCAGTTCGCGCTAGTCGAGTGAGCGCTTCGACGGCGATATGGCTGGTCAGAAGGCGGCTTGGTTTTGTGCGTGTTTTATATTGTTTACTGTAGCCGAGGCAGTTCTCTCTGGATTATACATCGATAATGGGGTTGATCAAACTGTTATTCATCATTCTATGACTCCACACGAGAGGATGGTGGTAGAGCATGAAATATTGGAGTTGTTAGGTCTCGGAGAGAGGCCGAGACGATCTCGCGCACCAACGCTTGATCGCTCAGCGCCTAGCTTCTTGTTGGATGTTTACAAACAACTCGCTGAAGAACACGAGCAAGCTCGACCGACTCGAAGCTCTGAAATGGCGCTTAGCGGCGATGAACAACATGCTATTGACGAGAGCGACCTCATCATGACCTTTCAAAGCAAAAGTGAGTATAATTAGTATTTATTTAACAAGATGATTCCTCTTTAAATGCATTAAGTTTACTGTATAAAACCATTTTTTAAGAGTACTGTTAAGTTATTGTTCTTATAACATATCTTCAGACTTATTAATTCATATTTATTTATCACTTATCAAACAACAATTTAATCTTTTTATATTTCAATCGTATAGAATACAGTTTGACGTTTTTCATAACTGATACTTGGCTGATGGCTCTACTCTCAGTACCTAAATATAATATTTGCTAGTATAGTACCCAGTAAAGGGCGAGTAGTACCCAGTAAAGAGAACTTAGGTAATAATTAAACTAAACTAACTTAGGATTAAACTAATTTATGCCGTTGTACATACATTAAGTAGAAAACAATTTTCTAGGAATAGGTATCTTTTTCTTACCTAACAAACCGTTAGTTTTTGGGTCGGTACAAAAACTTTGAGGTATCTCTGCATTCAGGTAAAGACAGAAGACAAAAATTATGAGTCATGGTTTTTGGTAGACATTCCTGGCATTAAAGGCCATTGTTCATTAAGTAGGTATACTTGGGCTTTACCTTTACCGTTTTTGTTGTTACGTCAATTGTTCCATTTGTATACTTATAGATATACATGCGTGCCTACTTCAAAAACATATTAGTGCAATAGGTACACAATAGTTAACATCAATAATTCAAGTAGGTATAATTTGGCTAATGGGAATTAATTTATCCATATTTAATAGTAAAGTTTAATCATGCTTTTATGATTGTTTCATTCATTTAAATTACAATGCTCTATTTAATGTCTAAATCAAACGTGTACTATGTGTATGGCTTGTAAATAATATTTTTTAGAATTATTGCGAAAAACGTAAATCTTATTTTATTGCATAATTTGTTTTATACAACCCCTAGGTCTACATGTTTTATGGATAAATTCAATAAAGTTTTAGTTTTACTTATGTTGGCAGATATTACAATAAGGACGTGTTAGACATAATAATCAGTTTACGGACATTTCTACAAAGTCCGGAATGCAATCAAATATTATCAGTTCAAGGAAAACACATTGTTCAATATAAATATATTTTATATTTAGTAGCTTTTGCTGGCAGCATCGCTTGCATTTATGTAAGGTATTTTTCCTAAAGTACCTACCTATTTACTTTCCTTCAGGTAACGGGCAGTTGAGGTCGTATATGCATATAGCATCCGTTTTTTTACTAAATGAAAGGTAATTTGCGTGGTATTTTCTTTTCGGTAGGTAACCACTAACGACGTGTAAGCAAGTTGAGACGTAAAAATTAAGATTGACAAATATTGCTTTACATTCATCTACAACAAAATGAGTTGTCAGGGTATATAAAAGATCTTCTACACGATTACTAGCTGCTGATAAGGGGTTGATTTAAAATAAAACCAATTACGATTACTTATGTATGTCCGGTATGCCTTTTTCTTAAATTAATTAAAGTATTAAAATAATAAGTCGTTTTTATATTAAATAATATTCACAACCGAATTACTAAATTAAGTTGTCCTTTTTTTAAATGATCATCATCAGTATCCATTTCGTGCTGTGCCAAACCTTCATTTCTCTCTTAATTTTGTTTTGGTCATTACTATTATATAGAAGGGATTGTAATCATATATTTTATGAGGAATAGTTAGGACTATCGTGTTTTTTTTTTTCATTATAAAGAAACTTTGTTTTAAAACCACAGTTTGAGCGAGAAATCGCCTTCGATGCACAAAACATTCGGGAAAGTAAAAGGGCCAGCTGCGCTAAAAACACATTTCAAATAATAACGAACTTTTTAAACTTCAAAACATCAGTTATAATAAAAATATTTTATTTGTCGATTAAGTAGTTTTTTAATCACTTCTCAGTGCAAAAACTGTACCTACTGTTTTAGCATTTCAACTACATTCGAAACGTCCGTCATATTGAAAGCGAGGGTGTGATGCGTCTAATAGTAAAACTATGTACACAACAAAGTGGACAACTTAGTTGGCGACACTTTTTGAGCGCCGATTACACGTCTTTGGTGTACTTATATTATTATATTTAAAAGGCAATCTCTATTATTATTATATTTTATTCGTGTTAGGGGTTCGGTACACGGTACCTATATAAACTTATCGACATAACAGGACACACATTCGCACTCACACAATTACTCACCAACCACGGCTACCACAAACAATACCTACACATATTTCATATACAGACGACAACACCTGCCCCTGCGACAACACAACAACCCAGAAATTTAGACACCTCATTACAGAATTCCCACGACACTCTCGCACAAGACTCAACCATGAACGTTACTGATCACCAACAACACCGCCACCCATACCTTTATGACTCACATCATCCTTATTGTTAACACACTCAAAGAATTTATATTATATATACACATGTATTATATATAATATTATATTATTATTTCTGTATCAAATTGCAGAATGTATGGTACAATTATGTAATAAACTCCCCCTCATGGTGGTTTAACCGTGAGGGGAAACTATAAAAAAATCCGAAAAAGGAATCCTTATAGTTTCGCCATGTTCACCTGTCTGTCCGGCCCTCCATGCATTATATAGTACCTACATCAATGCTGATGTAACATCAGTAATCTATTTCGTAGTGAGTCGTATCGTCGAGTAGGTCTTATAACAACAGTTTTGATTTAATCACGTGGCTCACCCCTACAAGGTAAACAGATGACTTAAAAAATCTGGAAAAAACATTATTACAGCATATAAAACGAAGTTAGGAGAAGAATTACGAGTATTATGGTTACATTAGTTTTGATGTTATAGTCACTGCAACTTTCTTAACAAAGTTCTTAGATGAAATTGTTACTTGTTTAAAACTGATAGTTACAAACTACGGAAACTTACACTTAGCTTTACACACACACTGGATTAGTTACTTTTTCATTTTTGGTAAAAAAAAACTATTCATAGAAAAAACTATAGTACACTAGTTAAATACAAAAATTATCAATTTGTTTTATTTGCGAAGACAGAGACAGACAACGTGAAGTCTTCACTCTTGAAACGATATCTCCATATTTGTGTGACAGTGCCAAATAAATTATATTTGGATAAGAACACTAGTCTGGCCGGTTTTTAAGACATTCCAGAGCTTAGCACACTTGCATTAAAACAAATTATGAGTAGTAACTCCTCCGTCTTTATAACAATAAAGTAAACAAATAACAAAATAAATAATAGTATAAAGTTCCACGAATAATTATATATTTATTGCTTATTATACATGTCATACGTAGAAATCAATAAAAAACATATATTGTAGGTATCTATATATTTATATTTACGACGTACACCTGTAGTTAGAATCAAATTACAACCAGATTATTGAACACCTGTTTTCAATACTTTTGCTGCGTTAAATCTTTAAACTATTTGTGAATATTTAAACGTATGTTATAAAGGCAATAGGCTAATATGTCCAATTTTATTAGAAACAGGCTTATGTACACAAATATAAGATATACATAAAATATCTGTTTATCGTTATATCAGGGATTCCCAAACCATTTTGAGCAAGCGACCCTTTTTCTATAATGAAATGATACCTCAGACCCAATAGCCAAATTACTGCACGCTTTTCGAATTTTTGAGTTTTTATAAAGTACAACAGTGATACTTCTTCCTACTAAAATATTAGTCATTCTTATGACAAGTTGGTAACGTAACACATCTAACACAGTTTCTTGTGTTAACTAGTCTGAATTTGTAAAAAAAATATCCGAAGTCCATTGTGGGGTCTATCTATCTATCTAAGAGGGGTCTTTTGTGGAGGCTCCGGGGACGTAGCCCTGGTTACTCCGGCCCTGTGCTCTGAAGTTGGAGTCGGGGTTACATATTGTTTAGTCTACTAATATTTTCTCTAGATCTATTTAATTAGACATGTAAAAACCTTTGTAAAGATGTTGATACAGAGATACATTCTTTAAATACTATAATAAGAGAAAGTATGAGTTATATTTACATACACATATCGAGTACTCCTGTCAGTCAGTAATCAGAATTTGTCAAATTTTAAGGGCACCATCTAGGTGCGCTGCGTCACGGTCATGGCAGGCACGTTTGGTTTGAGGTGACCGGTGCACCCGGTGACGCATCCTCTCTTCTCACTGCTGAGCTGCGGCTACATCAGGCTCCGACACAGACGGAAGACCCCGCCAACTTGTACACTGTCATAGCTCACAGAGTTATCAGCGTTGATAATATAGGGTAAGTATAAAAATAACAACATTAAGCATGCAGTTAATTTAAAACCCAAATTTTGTAAGGTTCATTTACTCTATCTATAAAGTTCTGTTTTGACTGATAAAGCACATCACTATTTAATTCAAAAACCCGGACAAGACCCGAATAACAAGCAATCACTTTGTTAAATAATTGCAAACGTCATGACGTCACTGAAATTGTTACTGTACAGTACTGTAAGACAACGGTAGTCCATCGATAAAGCTCTATTCTACTCACCTTGAAATAAATTATTTCTACTTCAGTAGTGTCGGTTAATCACAGTCTTCTCCAGGGGTAATGGTGCTTCTAAGTTTAAATTAAGATCAGTAGGGGGCTTTTAATGTCTGTTCGTCTATAGGCAATCACCAACGTTAACTGAGAGTTTTAAATGAGAGCTATCTAAATAAGTTGGATGTTATAAGAATTAATAAATCTACTTCGTCTACTTCTTAGTAATACACATTACGTAGAGAAATAAACCTTCAAAGAATAACAGGACAATAATTAAGAGTTATTCCTCATTTTCAAAATGATCGAGTTATTTCTGGGATTTTCATAACTAACTACTTGATCTATTCACTGAACTTTGTGGAACATAGTTTTCGTAGATTGATGGACGAGTCTCAGTCATCATCTGTGATGAAGTTGCTCAGTAATATAGGTATATTATATTATGCAATGGGGCCCACACATTGACGGATTGTCGAATAGACTCAGCTCTGCAGCATACGCGGTTTACAAAATTCGTCAATTAACCGATGTAGAAACAGCTAGACTGGTGTATTTTAGTTATTTTCATAGTGTAATGTCATACGGTATTTTGTTGTGGGAAAATGCTGTTGACATTCAAAGTATCTTTGTGTTGCAAAAGAGAGCTATTCGTGCAATTTATAATCTCAGTTACAGGCAGTCACTGAGGGATAAGTTTAAAGAAATTGGTATCATGACAGTCGCATCTCAATACATATATGAAAATTTAGTGTATGTAAAGAAAAATAATCATTTATTCACAAAGTATAGCGACATGCATAAAATAAACACTAAAAATAAAGATAAACTCGTGTTACCAACCACTAGACTACAAAAAGTAAGCAAGTCTTTTCGTTGTCAGGGTGTGCGATTTTACAATAAAGTGCTAAGCAAATTCCATGAATTAAGTATTAACAAATTTAAGTCTTTAGTAAAGCTAAAACTATGTGAAAAGGCTTACTACACTATTACAGACTATTTAGACGACAAATTTGCTTGGGATTGATGCTGCTCACTCCCACATTTACGTAGACATCTTTGTTGTTAAGTTTGAAAGTGATGGACATTTAATTATTATTTTTTGGTGTATTTCGTATTTTGTTTTCGTATTTTATTTTTCGTTGACTTTGAATTGTATAGTATTTTTTTATTTTTTGTGTAAGTATGCAAATGTGAGTATAGTGTAGGCTTGTAATGTTAATTCATATTTTATTATCTTTCTGGTGGTTTTGAGTGTTTCCACGGCCTACCCAAATATCCTGCTGGCGGTAGTGTCATGCTTCGGGTCGTTGATCTTGACCAATATCGGTTAGGCTACACGATGGCTGGAGCCTGTATGCCGTCTGTATGGACAGGCTGACTCAAACTATGGTAGACTATGGTACTTTCCTCAAAAGGCCTATCAGACCCTATACTGTACTCGCACAGTTTTATTTAACTTTGTTTACGGACTTAAAAAAAAAAAGACACCTCTGTGGTTTGTTTCGGCGTTTCTTCCCAGAGTGAGTCTTAGGAAATGCCGGCTCCTTCTAGCTATAAAGTCCGTTTTGTAAAAATATCTGAAAAGATTTACTTACAGAAATAAATATCATTTATCATTTATGTTTTAGGAGTATACAGATGGAGCAGGTAGCCGCAGTGAACACCAGTGCTGGCTCTGAAGGCTGGCTAGAACTCAACGTAACTAGCGCCCTAGCAGCGTGGCTCTCATCTCCAGCCGACAATCGAGGCTTTTTTATCACTTTACATCCACATTCACAACCTGGTACGTACCTATGTGTTATGGGTCTATACAAACTTCAAGAATAATTGTTCAACCTTCTGAGGTTTAGTTTTCATTAGTTGACAATGAGGTTAGGGTGGGGTAAACTAAAATAATATACGGGTTCAGCTTCGACGTTCTGTAACAGGTGTATTATCCTTTTTATCTATGGAAAATAGACTGAGCGAATATACGAACGAATATTACGAATATACTTAATAATTCCGTCCGTGTGGTGACGGATTAAGAAAACAGAGTGTCACCACCCCTATTTATCCCGTGGGTGTCGTAAGAGCCGACTAAGGGAAAAAACTACGCAGAACACCAGCACTACTGAGAGAAGGAAAACTTGACACTAACCCTTTACCAACCCGTCTGGCCAGCGTGGTATAGTAGGCCAAAACCTCCTTTCTAAGGAGAGGCTTATGTCCAGCAGTGGACTATTAAAGGCTGTTGAAGTGAAGAGAGAAGAAGACTTAATAATTACTTGCTATACGTTAGGGTACACCCTTATATAGGTAAAAAGAATTTTTTTACCCAGACATACTTAAGTATATAATTTTATCTTCTTACGTCGGCACGGGTTAATGAGGTGACTCATTAACCCGTGCCGACAGAACTCTGAAGATTTTGAAAATTGCTGTTTTTAACCCCTTTAATTAATTTTATAAAATATTTATTAAAAGAAGATAAAATTACAGATCAGGTAGGATATATTCATTTGAGGGTCTCTTTTTTATAGTCTGGATACAGATATCTATGCTTCTGAACACAGCGTAGCAAAAATTGCTTTTGCCCTTCCTTTGCAGTGATCAAACCATGAAAATCGTCATGTATCATCATGTATCATTAACTGCCCTTAAAGAAAGTACTTTTCTTTTTCCCTCTAAATAGGCAACACCTTCAACCCATGTAGAAACGGGTCTCTGGAGGCAATTATTATCAATTTTAAATCGAGAAATTAAATTTTGTACTCTTGAAAGACACAAAATCACTTAGTGATTTTCCTGCAACAATAAATAAGGTAGTATAATTATCAATTTATTAAAAACAGTATAAAAAATAGTACTATTTATTGTATGCATATTTACCATACAAATAATCAGACATATCTTCTTCAGATGGAATGTATCTCTTCCCAGAATCATACAAACTCTCTGTTTGTAAGTTCACTACAATGTTCGTCTTGGTTTGTTCATTAACTACATCATCAAAGAGTGATAAAACGGCAATTTCTACTGACAAGTACCAAAGATGTTAACTAAACTTGCTTTAGAGATCAATTTGTCAACAGTTTCATATTCCTTAAGACTCTTTAAAAAAACACCAATCTTGATTTGGTGCCTTCACCGCCAGACTACATCCAAGCCATGGTTTCATATATATAACCGCAATGAATAAACAGACATCTTGAAGTGCTCGTTTATCCTTGGCGCTAATTTTTTACTAGGATTGCAACAAACATATCTTTAAAGAGTAAATAGCTACAGTCATCCACCTTGCTTGATGCATTGCTCGAGGAGGTCTAATTTTTTTTCTCTCACTGTCTCCTTCTAAGAAAATAATAGATAGTTCAATCAGGTCCTGATAATCGTCACGTATAATGGTTTTTTACAATTCTCGATTATAAAATGTCCACAAATACAACAAACAACAAAGTTCAAAGTCTGACTAGAGTTACGCCCGCCGGACTTCTGATCAAGTGCTAAAATGCCTTGCAAATCAGACGAAAGCCTGGTATATGGTAACCCTATCCTCACGACGCTTGTGAATATCTTGTATTTTTCTAGTTATTTTTTGTAACTCCTCAAGCATTGTGAAGATCCACAAGTTTTTTACACAGTTAGGTATAGCTCTGGTAGAAATTTTACCTTTTTTTCCAAAATATAATACACTCCCGAATGACGAGATAAGCGCTTTCACAAACAGTAACTAAGACCATAACGTTAACTAAGACCTATGCGTTAATTAACGCATAGGTCTTAGTTAACGTTATGGTAGAAGTTATAACAAATTACCATCAGGTAGGCTTATTGTTTTAAAAGTGAATTACTTCATTGGTTGACAAACTCTAACATCGCGTGGTTTTAGTTATCGCTATACGATTTTACCATAAGCTGGATGAGACGACAAATCGTTATCATTTTGAAGGCATTTTGGGTTTTATCAATGCAATAACTATATCTGTAATTTCGCATCTTAGAGCTCACCAGACAGGGTCAGGCAGTAAATAGTGATGTCTTTTAGCTACTAGTAAAACCCAGGAGTTTAGGGTCATTTCGTTAAGTCCAACTGATTGGGCTTAGTTACGAGAGTTTGATGATGCAGTTAAGACATACACACTGTCCTACTCTGTCGTGCCGGAAGGAGTCCATAACGCACTGGAAAACCTTGAGTATTGGGTATTGAGGCAGGAGATCACTAAACTACTAATAATTAATATAATAAAACTCCGTATTAATGTAAACGTAACTCCGATATATCTTAAAGAATCGTTCGTTGGTAATAAGATGATTTTATTATAGAACGTCACGTGAAACTAGAAGAAATTGGTTTGGAGGAACCGCGTGGCGTTGTGTCAGAAGGGAAACAGCCATTCTTGGTAGCATTCTTCAAGAGCGGACCGAAGCTCAGCGGCGGGGACGCGGGAGCTCGGCGAAAACGTGAGGCGAGAAGGTGGCGTTCACATGGATACTCAGAGAATTATCTCACGAGAAATCCACTTACGGGTTAGTATATTTATTCCAGCTAAAGTTTATCGTTTGATCGTTTCTTTAAACGCGCCAGTATCTAAAAGAATCAGTCAGATTTGTTTCTTTTCTAAAATTTCTAAAATTGTACATTATCAGTACGTAAGTAAAGTTATAAACTACCTTTGTTTTTTCCCTCGGATATCCTACCACCGTATGTGGTCGGTGATTATGTTGGACACGAACCGACCAAAACCGAGAAACGAAATCCCTTTAATCCCGACGTACCTCGGGTCATCCACGGCGTAAAGATGACCCCCTCCTGCGTGGAATCCCCGGCCTGCTTCTGCTAGGGTGACAGATGGCCTCACCTGTCACCCCCGGGCCTGCCCTTATAGAGGACGGAAGTCGTTCTGGGACCTCTGGCGCCTGAGACGCCTACGGTACCTGGCCCGTTCCAGGGCCTGGCGGGCCGGGAGAGTTCTAAACATCTCCCGGTCCCGCTCCACCATCTCCTTCGCAAGCATAACAGATCGCAGTAGGAGACGCCGGAGTTCCACGCACTTTCTCTCCATACCATGGCGGCAATCATACTACCGAGCGAGAGGACTCCCACTCCGATGGCCACCACGAGGTCACGCCTCTGCTCCACCCACGCCGGGCATTTTGCCAACGTGTGGAAGGTCGTGTCCACGGTCCGGCCACCGCAGTGGTGGCACTCAGGCGTTGGCTCCTTGCGGATCAGACACAACCTTTCCCCGTGATCACCTGCGTCAGCCGGTATGAGAGGGTTTCGTGACGCCTCTCGAGCCAATCCTCCATAACGGGTTATACCGCTGCAATAACGGCGTGCCCGAGTTATTTGCCAATGTTACGAAGTTTAGGAGCAGAGAAGCGAAAACAAAACAGTGGCTAAAATTGCGATTAACAGCTAGTATAGTACGCACCATATAACTCGCGCTAAGTTCGCGCGAGAAGCGCAGCAAAATGATATTTTAGGTATCAGAGGGGTAATTTCTGCGCTTTGGAAAGAGACGGGGGGCACTTGGCCGCCTACGCGTACATCGCTGCAAGGTCAGTAGTGCATCTCGCACTAACACATTAAGTGACTTATCTGCTTTACTCTAACGTACTGTTGTGAACATAACAAAATTGTTTTGTTTATGTTTGTAAGTTGATTTCCTACTTTTAAAACTCCGAATTATTGAAAACTACTTTAGATTATTATAGTTATTATTTTAGTAATTTGCCACTTTAATAGACTAACTTTTGAACATAACGCTAGAACTGTCTATTCTTTGATAATGTATTCCCTAGTAGTCCGGAGTTGTAACCAAAAGCGTGATATGTAGGTATTTAACTTTTTTTTTTTTTTTTTTTTTTGCCATTTTAGTATTTAACAAATTAACGGAATCGTTTGGAAATAGATACATAATAATATGTACATTATATATTAGTTGCAATTCACAATAAAATAAATTGAATTTTAAAATTACTTGTTTGTAGCCTAATAATTCACATAAAAATATATAAATGTTCCTAGGCTCAGTACGTTTTGGCGCGCGCGGTTGGAACAGCCGCGGAATGCGCGCCAACGTGCTGTCGGTGCCGTTTTGCCTAACCTCGAAGCTTGGGTAGGAAGGGAGGGAGGTCGCGTCACCTACCGACTGACGCAGGTGCTCACTGGGCATGGCTGCTTCGGTGAGTACCTGAATCGGATTGGACGCGAGGAGACGGCACAATGCCAGCACTGCGCAGCCGACTGGGACTCCGCCCAGCACACGCTGGAAGACTGCCCCGCGTGGGCATCTGAACGCGAAGTCCTGGTCGATGAAATCGGACGAGACTTGTCCCCGCCAGCAATCATTACTGCCATGCTGGCGGGTGAGGAGGGCTGGGGCGCAGTGGTCTCTTTCTGTGAAGCTGTAATGCTCCAGAAAGAGACCGCTGAACGGGATCGGGAGAGGGCCGATCCCGAGCGAAGAAGACGTCGACGACGTAATGAGCAGCCGACGGGACCGCGGGCCGCCAGAGAGTGGGGACCTCTGGTGGCAGATTAATTGCTGCGGTAGGGGAAAGGATGGCAGCCTGATCGCACTGAAAATGTGATCGGGCTGCAACATCTGGATAGGCTGAGAGGCAGGGAGAAGCCACTGGCTTTCCCTGAGATGGGACCTAGCTAGGTGCGGCGTCGATCTGGGGGACCTGAAATCACATGGCCCGGGTTCTCCCCAGAGCAGGGCGCCTAAGGCTGGCCGTCGGAGTGGTTTTTAGTGGAATCACCACATACTCCTGGCTCCTATATCCCCAAGGAGCCGGAGATCCGAAGGGATTTTCCACTCCGTCAACAAAAAAAAAAAAAAAGAAAAAAAAGGCTCAGTACGTTTGTTTACGAGTGTACCTGCGCTACATTCGGTTTGCAGCCATCTTCATAGACGCAGAGTTATGTGGCGCATGCTATAATCTAAAAAGAAATATGTATGACTATATAACTGATTAATGGAGTATTCTTTATAATTGCCAGGCCGTCTATATAGTGTTATATGCAAATATAATATAAACTGTTAAAACGAGATTCGATAGAGGAAAACGTGATGCAACGTTCACCAATGTTTCATTAAATTCGCATCTTCCGGTAGAATAAAATAAACTTTGTTCCCAGCAGTTTTAATCATGTTTAAGCCAATAGGAGTATTGAATCTTTGAAACATGCTTTTCCGTGCTCTTTAATGACTATAAGTACCTAGTTGTTCTAACTTTCGTTGGAAGTAAGTTCGAGCGACACCAAAAATTTGTAATAAGACTTTTTGCCGACACTTCTTGCTATAGTTACAGCCGTGTATAAACTACATATACACGTCGCCGCACACAGCTCTCCCGCGTGCCGAAAGACTCGACGGCTCTCTTCTCTTCGGCTTTTTGTTATTAAGCTTTTTGAATTATCCCAGATCATTCAGTGTTTAATTTGTCATACCTAATAAATATATTTCATAATAAAGTTTTTATAAATTTTGCACAAATTTTCCTTATGTGACGAAGTTGTGCACTAAGTAAGGACTTTTAAAAATTCTACCCTTAAGGGTGCAAAATGGGGGTTGGAAATTTTTATGAAACTTCGCTATTTTTGATAGTAGCGTTTTCAAACTCACAGTAAATACAAAGAGTAACTAAACTGTGAGTTTGAATACGCCAACGTTTGCCATTTAAAGTAATAAAAAACGTTGTTACTAATTTTTCATAACTACCCACAAATAATAATAGTTAGACAACTATTTTCTAATTTTTCAAAACTATTCCTATAAGTGATTAAATGGGTTTGTTATAAAATAGGATTTGGCATTTGTACATGCATATTATAGTAGAGAATTCCAAAGATTTGTAATGGGATGACATACATTGCACCCGTGCGAAGCCGGGGCGGTCACTAGTGAATTATATTATTTGTCGCTTTGTATAGCTATAGTTAGACTTCTTTTTAACAAGAATAGAAAACGATAAATGATACACAAATATTATTTCGTACATTATAAATCTTTCAAAGTTGTGTAAATGTGTATAAATATCGTCATAATCGTAAAATAGTGTCGGCTGTGCGGTAGTGTAAATGGCTGCCCTGTAAAGTTCAATAAATGTCAGACATTTATTGAACTTTACAGGGCAGACATTTCAATTTATGTTTTTGATGATGCAATAAAAATAACAACTAATATTTATACAATTTTCTAAAAAACTTACAAAAAACTTAAATTATTCAGTGTTAGTTTGATAGGCGCTCAAAGAAAAATGGCTTCATTTTTCTTTGAGCCTATCAAACTAACACTGAATAATTTAAAATCATCATATCATCACATCATTGTATTTGGATACTACATTGTCTAAATTGATTTAGACAATGTAGTATACAAATATAGTGTCCAAATATGGTAAAAACTAAATGTTGTATTTTTTTTCAAAACCGTCATTATTCTAAGATCATGACGATATTTGCGTCAATATTTGGTTACAAGAAATGTTTTAAATTATACTAGCTTTTTCAAGCGACTTCGTCAGCGTGGTGGTCGATGAATGATCGTAGAGGATCCGCAGCTACCAAAAATAACGTTATCGTAAATAAAGTTGTTATTTAAAAAAATACTATTCTCTTTCTGTCAGGCGTTTGAAGTAAAAATTTAGGAAAAAAAAACTAATTAAAAATTTAAGCGGAAAGTCTACTCTTGCATTTGAAATGATGCAATCTTTTTATTTTTGTAATAAAAATGACACAAAAATGAGTTTCTTTCACTAGAAAGAAACTCATTTTTGTTGGGTGTGTTATTAGACATGATGGCTTTGAGTAATGAATACGAGTAGTGCCTGTATGAACTAAAACCACTTAGTTACAAAATTGAAATAAGATTAACGTTAGAAGTATAGGTTATGAATATATAACCAGTAAAGTGGATACACTCGCCGTGAATATTTACGTAAACATGTATGTACACTTATGACTCATTATACTCAACATTTCGTTTCAGATACATCGCACTGGACTACGAGAAGCTGCGAGATTCAAACGCTCTATGTTAGTTTTAAAGATCTAGAGTGGCAGGTTGGTATTTATTTTAATAATTATTACACTGTCAACGAAAAAGATATTCTTATTACATGATGTTTCTATTGATAATTAGCATGTAGCATACTAAATCGACAATACACAGGCAATCCATTTACATTGTTATATTAAACACTTATAAGACTTTATACACTGTCAATTAAAATATAAAGCCAACCAAATCAAATTAAATATAAAGAAAAACATACCCGTAAGAATTATTACTTAACTATGTATTTTAAAACATTACAAGCTGGATAAAGTTTGTAAACATTTTATTCATAAAGTAAGAAATATTTCAAAACCAAATACTCTCTTTCGGTAGCTTAAAGCCGTCGTACGCTGTGAGATTATATTGAGTAGTTTCGGATACGTAGCCACAATTTGAATTCTAAAGGGGAATCATCTGATATTGATGACAGTTAAATGCTGTTTGATTGAATTGACATTTGATTTGCTTATCGTGTAAAAAACAGAAACAAGGAGTCTCCTATAGTTGGTCAATCATTTAATGTTTAAAAAATTTCAGGATTGGATTATTGCACCAGATGGATATGGCGCATTTTATTGCAGTGGAGAGTGTAACTTTCCTTTAAATGCTCATAAGAATGCCACTAATCACGCGATTGTGCAAACACTAGTGCATCTCTTGAACCCCACTAAGGTAAGTAAAGATTTTGGCAGTAAAGAAAACTAACTATATAGCTTCTTGTCTAGCTGGGTTGGTGAATGTTTCCTTAATAAATTTGGTTAAATTATTCCAAAACTGAAAGCATTATATTATAATGACTCCTATAAGTCATGCTTCACGGTAAAAAAAACAAATGGAAATTACCTTACCCAGAGCTTTGTGAATTACTGATGTGGGAATAAGACCTCGTAGGCCATCACGGTTGCCAAGTATAGCTATAAACGTAAGCGAATTTACTCCCGATAGAGTTGAGCAGATGTTGAATGATACAACACCGTCTATTTAGAGGAGAGCGAATCCGCCTTCTCACACGCCTCGAAGAGCTACCGGTTCAACTTGTTACGGGTAAAAGTTACTTGAAGTGTCCTTGGCCCTGTCAGTCTGAGTTTACTGCCTCTAAATAATACAGAGACAGAGATCTCTTCCACTCGGTAGAAAAATATGTTAAGATGTTGTCTTTCTGTCACGTGTCAGTCATAATAACAGCTTATTCGGGACAGAGTCATTAGAAACTGTCTCTCAAGTAGCTTCGAAATACCATATTTAACTTTTTTTCTCTAATAACCTTAGAACCTGAAAAAAATATGCAAAATGGGAGATTAATATCGTGTACATACGTATAATTATTTTCAGGCTTGTACTTAAGGTGAAATAAAACAATAATTTTACAGGTGCCGAAGCCATCTTGTGCCCCGATAAAGTTATCACCGATTTCGGTACTGTATTACACAGACGACTCGAACGTTATCCTACGCAAGTACAAGAATATGGTGGTCAAAAGTTGCGGGTGCCATTGATAGTCTGATTGAAGCGCTAGTCCTTAAACGCTTATACAATATTGAACAAGTAGTTATATGTACCTACCGAACAACAAATTCATATAAAATGTAATTTTTTATAATTCTGTAATTATGTTTATGCCAAATATTGTGGTAAAATATTTCTAGAGTATGAATATAGCTGACAAGAAACTCTTACCTGTTTTTGTTAAAATTTAATAGAGACTGTCCAAATGATGAAACTGGAAGTTAATTTTTATGTTCTAATTTTACACTAATTTATCAATATACCTATTTAAGACCATCGATAATTACCGAATAACTGGTATTCCGTTTTACGGCAAAATCTGGTATGATGTAGCAAAATATTTTCCAAATGATGAACATACTGAATTCATTATTTGTTTTAAAGTGTAAGTATTTTTGTTACAAGGATGATGAAAAACGATGTTTAAAACCGGTGATATTTACTTTCAAACATAGTTCAAAACTTAACTTGCCACGCATTCATTCAAGTCTCAGATATTTTCGTCTTGTATATTAAAAAGGAACGTTTTAAAACACTGTTCACACTTAGGTTATTTATTTACAGATTATTTTCCGAAGGCTTATCCAGGCACTTACCAGCGATAAATTAAGACCTAACAAACTTAGTGTGTCTAATGGTTGTATTAAATATTGACACACATTGACGAACTTGATAAACAATTTTAATTTACTTTATAAACGTATTCTATATAAAAAAATCACAAGACTTTTAGTTTTTTTTTGTTTGTTAATTTTGTGTATACAATTGTATAGTATATTGGTATATTGTATGGTGTTGTATGTATGATATAGTACAGGTACTGTATATTGTAACGCATATTAGCTTAGCTGTTAGGATGCCAGATGTCGAAATTTTAACTGTGTTTTATATTTGAATACTGTATGTAACTATAAGTATTTTATATTAAATAGACTGAGTTAGCTTTGTTCTAAAAGTAAGAACAAAAAAAAATGTTCATTTGACATAGAAATTGTATTTTAAACGATAAATGCTTGCACATGTATTTAGTAAAACATCTGACGTGTAATTTAAATACTCTTACATATTCGCAATAGCACATCAGATGATCTTTATTATGTCTTAAAAAAAAAACAAAAAATAAAAAAATGCAAAATGCAAATGTAAAATTTCGTGTCAAATTCTATTTCAATCATATTAACATGAACATGAAACACAGGGCCTGGTTGCTTACTACGGATTAGTATAATTCTTCGAGAATATATTAAAGAATTCCTAGGTATTAATATAGGTTTCCTCATGTTGTTTTTCCTTTGCCGTCCTTAAAATAAATATATCGAATCACAATTATTATAACAAGTACACGATCGCTTTAGATTAGAAAAAATACCAGAGAATCTCATAAACCTGTAGAGTTTTCATTTAGGTAAATTGAAAACCAACTGTGTTTTGATTATAATGTTGTGGCAATTAAATTTACTTGAATTATTTTGTTGTTTTTTCTAAAATATGTTATTAAAGTGAATGTGTACGGTTTATTACTTGGGGGAGTATATTCTTAGTTCTATTATGGTTCATATTGAAATTGTGGACCTAGTTATCACAATATTGCCTTACGATTAATTGTCAAACGTCCCTTTTACACTAGTTAAGTAGGTAAATGATTAATGTGCCAATCGATTCAGTCAAATATTACATTGAGTATGAAATGATAAATTAGCTGTAATTAAAAATATTTTCATAACATTTTATGTATTATTTTTTCCTATTTAGCTCTACTGACGATGGTTGTTGGGTATGGCATGTTACTTTAATTGCACATATTAAACTGAACACTTTGTCATTTGTCCTGAGCCTTTGTCAGCCGCACAGACGCGATGGTTGGTGAAAACCGCAATTGATCTCGATTAACATTTTGTTGCAAAAAATCTATGTGCTTCGTTCTTCTTTAGGTTCTTCTGCTGACTACAACACAGATAAATAGAAAATATGAAGTTTTGACATTGGGTCATCTGTAGTTTTGTGCTCAGAAGAGTTTTATTAATGATGGTTTCCACTTGTCGGAAAACAGATCTATGACATTACGTTTATACATCGTGAATGAGGGTTTTCTGAAATGTTCCACGTGAGATGGTAGCACTGTAGCGTCAAGTCCAACCACCTGTCAAAACACATACACGAATTGTATTTTTCGATCATTTTTGTTGGTTTATTCATTCTTAAAAACGTTACAAAAGGAATATTGTTTTCTAAAATGCCACAGTGTTGTGTAGTGCCTATGTGTGCAAATAAAACTTTTGCGCCTCTCTTTTTGAGCTCAATCTTCAGTTCGGCGACCTTTCTCTGGCCGTAATCCATAATAAACTCAATAACACTGCCAAATTCATAGAATTTCACTAAAAAATTAAACGTTTGGTAAGAATCTTTGCTATCTGACAGCTGTTTGGACCTGACGCATACGAAGCGCCGTCTGGTGGCTGAATAAGTATCGAAAGCCCTCATTGATGGTGGTTCTAGAAACCAAACCAGATACGATTATAAGTAGTACCAAAACTCCAATTCGATGATATTGTGGTTTATGGACAAGCTCTTGTTTATGGTATAGGGCTAAACGAGCAAACGAGTCACTTGATGGAAGGAGCTCTCTCCCCTCGTAACGTCAAAGATGACAATAGAAACAAAAGCAGAAAGTTTAGTTAAACTTTGATGACCTTGTGGTTTATAGACAAAGCTCTACTTTATGGTATAGGGGTAAACGAGCAGACGGGTCACTTGATGGAAAGTGACCCTCTGCCCTCGTAACGTCAATGATGACAATAGAAACAAAAGCAGAAAGTTTAGTAACTTGCCTGTTCCAACTAGTACAATATTTTTTTTTGGTAGTACTAACCATGACAAGTTTTTGTTATCAAGAATACGATCAATTCACTATGTATACTATGAAATTTAGTAAAATCGTATGCTAATTGACTATATGCAATTGTGGTTTCGAACCTAAGACTGCGAGTACCTCCGCGTTACATTGATATTAAATTTTTCAAATAAACTGGAACTAAATATAATAATAATTTTTATTTGACAAAATATGAGCTCCTTCGGGGAGGCCTTCGTTATTCGTTATTCAGTATAATTGATGTCAATTTTCACAATTTGAACAAAATCTTAAATTAAGTACTTCACTCTTAGATACACTATTTTGAGCAGACCAGTCTGTGAAAATATATGTTTTTATGGTGAATTGATGAATTATGTAATTATGGTGTTATCGTTACCAAAGTTAGCAGTCCATAATTTTTATCATAATCGCCTACATGTTTTCCGGTGCGGGATACTAAACTATAAATATAATATAATTTTTGTCTGCTCACAATCAAATATTAGGCCTATACTTGAAAATTATATTTAACGATAGCTAATATGCTCATCTATGGACGCACTGAGAAGAAGAAGAATAACTATAGCTACCACTAAGGATCCAAGTCTACGCGTATGTTCTAAGCTATATTTACAACATTTTTAAGTTTGTTTTCGGCTCCTGACAGTCTAGACGCCAGTAGAAACGAATAATAACAATATATCGATAAAAACAACTCTCGAATAAAAGTGATTATTTCGCCAAAAAACAGTTTTGGAAGAACTTTTGTTTTCTTTATAAAGATTGAGTAACTGGTCTAAAAGGTTTAAGTTATCAGTAAACCCGACACAGTGTCCATTCATAATAATATCGGCAGTCACCGTTCGATGAACAGAGACGATTCTGAGACTCTCCGTGAAATAATTTTGTATTGTACAACTATACTTGTTTGTCGACCTTGTGAAAGACCTAGGCTTACAGCTCAACTATACACTGAACTGGCGCGATCAAGTAATGCACGCATGCCAGAGGGTTATCGGAATCATCAGAACCTTATATCTTGACAGTCTTGTCTTCCCTCTAATTGACTATGCATGGTGACGTGTGCTATTATGACAATTCATCTTTAATCTTTGTAAGCATCACCATATCTGCAGTTTTATTCCCAGCTTATTTTTTTGCTTGTATAGTATCCTCAATTCTCCATCTCCCCCTACATATTTATCACTACAATTACAACTTTTATGCTAGAACCATAACAGAAACCTTCGTTCCTCCAATAATGTTCTTCTACTTAGTCCTTCTTAAACCACGAGGCTCAATAATTATTGGCGTTACGAGGGCAGAGAATCACTTTTCTGCTCGTTTACGCCTATACCATACAGAAGAGCTAGTCTATAAACCACAATGTCATCGAAGTTTAACAAAAATTTCTGCTTTTGTTTCCATTGTCATCATTGGCGTTACGAGGGCAGAGAGTCACTTTCCATCAAGGTACCCGTCTGTAATCGAAGTTTAACTAAATTTAAAGAGAGAGAGAAAGGCTATGGGCTATAATTATAACGTCACGCTACGACCTATAGAACCGAGCATTAATAAATAGATTATATTTAAAAAATGCGTAGGGTGCTAGATCTCAATTGTTGTAAAGTTATTATATTATAAAATATCTTGAAAAACATCCTAAGTTTTTTACGGTAAAATGATTTTCTTTTTGTTCTTTTAGAAAATTATTTTCTACTTTTTAGTTAGGCTAGTTACAAAAGTGTTTTTAGTTTTTTTTTAATATAATTTATTTTTGCTTTATTAATCATTAATGGTGATTATTTTCTCATTAAGATTAAAAAAGTAACAAGTAGGTAAGTCACATATGCTTAAGCACACGCCTCTTAGTACGTAAAAACACCATCGTATTTTTAGGTATGGAAAAAGCCGTATATTCTGAAGATCCTGATCAGGATTTGTTGGCTTTCCGTTCTACATTCAATCTATCCTCTTGTGGAATGTTCTTCCTCTCGAAGTCAGGATGGCTACAAATCAACGGAGTTGAAAGTAAAGGAGCTTTTAGTAAATGAATTGGCAGAATCAACGAGCCCTTAGTTCATCATCTAGAATTGTCGTATTTTTCTATTATATGAAAACATATATTAACATTTAATAAAAATTATATCCGGATATAATTATATGTATTATATAGTTATTTAGACATGGTAAGCTTATAGTGACGATATTTACATTTGTTTATTATGGTAAATGTATATTAATATTACTGAGTATTTTTGTCTATCTTAAGATCAAATAGTTGGCACTTAATGTCTTCCATCATTGATTCCCTTCCTATAAGTGCGCCTGCCTCATCGCGTCTTTGCGTCACCCAATCGGTCGATTGGTAGAGAATGCCTTAGGCATTAAGTCCGCCGTTGCATGTATTTGTGCTTGAAGTTGTAAAATATAAAAATAAACAAAACAAAGACAAGAAGAAAAATTATTGATAAGTATGATCTAAACCGATATTAGGATTCTATTTTGCAAATTCTTTTCATCGTTCAACAGAATTTGTAGAATGACATAAAAAAAGTCTTAGTACATAGAACTACAAGACAAACGTTTTGTTGTTCTCTGTACTGTGGCAGCCAATAGTAAATTTCCTTTGCTAAATTTGCAACCTCGTATTAATTATACATTCTCTTTAGATTTTACACGTAGCTTAGTAACCAATTTCATAAAAAATTTGATTGTAAAAAAAGCTGAAGCAAGTAAAATACGTAAAAGTAAAAGATTTATTTGCTAACCAAGTCCGAAGGCTCTCAGCAGCCTTTAATACAATTAATAGATACGTAATAATGTTTTTTTTTTCGGAAAGGGAAAATAGGAGGAAAACGACATAAACTTTTATATCGTTTTAAGGAATCAGTAGGCTTAATAACCACGTTTAACTTTCCCTAGCTTCCTATTTGCTAGATGTAGAGCAAGATTCAAATAGCTTTTTGTAATTTTATGAAGGTACCTAGTATATTAGATGAATTACTGTACCAGATGGCAGATTGAACAGTATCAAAATAAATAATTAAAAATAGTTTCAAAGTTAATGGAATTTAAAAATTTTCTCGGTTTGCCAAGGTGAATACGACTTCTTTGGTAAAGCAGTTGATGGCCAAATATCGATGCTTTAATACCGGCTAAAACAGTAGACATACCTATTCAAGCATCACAGACAAGTAACTTGTCTACGATGCTGTGTTCGAAACAAATTATACAGAGGTTCAAATGAAAATCTGAGTAGTCATGACATCTCGTTTCTATAATTTTATTATTATTATTATTATTTTACCTTTTTAACTTTCAAGCTAGTCTGCTTGGGTTCACACTGCTGCTTGGGAGACGAATGGAATAATCGTTCAATGAAAGATTATTTCATTCGTTTCCCACAAAAAAGTTGAATGCAGTTTTTAATCAAATCAAAAATAAAATCAAATGATGTACCTATCGCCGTCTATCAACGCCAACTGTGGATGGCGATAGGGCCAGGACAGCAAGGAGCGCCAACTATCCCGATTTTGGGCAGTCCGCATCCTACCGCTGCCAGCCACTTTCTTCAAATCGTCGGTCCAACGTGCCACCCTACACTACGTTTGCATAATCGCTGTGCGATGTCGGTTGCTCTATTTACCTGTCGAAAAACTTCGTTGCGAATTTTATCGGCGAGAGAAACCCCCAGCATCCCACGCTCTCCATTGCACACTGAGCGACTTTAAACTTGTGGACCAGTCCAACGGTGAGTGTCCACGTCTTGGCATTCATCATGTCATTGCGGGTAGTAGGACGTACTGGTTAAACGCCTTGGATTTTAACGATTGCGGTATCAGCGACTCGAAAATATGGCGTAGCTTCCCATACATTTACAAAATTATATTTATTAAAACGTATACATATTAAAGGAAGTTACGATTACTAGAGACTGTATTCATATACATTCAAGGAACATTTACATTTACATGTATGTTTACGATAGTCTAGATAATTTGGGAATACCTATTAGTACTCAAAATATTTAGACGCTTATCATGAAAAGATATCTGTGGTCCTGAATACATATGTAGTTAATAAATATCTAAGTAGGTACCTATGCTTTTACGTTTCATAAGACACAGTTTTAGTACTAGCTATGATGAGTTTTGATCAAGATAGCACTATGCAATAAACCTCAGAATGTCATGAATAGGTTCTACATATAATACTTAAAAAAATCTATATCAAAAAATAACTCAAGTCTGTCAATAACGAAAACAAAATGGTTTCTCCTCAGCTGTACTTTATCGGTATGAATATAATATTAGCTAAGGGGGAACCAAGTTCGCTGTATCCTATGTACCTAAGGCTTGAGGTAACTTTGTATCTAACTTTTGCTTATGGTTTTTAATTTTCCCACTCCTCAAGCACTGTAAGTACTTTTAATAAAAGGTACTATTAATATTTTATATAACTTACATAGTACACATTTACTATTACAACAGATACATTAATTTTTTTTATTGATAGTAATATGTGATGCAAGATATTAGCAATATAATAATGATTCAATTGTATTTAATATGATTTGTTTTTTTAGTTTGTCAAAAGACGTAAATATTTTTGTACTAAATCAGTAATTCATTGCCTATCGATATTTGGCAAACAGCATGGATTCTTAGTAGTCAATCAGGCGTCTTATGTGTTATCTATAGATAAGTGATAAATATTTGGATTTGATGTCTTTGGAATGACTCAGTAGTGTTCGAGTTTACATCCTTGTGTATTGTATGTACTCAGTGTTCAAAATATAGCAAAAGTACCATTTGTAGGCACATCATTGTTTGTGAGACGTCATTGTTTCCGCGTGTTGAATATGCTCTTAATTTAAATTAGGAAGGGTGAATAATTTTCATATCTATGTGCATTATTTCGTGAAGGAACAATAAAACAAGTGTTCCAAAAGCTCGCAGACTAACTTCAAGGACACAGCAGCAGCCTTCACCGTAGAACTGACTGTGGGGCAGTCCGGCGTTGGCAAATACCACATCATAACGCCGCCGACGCTGTGCTATAACGCACGTTTGCACGCTCAGAACGGAAGATAAATAATGTTAACCACGCTGATCGACATTCACCACCTGTTTTAAATATTTTGTTCGTGAATATTTGTAAAGTCGAACCCCTCGAATGTATACAGTAACAATGTGGATGTTAATTTTTATAAGTGCTGTTATAAATGCTGCAATCGGTGATGTGATTCCTCAAGATGTGGTTTTTAATAAGTGTTGTTTGAAAAACCAAAGTTTATTACGAGTAACAGATTCTGAAGATGCCGAAAGTTTTTATAAGTGTGTAGATCGTGACATTGCATTCACGAATTATAGCACATCCATAACTCCACTTATCCTCGGGAACAATGTAGCGGTCAAATATGGTATTCCAGAAGATTGTAATGAACTGCAATCTGTAATGATGAGTTTGTCAACATTAGGCGATCAAGTTAAAGCAACATTTAATGAAAACTGTTATGACAGACTTGAGTTAGAAGTTGTCAATACCACATTAAAACCATACATTCCCAAAGTAGTAGCATTAAGATGCATTAAAAATGACACTACAAAGACTTCTGAAATTAATTTTATTAATCGACTACGTAAATGTTGTCCAAGAGGACAAAGTTATGATCCAAATTTCTATATATGTAGAAAAGTGTACACAGATAGTACAGAGGAATGGCTCTTGAACCGATTGGATCTAGATAATATTTATGAAGTTGATCATGGACTAGGCTGCAAAGCCGATGAATACGACGTGGAAATAAAAGAAAAGTTTTTTTCGATGGCCATAGAAGGAAGTACTTTGAACGTTAAAAGAAGGACAGAAAACGACAATGACCAGATTCTTTCAGGGCAGTGGTGCATAGACCGAGATTACAATACCGAGGATCTCGTGGCTCGTATTTGTACTCGCGATTGTTCCAAGTATGGAGCGTATTGTTTAAGAAAGTGCTGTCCTGTAGGCCAACATTTTAGACCACGGCGCTGTGGATCGTTTGCTAGCGTATGCGTTCCTACTGAGGACGATGTAATGTTCGATTTAACAGATTATTTAGAACCTTTGCAACATCAGAAGAGTGACATAGCAGGTATGTTATGGTGAAACTGTACTTTTTTAAGCAATCGAACCCATTGCCAAAATTAATAATATAGCTAGTGGGTCAAAACGTGTTTTGCGTTGGAGTGAAAAAAAAAACCTAAGGGAAGACCACAAATGAGATAGAAGGGTGGTATCAGCACAAATTTTTGTGATTTTAAATTTTAACTTAAAGAAATGGTAACCAAACTTAATTTAAATAATGGATTAATAATTTAAATTAGGTTATTAAATAGAATAAATAGAAATATGTTCACTGTCTAAATATTTATGCATATGGGACTCCAAGGGCAGCAACGCACTTGTGACTTTTGAGTTGCAGGTGTCCATGGGCGGTGGTAGTTGCTTACCATCAGGTGACCTGTCTGCTCGTTTGCCCCTTTATACCATAAAAATAAAATAAATGTTTCATATATATCTTTAATTCCGACATCGTTATAAGTGCGTTTCAGTAAAGTAACAATCATTGTACTAACTAATTATTGTACGGATGTGGTTATGAGGTTGTTTTATTATCATCAAAAGAACAACTGAAAACATAGGTTGAAGGAGGGTAAAAAAAAAAATTTAGGAGGACTATACTTTGGTGTTTTAATGAACTTAAGATATCTTATATGTTTTAGATGTCATGGGTCTTCGAACGGGATTGGATTGCAGTGCTGGTCGTGTCGTGCTGAACAAGTCGTGGCCGAGAGATCGACATGAGTTGGATCTGTCGGGTCGCCTCATCTCACCCATTGCAGTTGGCCATGTTTATTGCTTAGAGGCGTTTGATATGCAACGATGTAATAATAGTGTAATGGTTACTGCTGTGAATTGTTTCATTAAATCTCCGGACAAGAACTTTCAGGTGTCATTTATCGTAAGTAGATTCTAATCTTATCCCCTTTACTAAACACATATCAATAAGCATCATGCATGTAACTTGGAGTCAATTTTTTAGACAGGTGAAAGTGAAGTAAATTCTTTTATTTAGTGCAAAACCTACGTTTCCATGAAAATTTAAGAAAACTTTCGAACTACTCCAAAAATATTATATTTATGTCACCTTAGCCTTAGTATTATATCATTAGATCACAAATTCGTAACAATCACATTCAAGCAACATTATGCTAAAAACTTTATACGTCTATTTGTCCCAACCCATGATCGAGTGAATTATTTTACGCAAAGCGCCGCCGATAGTTAAAACATAAAACTAATAAATCGAGATTTTAGTATCAATCTTGCTTTTATCTTATCATATTATAAGAGTTCCAAAATGCATTTAGTGTATAAGAAGCAAAAGTTGTGCCTATATAACTTTTATACTTGTCGAGAAAATTTCAAAATTCTGCCAGGCTTATTACGAAACGAAACCACAGATCAGCGAACATTTAAACACGAAAAGGAAATTCAAAGTTTTTCTAGGGATGAGCGACGAGTTCAAGTGGGACAGATATACCACTCAACACTACTTACTGAAATGGTTCTATAACTTATGTCTTTTCAATCTGAAGTAAGACTATTACTATGACAGTTCTCGACACCCAACTTAGAAAATAGTCATTAAACAAAAATCATGACGTTTTTTTTTTAACGACACTTTATCTTTAATCTTTTTACATACCCGGGAAAAAATGATCAGGCCTGATCAGACCTGTTCATGCATGATCAGACCTGAAATTTGACCTGATCAGACCTGTTCATGCCTGATCAGACCTGACGTTAGACATGATCAGACATGATCAGGCCTGATCAGACATGATCAGGTCTGGGCCGTAAAATACGTTCAGATCTGATCAGGCCTGTTCATGCATGATCATGTCTGATCAGGCCTGAATATATTTTACGGCCCAGGTCTGATCATGCCTGATCATGCATGAATAGACATGAGCAGGTCTGATCAGGCCTGATCAGACCTGTTCATGCATGATCAGACCTGGACGTATTTAACACTGCAGGTCTGCTCAGGCATGATCATGCATGAACAGGCCTGACGTGTTAAATACGTTCAGGTCTGATCATGCATGAATAGACATGATCAGGTCTGATTAATAGTTAAATACTTAATTATTATTCCTATATCTTTATATATCGATCGAGCTGGACCAACTGGATCCAACTCGAGTTGAATCAGACCAGACATGTTGATTCGATATATATATATACCTTTTGTTCCATTTCCTAACCAATGCATTTTTTTACTTTCGATTTATTTATATTTTATTAATTATTCTTTCAACTACAACGATAATTTAATACCTTCTAAATTCATGATATAGTCTTGAAATTTACAAAATTACTATTTTATTTTAATAAACATATATATTACATAATTAAAAATTAATAATAAATAACTGGTCATTGTAAATTTCTGTTATAGAAAAGACCTTTGTGTTCTTCCTTCAAGGTTAATATTTTGATTTTCTCTGCTCAAATAATTTTTAAATTTTATAATTTAATTAAAACTTGTGTTTGAAACAATTAAATTTATTAGTGTGTTATTTGCAATGTTTACATAATATACATTTGTGGGTATACTGATCATATGTATATATCACACGCCACAAGTCATCAAGTAAATATATATGGGCACAGCTATGTGTGAGTGTCCTCATGTATAGCACACAACTTTATATGTCACGTGACACACCGGTGTAATTCACTTTCAACATGGATGCCGTCGCATAATAAGAGTATAAACTGTGTGCGTCTTCTACTAGCGTCTGTTTATGTGCAATTGTATGTGATTTATTAATTAATTAAACTTTAAATATTTCACTCTACAAATTTATCTGTGTTGTTTGTGGAGGCATCAAACATGTTTTTAATTCAATGCTATCTATGATGACAATTGCGCCTATATCATCGATAATGATGACAACAAAAAACCTCACGAGCTGGTTAAAGATGATATTACTAAATTCAATATGAAGAAACGACAATATGAAGGAAAAGTGATCGACTTTTCAAGTAAGATATTTAATTATTTTTGTTTATCGACATAAAGGTTATATTATTATTTTTAACATTTATAAAAACTTAAATTTGCTAACATTTGAAAACAATATTTTTTTTAAGTAAATACATTACTCCTGGTGAAATATTCTTTAAATAAATTTCATATTTTTTTAATTACTTTGTGTGAAGTTTTCCAAAATATTTGTTAAATATTAGATTCATTTCTGTCATATATGAATAATTCTCATTTGTAATAGTCCATTAAATTTGATGAATAACCATTTATTTTTTTACATACAATAATTAATATTTAATATCTATATAGGTAATTCCGATTTTTTACAAAAACGAAGGCAAGATTTCAATAAAACAATCAAACAAAAAAAGAAAGTAACAGCTGGTGTTAATCGTTCGAAACGAAATCGATGCCAAAGAGAAGCTGGAGTCCAGAAAATTCACCACCTCCGAAAAAACTAAAGATTTCAAAGAATGTAAGTTGACTTTATGATTAAAATAAAATTAAACCTAAATATTTTATTATTATATTTTATTTGATTATGATTCAGCGAACGTACGTATAATTTATGTGTAAATATTGATGAAATTTCATTAATGAATACTGAGTTCATGTTCATTTATGTACCGTCATTCAGAAATATGATTTAAAATGATAACCTCCATGTTAAATGTATATCTATAAAGTACTCAAATTAGATGCTTTTAAATTAATTCAAATTGTTTTAAATCGATTCAAATTAGATTTCTTAATCAGGGTATTTAAGTGATAGTAAAAAAATAATGCTATTTTTAATAAATACTACCATTTATTTTTAAATAAATAAATTTTTTAGATGAAAAACATAGGAAATAATGTTTACTGCCGAAAAATAATTTATGATTCAGCGCTAGAAGCTTCTCATAAATCAACGCATTTGGCAAGAAGGTTGTTAGAAGGAGTTTTTAACCACGACGCCATGATGGGATGCACATTGACAGGGCAGGCTCCAAGGACTAAAGATAAAAAATCAGCTGTTGTAAATCCATTAGATCAACAGGCGAAAGGCGCGATCGTTGGTGAGTTTTTTTTCTTAATTACTAATCCTAATAGGTAACATTGTGTCAAATTGACTCTAACGTTTTTTTTAAATCTCTGGTTTAAGAACTTCATTTGAAAGCCTCATTTAAAGCCGTAATCTATCAATAATTTGACTGCTCAATTTTACTTGCATGCCAGAGAATAATTTTACAATAATTAGCATTTAATTGTTTAATTTGGAGCGTAATTCTTTGGGTTTGGAATCAAATTGACCCCATGTGACCGTAAATATGGATTATTATCGAGGTGTGATGTGACTCATTATGAACGAACTTTGCAGAGTTTGCGATGCATACAGCCGTTGAGAGGAAGTGGCCGATTCAAAGTCGACAAATCATTTTAAAGGAAATGAGCCAAAGATCACTGAATATAAACGCGACAACATGAAGAAGGAAAAAACTGAAATGAATCCAAAAAGCTAAAAAATTCAATACAGTTTCACATTATACTTTTAATAATTTTAAGTTAATATTAACGTTAAGAAAGTCAACCAAAGAGTTACTTCCATATATCTAATAAAAAAATAAAAGGTGATAATTACCAATTAATCATATCCATAAATACTATAATATTTTGTTTCGGATTTTATAAATATTTTTCAGAAAATATTTAATATTCTACGGTTTGTTAAAACTTATAATATAATTATCGGATAATAAAATTTCATTACTTGAACCATATATTATGATTTTATTTCAAACCTGGAAAGGATAATTAGATTAATTAGTTCTGCATGATCTAATCATACAGATCTAATAATTTTTTCAGGCACTTTGATCAACAGAGATTTTTTCAGGAATGAGTCTCAGGCTTAAAATTAACAAAGCTACTCGACGGTGAATCAGATCTGATCAGGCATGAGTCATCAGCCCTGATCAGGCATGAACAGGCATGAGTCGTCAGGCCTGATCAGACCTGAAAAATGACCGGGCCTGATCAGACCTGATCCGGCCGGATCAGGCATGAGTCGTCAGGCCTGATCAGACCTGATCCGGCCGGATCAGGTCTGATCAGGCCCGGTCATTTTTCAGGTCTGATCAGGCCTGACGACTCATGCCTGTTCATGCCTGATCAGGGCTGATCATTTTTTCCCGGGTATTTTCTGTTTTCGTAACTCTTTTTTTTTAATCGAATGTGTATTTTTGTATCAGCAAACAAGTAAAACTAATATTTGTAAATGAATTGCTAACTATAACGGGATAGGATGAGCGTCAATCACTTACGCTATAGTATTCTCGAAGCAAAAAGTATAAGACGGAATTTGTTAGTATGTTTACATTACATGTGGTATTGACTCATAGATAATACCTACTGTTATACCAATACAGTTTGGATGAATATTTTCTATTTGAAAGTATTAATACTTATTCACCATTTACATATTAACGAAATTAGAAATAATCACTATGATAAGTGAAATACACGGGTGTCGTCGGTTAATCAACTCAATTCAAAATCAAACAATTAAGATCCAAAACAAATTACTAAATACTTTTTACAGATTACGACGACTGATTCTTGTCTGAATTACGTAATATTTACTTACATAGACCGGGGATATTTACATTACACGTAGAATTGCACAGGTATACTCGAATTTTGACTTTGGCAAGAGAGAATGAAATCTCGATTAGTATGACATTGGGCTAAAAAATTTGCTTTTGTATCCTAGAGAACGGTTGATCTATTTTTTTGAAAAAAACAAAATAGAAGTTTATATTTACAAATAAATTGAATAGATATATGTATATGCTTCTGTAAGCTTTAAATATCGTATCAAATTAAAAAAAAGAAAATAGTGGCAAAAAGTTTAAAAGTGAACCCTATTACTTTTTTTTTCAAATTCATAAGTACTTTGTCTTCCTAAACCCTAAATAAAATCTCCTTTAAGTTCGTAACTCCAGGACGTGTTGATGAAAGCGTTTTCCTGCACCTACCGACTTTTACTTTTTCCAAAATTTAGACAACTTTTTAGTGGGTAAAAAATTCAATTCCCGAGAGGCAGTACAAAATGCCTTTGAAGAGTTTGTTGCCTCCCGTCCAGCTGATTTTTACAAGAAGGGCATCAATAAACTGCCAATGCATTGGCAAAGATGCGTCGATTGTATGGGTGATTACTTCGAATAACAGAAATAAAAAAGTTTGAAAAAATAAGTACTTTCACTTATTGCATATAAAACGGCAATTTCATAGGTAAAGACCTATTATATATATATAGGGTTACTGGTTAAGTCGACCGTCGTAGATACTTTAAGGGGTTGTTGTTGCCATCATTTTAGATACACTTCACTTCACTTTGAAATACCATCAACCAAACCTGACTATTTTCAAAATATTGGACTTTTAAGATTTTTATAAAAATTGCCGAAATTTTGCCTAATTTTTTTAGATCCTTTATTGTGTTCTTTTTATTACAGTTTTTGTGTACTTTATATATTCTTTTATAATTTCCATTACCAAAATTTTAGTTAACTTAACAATCTAGACCGAAGTAGATGGTTCATACTAGCAAAAAGAAATAAACTTGTAAAAAAAAAGCAAACGAATACTAAAAAAAACTATTACAGTTAAATGACAGATTTATTAAAAAACATGTACGTATTGTCGGCTATCTTACAAGGTGTAATAGGCTAGGATATTATCAGAATTCATAGAAAAAACTTGGATGAAAGACCGGGAGAATTAATAATAAGCGTACAACCTGGACCGTCACAAGGGCGAAAGGAGTTACTCCTTCAAACTCTTACCATTATTTATATAATTCAGATAGGTTAAACAGTGTAGTGGTTTATAAATTTACATGTTGTATATGACGTCACTAAATCGTTGTTTAGCAGGCAATCACAACCCTACCGGGATTTTATTCTTTGTCAATTGTAATACGATCAGGATCAACTGATTTTGATTATATTTATAAACAACAGTCTTCAAACAGTCGTTAACCTTTTTTAACATGAACCTGAATTATATCGCTATTATTACAAATAAAATCTCTTTGGCCTCTGCGATACAAGCATTGAACTTTTTGATACGGCCGCTGTAAAACTTATTGTACCACATACCTTTTGATACCATTATTATACCAATTTATACCAAAGAACTTCAAATGTGAAATATCTGGGGGCACGGTAGTGCCCTCGTCAAGACGAGCCAAGCTAAGCGCAAGGGCATTAACTTACTTTTATCGAACCCTCGTAACTTGGGTTTGGATTGTACCAAATAAACGAAATTCTCGGGATATGATTTCAGTAGTGAACATATTATACATATAAAGTTTCAATTGCGTAGCTCTTATATTTTAAACTTTAATGATATCTAAAAAAACCTCGATTTCGTCACTGACTCACTGATGATCATCGAAATTCTTAGGTAACTTCCTGAAGTCCTAGAAAACTAAAATTTTATATGTAAGCTAGTATTAGTACACAAACAACAAAAAAATCTTAAACTTGGAACATCCCTCGCCAACCTCTTAATTAGGGGATAAGATGGTGTGAGACTTCTGCAAATTTTGAAGTTAGAGGTCTAAAAATTGAAAAAAAGGCAAAGATAGAGAGATGAGAGTGAGAAAAATTATTTCACAACCGTCACATGGGCGTAAGGTAAAAATGTATTCACTGTTCATTACTTTTCTGTTATACAATAGTTCTTGTAGGAACGAAACGGCCAAGCCACATAATTTGACTAAGATGTAGAGATTTGTGAAGATAGGGCAAAAGCCCATCAACGTCCGTGTAGTTATACGTATTTGCGAACAAAATATTAATTTACGACTCATTTCTATATTAATTACCGATTCCAAGAATTCAGTGTCGCTAAAGACTACACTTATTTGTATGTTTTAAATACTCATGTGTTTTATTGAAATATTTTTGTACCACAGATAATATGCATCACCATCGCGTGCCTGGCTCTGACGCTTGTGGTGTATCTATCTTTGCCAGAACTCCGAAACTTGCACGGTCGCACTCTGATTTGTCATGTGAGCACGATGCTACTGGCGTTCAGCTGCCTTGCTCGAGTTCAGTATGACCGTGTGCAAGATCAAACTTTCTGCACATTACTTGGTGAGTTATTCATCTTCTGTCTTCACACTGTCATTAGGACCTTTACTATTTTGACAAGTAATTTGTGTTCTTTCATAGAAAAAAGAAAACGATAGTAAGGCGAGTAATGTGAGTTTTAGAAGAAAGATTGAATTACAATATGACTTGAGTAATTAATTATTGCACGATTTATACAATTCCGTGTGTACTTAAAATTTTAATCGTCTACTTCATTGATTCTCAAACTATTTTGGGCAAGAGACCCCTTTTCTAAAATGAACTGATACTCAGGTCAATAAAAAAAAACCATTATTATAAACACGAAGAACAAAAGTCTCAAAAATTTAACAAAAAATAAAAATATTTTAGTACTATGTAGTGGTAATTTAGTAGCCTACTGGTGGCAAATATGTAAATCCAGGACTATACTTTTTACTAAAATAGTAGTCATTCTTATAACAAGTTAGTATACGTAACACAACCAAATAAGAACTCGTGTTATTAATAAGGGTCGATTTTTAGACCTCGTCGACCCCCAAAATCAGTGTTCGTTTATGTCGACCTCTTCGACACCAATTTCGACTCCTAGGGGTCGACATCGACCAATTTGGGAATCGCTGGTCTAATTGATAAATGTTTTGGTGTACTTTTATTTCATCTCGAAAAGTAGTTGGTAGTGTAGGTCTGTTCAAATATATAATTAAAAAGTAATTTTATTAAAAGTAAGATTAAAATACTGGCCACTGAGTTAACATGTACGTCACATTAAACATGTAATATTTGTTTAATTATTAGAAGTATTTTTTAGTGTCAGGAGTTTTTCTGATATAAAAAATTAGGTAGCTAAGCGACTTATGTTAAAGGTTAAAGTAAATGGCAACAATATGGATATACTGGGTCATTAAAAAAAACCTATTAATTCAACTTAAACAATGTTGAGCTTTATTCAAAATGTAAAAAGTATAAACATCTGAAAACCAAAGAAGAAAGTTAATTTTAAATAATAACTTAGAAAAATATATTTGCAAAACACAATATGTTAAATTTATCTTCTTTTATAAAAGAAGTATGCTTAATATCTTGTTATTAATATGAGTTTATGTAATATTATGGAAATGGGTATGTTTTAAGTGTTAAAGTTAAAGTGCTAGCACTGCAGAGAGAAGGTAAACTTGCGTAGTTCACTCGCTTACCCGGCTCTTACGACACCCACGGGATGAATAGGCGTGGTGAAACTCCGTATTCTTAATCCGTCACCACACGGACAAATAGATTTATCATACCTTTTTTTTTGTTGACGGGGTGGAAAATCCCTTCATATCTCCGGCTCCTTGGGGACCCAGGAGTATGTGATGTTTCCACTAAAAACCACCCCGAAATATATATTTTATATATATTATTTATTTATAGTATACGTTTAATATAATTATATTACTAGACTAACTAGTGAAATAACTGTAAAATTGATTAACACTGATTGTTATATCAATGACAGACTACGATAACACTGTTCATTTTAATGCTTTCCCAAAAAATTCAAGGAAGATAGAAGTATTGGATATAACTTGTTTGGATAGTTCTTTATCGTGTAAAAGATTTATATGCACTTGATATTTTTCTTTACTATATGCTAGAGCTATTTAGTAAATTTTTGTAATTTTTTTTACTGTTGGTAGCCGTACCGTATAATTAGAGTCATCAAAACAGTTGTCAAAAATGTCTTGATGGAACAATAACTCTCTTTTTCTAGATTGCACTGTATTTGACGGAATTGATGGTTTCCTTAGGTTTCCAATTACCCAATCACTTCACATAACTTCGTTTGATAATCCAGAATTTGAACTTGTTTGTTTAGGAGCACAAGCCTTTGACCACAATTGCTTGGGTTTTCGGAAATGGGTTTGAATACACACCCATTTATTATTTGCTTAAAAAAATGATTGATTTAGTAATTTAGTTTTTCATTTTATGGGCGTTACTTCATGTAGCACTCAAACATCAAACTTGTTTGTGTAGCCTGCTCTTTCTAAATAATTTTATATCCTGTGTTAAATAATTAGAGCCTCCGAAATTGGCAGATTGTATGTCTTCCTTAACTAGTTTCAAAATTTTATCGACTCTTATCGAATTTTATCGTAGCTGGCTGAGCAGATCGTGGGACATCTTTGACATTTCAAATACATCATATTTATTCGTGCCTATATTTATACATATATTATATATTTATATATTAATTACAAATAATTTATTTACGAATTTAATATATGGATAAGTAACCAGTTTTGCCAATCAAACACAATATTAATTCATTATTAATTATTTCAGAACTTTAGTCTAGTAACATAATTTCTATTACTAGATCGTTCCCGCGTCAAAATTCACGGTATATAGGCATCTCCCTAGGGCTGCACGGCTATAACTATCTTACTTCAACAAATATATGAATAAAATATTTTACTACACATTTTCTCTAATTCTTTTCAAGCCAGGCGATAACTTAAGTCTTTTACAAATATTTACATAATGGTATTTACATAAGCATTATTGAAATAATGTTCGTAATTACTTAATGCGTTTCTTTTTCTTGTTTTTCTTTTTCTTTTTAAAAAAGACAACTCCATTAGGAATATATCCTGTGTCGCGGGGGACTTTACAAACATACATGAAACGGACACAAAGAACACCCAGACTTAGAACAACAATTTGTGGATCACACAAAGTGTCGTCCCATGTGGGGTTTGAACCCACAACACTCGGCGCAGTAGGAAGCGGCGTGCCGACCGCTTAAACCACTGTGCCATCCGTGCAGTCGTTTGATGCCCTCACCAAAACTATCAACGATAAATAATGAAAAAAAAGTTACTTCAATTGTGATTATTTTTGAACTGGATTAAAACAATTTTGGATCTGAATTTGCATCATAAAGTATTAGTATTTATTTGAGTTATAATTTATTGAAATATTGTATTCGTGGAAGAGCCATATTTACGAGCATATGAACCAAGCTGACCGGAGATATACCCCAGTCTTACATAAAACAGGTGTTAAGTAGTTCTTTCATTGGTATTCATCGAGTAAGTGAAATTACCAGAGCCTAAACCCGGGAGGATGGAGAGGAAGACCTCTCCATGATTCTGGGGGGAGAGACTGAAAGGTCGACAACTCACTCGTGACTTCAGAGTTGCTAGTCACTTACCATTTGGTGACCGGTCTGCTCAGTTTGACCCCTATACCCGTGCTTATAACTTTAAAAAAAACACCGCGAATGCTTTACCGCGCGTGGCCATACGTGCCTTTTGCTGGTCCTATTTGCATAATAATATTAAGGTACAAATATTATGTAATATCTAATGTTCGTTCCTGATCTTTAATCTATTATATATTTGGTCTAATAATTTAGATTTCCTGCATTTAATTTATGTATATGAAGCATAAGTTGGCACGTATCTTAAATAGTTATACCACATTGATACCGCTTTTGTGTGTTGTTAATGTCTATAAAACATCTTTTTAATTACAAAACAACAGAAGCCAAGATTTCCTGATGAATTATCCAAAGAATAATAGGTTGTAAATAAAATTAATTAATTAATTTGTTAACTTACTTTGGACTATGTTTAAAAAGTTTCCGCAGTTGTAGTTACATGTGACATAGAACGATGATTGAAGGTTTAGTGCCATGATTTAGTACAATGACCACTTTAGTCCCGTGATTGATTTGGATATATAATAAGTGTAGTTTACCCAGAGATTTCAAATTTAGGTAAGGTATTCTTAAATTAGAGGCAGCAACAAAAGTCAATTAATAACTACATGCAAATTTGAAAACTTTCAATATGTTATCAAATATTAATTAGAGTGTGTCGTTAATTAAGTTTTGCCTTCTGAGTCTGGCATATATTCTGGTAACATTGTTTTTCGAATTATTTTTCGAAGTTTATAACAGTTTTGTACTGTACAGTACCTTTAAAATGTGGTCTTTATATGGCATCAATAATTTTCTTCGACCGGACACCGATTTCAAACAGACCTGAAGGAATCTATTGCTATTATAATGTTACCTGTTATATTGATGATCGTACTTATTTTAGTTTTTATCACTTAGATTTGTAATTATGATTTTTTTATTTTTTAGTGCTCTTCGTTGGTATTGTTTGAGGTCGTTTCAACTTTTTTAAAAGGATTTATGTTACTATCATTTAAGGAGTCTATTAAATAATTGTAATAAGCGTACGTTAGTAGTACAGTTATGCCTCAGGCAACATTTATGTCACTAATGAACCATTTTCACTCCTTCTGAAAGCTATCTAAAACAATTAAAATGAAACGTTATCTTAAATGCGATATAGTTACATAAAAACATCATTTTAAACATTAAGTGTGTTATTATATCTGTAATTGATTGTTTACTTACACCCCTATCTAATGAGATGTAAATTGTGATACTGTCAATTAGATAAGACACAATGAAATAAGCATTAAGTGAACTGAAATAATTGATACCTATTTGATTTGCTAAATTAATGCCAGCTTAAAAATAGTGCCGACCTCGTCCATTGAAATGTGTTTACCTAATCGAAGAAGTAAATAGCTATGCTTATTTTTGGTTCGTATCATTAGCATCTTGCCGCGTTAAAGTATAACTGTAGAGAAATTGTTATTGAAAAGTTATAACAAGAACATTTTTTAACATTTATGTCATAATTATAAACGAGGGAATCGACAAGGCAGGAATGTATGTGAAAGGTGCTCGTTATTTGTTATTTAGAAAATGCTGAAATTTATTAAATTTAAAAGACGAGAGTTCAGAGCACAGTAGTAGAAGCTGTTAAAACCCATTACATACATTATAATATAAATATATCGGACATCCAAAACAGAACACCATCTAGTTTCCAACAAAGTAGAGCTTGTACAGAGATAGAATACTCATATACTTATTTTTTGTAAATACATACATCTTATACATAGAAAACACCCAAACACCGAACCAAATATTTGCAGATCATACAAACATACAAACAAGATCTCAGCACAGCAGTCGCATACGTTACCAACTGCACCACCGATACTTGAAACATGTTACACACAGCTGTCTGATCCCAAACTAGGCAGAGCCTTTACTATGGTGATCAGACTGTTGATAAACATACTTATATATTACTAAATATTCAGAAGCGGTTTTTACTGACACCCACGAACGTATGAATAAAGAAACTAAAGTAATAAAGTTTACTAGTGTTCACTTTTGTCAGAAAGAGGAATCTATAATGCTAGGTAGATCTCATTCCGTTATTTTGAGCTTTAACGAAAAACAAAACACAATAATTTATTTTTATTCAAAAATTCAACCTGTAGAGGTTATACTTAACATATTTTTTTTGGTCCATCTCACAGTTTACTGTGAAGTAGTATGTCACAGAAAGTAACGGTTAGCTATCATCACTCTAAGATGATAAGACGATAGAAATTTACAAGTAAACAACTTCACACATCAAAAATCATTATGCAGTTTTATATTTTTTCAAAAACTTGAATTATTTAGGTTCTTTTAAACCTTATCTTCCAGTATTTTAATAAGACAAGAAATATTACTAAACTAGGTCAACATCATGTTTGTCAAATCTACTCTTTAGCACAAAGCCGACGACTTTTTCTTCGTTCCTATTGATTTCATAAAAAAACTATTTTTGCAGTAGTTTATTTACCCTGGAGAACCTCTAATAATTGTAGCGTCTTAAGCAAAGTGACGATTTAGATAGTAAAACTCGTATCGTCGTATCATGAAACATTGCGAATAATTTGCATATTCTCTATATAAGAATTGGTAAACTGTATTACATAATACATTATTTGCACAGGGTATGGAATATACTTCGGGTTCGTCGCAGCGTTCGCCTGGCTCAACGTCATGTGCTTCGACATCTGGTGGACATTTGGGTGAGTTTCGTTGAGAATCAACACAAATATTTAGTTTGGGTATGAGATGCAAATGACGTGTGAATTAAGCTAAGCCCTCACATTATCTTTATGTTTGTATTCCCAGAGTATGTATGTAGAGCAATCATAATAGTTGCTTACTTAAACAATCAACTTCAAATACAACATCTCCTCCTCTGTAAAGTCGATTTAAAAAGAATGATCTACTGTAAGTAGTATTTATTGGTAAAATTTTTATTTTGCATCCACTACTTTTTAGATTTCTCTTTTAATAGGAAATTATTCAATAAAATGATGGAGACTATACTATCTCTACATTTTCCTTTCAATCTTATTAATTCCTTCATAACCAAAAATATATTTTGTAGAGATCGCGCAAAGATATTGACTGCTAATTTGAAATAATTTATTTTTATTATAAATTTCTCCGTATGCACATGCATAACCACCGTCAGGTATTTGTTATCTGACCGAAAGAGATAATGACATATAATGATAAATAATCACTTAATCAGCAACTGAATGAATGTTACGGATCCTTTCAAAATGAATATAAAGCAGGTTGGTGTTTGTACATGCATTTTTCGGACAGTGTTTTAAATAACCTTAGGAACGGATACTTGTACGATATACAATAGTGTTCATGTGTTAGATTAGTTATAGTTTACGTAATTTGGTTTAGATCATCACGTTTAAGAATATATTCAGCCATGTGCTGCGCTAGGCTGCAGTTTGAACTACAATATATGTAGGAACGAAATTGTATCAAGATCAGGTTCAGTGTTGCCATATTTACAATATTAAATGGCCTGTGTTTAAATACTCGATAGAATACTCGTATATGTGGCAGACATTATACCATCATTAAGATACTGCAATAGCTTACGAGGGATGACGTCATCTCCGTTACAGGATTGTCAAAAGAAATGAAAAATGAAGTCATAAACGAAATATATTTCTATACTGAAGAAATATTTATGAATGTTAATATAACTACTTATATATGAAGTTGTAATGTTTTGAAGATTAAGGTACTCGATAAGTAAGATGATGTCGACATCAACGGTATATTACTAGATACGATCATTCTGATGCGACGTGTTGAATTTCAATGAATGAAACTGTTTACACTAAAACTGTTGAATATTTTTTTCCGTTAGATGTATGTAGTAGTAATTCTAGAAAGTGAAGCGTGGGCGCACTTACGAATCTTTGATCCACATTGATCTAGGAGTAATGTGGGACAGTATCGAGAACAGAGGAAGTTCTTTGCACATTTTCGCAAAACTTTCAACAAGTTTCCGACTAATGGTGACTTACATTGTTCGTTTACTAATTAAATGATTTGTTGGCAAACATGTCATCATTCCTTCAACAATTACGACCAGAACCGTCTGTCGCAATGTGGGATGTGTGTAAATGTTTGCTTTGTCTTATTACATATAGTTATCGATACGTTTACACACAAGTTCTTTGATATTTGTTTGTATGTATTAAGAACCTATGAGTTGCTACAAAATGTTAAAAATACGTAGACAAATTCAATTAATCTTTAAAAGTTCTATTAGAAATAAAGTAACAGATAATACTAAATTAATAATAAACACTGCGTGTGGGAAATGGCGATAATGATGATTAGGTATCGTAAGAGAAACTATGTACGACCTTAAAGCCTAGATTTGAAAAAATACAAACAAACTTGTATGTAAACAATGCAATTCTCGAATATTTACTTTGCTTGTTTTTGACTGACATACCTCACTTTGCGGTACCAAATCTTCCTTTGTATTTGCTCCGTGAAATACACAGTATATTCATACATCAATGTGCGTCACAATTTATTTTACAGCGGCAAAAAATTTTAGGCGGATAATAAAATGATATCAATATCTGTTATGTAAGTACAGACTATATAAGTACATAGTACATTATGTAGTAGAAAACGGTGGTGCACATTAAAGTGGTGTAAAATATAGGCTATAGATACCACAATAACGAAGGGTTTCATAATAATAGAAATTCGAAAAATTAATAAAACCATCAGGGTATTAATAATTAACTACGAAATATTTTTGTTTATTTCGATCTCTATTTCGATCTATATCTGCAATTTTTTTTTACTTTTTACTTATTATTTAACTAGTCTATACAAGCCCTTAGATATTATGTAATGTACTAATATAATATATACTCAGCTCATAATTGCACTCCTCTTTTATGCAATCTGTATCAGTGTGATTCTGATTCGTATATATAGATATAAAAAAAGAACTATTTTAATATACTAGTTTAAAAATTTCGCTTCAGATAAATAGCTAAGTCTAATTTTTTGGTTACAGAGATACTTTTTGTAAGGTGTGATATTTTAACTTGTAAATGTAATATGGCAAGTCGAACGGCAATGCAATGGCAAATCAAATTTCGAAAAAGCCTTATGTATCTGTGGCAATTAAACTCCCACGACAGATGAAGTCACTGGAGATTTTGACGGAATTAAGAAACATGATCATAGGCCAAGGAATGCCATACTGTTCAAATATACCTTATATTTTTAAGAAAATTTAAGATCGAAGCTAGAGCTGTTCGCATACCTATAACTCGAACTGCTATTTTATTGAGAAAAAGCCCTCTTTCCAAAGTACATAAATCGAGTTTATTGTGGGTCAATAATATTCTTGATAGCATTGAATAGTTTTGACAGATTAAAATGTCAATTATATATTTTTTACAATACTTACAACAATTGGCGACAAAGTTATGTGTCACATCCGTGTCATAAAGCAATGACCACGAAACTTTTATAGTGAGGTTAGACGAGTTTAGTGTTCTTATCTAAATATAATTTATTTGACCCTGGCGTAGAGACAAACATTTAGATAACATTGCAAGAGTGAAGACTGGTTTAGGCTTAACAAAAATGTATTCCAAATTGTCATGTTGTCTGTCTTTGCAGTTGGTATGTTGTCTTCGGAAATAAAACAAATTGATATTTTTTGGTAATTAACTAGAATAATATTTCGATGTATTGCTTTGGTTCCACTTAAATTAATATATTCTAAACTCATACAAAATTGCAGCTTTCTAGTACTAATAGTTTCTTAGTTAAACCGACGGATGTACGGACACATGGACATTGCGAAACTATGTATTACTTGTTAGGTTACGTTTTTTTTTTTCCTGTGCGGAAATCCCCTCGGATACCACTTGCCAGTACGTTTAGGACCCTAAAAACCTACATACATAGATAATAATATGTATGTATTTGCATTGGCCTTGCAGTTTTTTTGTATAAATGTGGGAACAAAAAATATGTCTAAGTATGTTTATTCTTATTCAATAGAAACATGGTATGTACAAACTATGATTATTTTGTTTAGATTGCGCAGGTGACATACAATGTAAATTAATTATTCTAGAACATTCAAGAATATTCAATTTACAATATATGTTATAACAATGTTATAAGATGCAATTTTGGTAATGACAGTGATCATAGATATATGTACTTATTCATTATTACCTAAGCAATCTGTAGCGTTCTTTGTTTTGAACAATCTGGGGTCATTTGTGTTTGCCATGTCGACGCCTTTGTTTTATGAGCCAATATTTATAAGCTCAAACAATATTTGATTCTTCTTTACTATCGTCGCTGCGTCATAGTTCATTGTATTGGATGTTATTTGTACGTACGTGTACGATAATTGAAATTTTTTGCAAAATTAAAAGAAGAGAGAAGCATCGTGGCGAATGCTTAAACCACTACTACTGGTTTAAGAATTCGCCACGCCGCTTCTGTCTGAGCTCAGTGTTGTGGGTTCGATTCTCACATGAGACACCACTTTGTGTGATCCTCACACTGAGTCTGGTTGTCCTTTGTGTCCGTTTCATGTATGTTTGTAAAGTATCCCGCGACACAGGATATATTCCTAGTGCAGGATTTGTCTATAAAAAAGAGAAAAAGAGATTTATTTCTAGTTTCGACTTGGCAAGTTGTAGTCCTACCATCATCTTTAAACAGTTGTCCCTTTTTAGTGTTCATTATTGTACACGTAGAAAAACAATTGCGGTACATTGCAGTTGACATAGCTATAGTTTGTTAGGAGATGTAGTTATGCCGCGTTATGGATTGTGTTCTTTTGGAGTTGGAAAAATTTTCTTTTACATAAGCATACTTATGACATAAGCCCAATTTCTACCTACATGTATAATTAAATTATCACTTATTTAATGATAAATATGGGCTGACTTTAGCTGTGTATTTGTTTTCAAAGCAAGGTACTAAGATGATCTAGCTCAATACAAAAAAGGGTTTAATTATTTGTGTGATGTCATTAAACTTGTATCGAGCTCTAGATTTCTTTCTTAACAATTGTATAAGTATGCACAGATAATATAATTGTATGGTAGCGAGCACTTGAAGTATTTGAACTTATAGCTACTAAGTAGATTCCCTATCGTAAGGAATGTTTTATCTGCTGCCACTTTTAGCATGAATGACTGCAGGTATTCGTAAGTTCTTGGCATCTGCGCCATAAATAAAAAAAAATACGATGATAGAGCTCGACCTTTTTGCCCACTAGCCTTGAATGTCAGTAAATTAACAACGTGTCATATATATGACGTACAGGCGGTATTGTTAACAATGGCTATGTAAGATTTCGTTAAGATGTATTCGTTTTTTGCAATTATAATATTGTAGACCTAATTATCAGCCGTGTGCTAACATTCATTATACCGAGCCTGTACTTACTATTAGTATTTACCTGAAAATTTAGTAAGTAAATATCGGAAAATTGTGACTACCATAACAATACTCCGTGTTATAAAACAATGCTTGTGAATGTGTTCAACTTAGGTAAGTGTAAAATAATTATAATTTTATTTATTATAAATATTGGGCGACGATAGTTACTTACCATCAAGGGACCCGTTTGTTCCTTTGTCCCCTATTATATTGTAAACAATATACTACAACAACAACTTAGAAAATAATCGTAAACATTCTTTTACTAAATTACTTTATACAATAACTAGCTGACCCTGCAAACGTTGTTTTGCTATTTACATTATTTAATTATTATTTTTTTTTGAATTTCTTAAAATCCGTTATTATCCGTATTATTACCTAGAATGATCCTAATAAAACTAAACATATACTGAATCGGTTATTCTCTAAGATATGCACATATTAATACACTAACTACACACTAACACTAACTTAAACACTAAATTTCAGAACTAAATAGGTAGGCTTTGACGTAACTTCATGAGGTTTTAGTCGGTTCGGGTCTAACATAACATCTTGCCATGGTGAGATGGAATTTATGACAACATGTGGCGTCCTTAAAAGTATCAACTTCATAAAAGATGAAAAAGAACTACTAAAAATCTTACTCTACGTAGAAGTACTACATAAAGTAAAATATATAATAGAATAGATAAATTTAATGATATAGATTAAATATATTTCGTTATACCTGCTCAAGTACTTCGTAAAACCTTGAGCGGTTTTCTCGGAAAAGCCACGTCTAGACTTGAAACTAATCAGGCCTTCTGTTAACTAAAACTGCTAACAAGTCTATTTTTAAAGGTAAAAGGTTTTCACAATAATTTGATTAAAACCGATTACGTCAGTTTTTTTAGGTTCAGGTGCTTTCAAAAAGTCAAAATGTACGCGGGACAGGGCAGCACTTTCTGGTCAGACTCAAAGAAAATATATTTTCGAATGAAATAAATCTTATCGCCATGAATACGATTTATAATTGGTGGAGCCCTAAATAATATGAAATGTTTTCCAATTTATTTCACAAATACTGAAGGTGTTCTATGTGAGAAAGAATGCAAAATTTTAAAGTCGTACTTACAGACAGTAACAAGACTTCGTTGAGGCAAAACCCGCTTAGAAGAATATTTACTCTATTACAAGAAATCTTAAATTTTCTATGATCTAGGATGATTAATCTAGAAATTCAAAGAAGCTTTTTTTGTACTTTTACACAATTGTCCTGATTAGTATGTAAATGCTTAATTTCATGAAAATAAATGGGAAACGCCAAGCTTTGTCATTTCAATTAGGTAGAGGTTAATGAAAAGCGACAGTATAGAGAAACGCAATTTACGCGTCATTATCAAGGCGGGGTTTTAATTATACCACCCATCAGCCATTACTCTAATTTAATTCAACCATATCATAAACTATATTCGTGTAAAATTGACCATAATACTTGTAATCCTTGGGATGGTACATCTTTAACCTACTCGGTTACCACTTAGCTACGAGCCGCTCTGGATGGTAGGTATATGTGAGCAGGTCATTTATTGTATGCGTTGTTATTTTATGCTATTCGCTTTAAGACAATTATCTGAAATACTGGCAATGAATTTCTCGTTTTTTTTAAATAGATCAATGAAATAAAGAAAAACATTTAATGTTAAACTTCGAATTTAATTTGATTAAATTTCTTTAGTATGTTTTATTATGTTTCAAAATGTCTGAGAATTTGAAACAATAAAATAAACTGAAAAATGTTTATTTTAGCTACGGAGTTAGTATTTCTAGCTCTCAGTCTAGTCTAGTCGACAATATTTAGTCGGGAGTTCAAAAACTAAATTAAAAAAAAACAACTTCTTAATCTGATCTATATTCATTGGTATTCAGTATGAGGTTTGTGAAATCACTCAACCTTTTCTTTACATGGGCTCATGATGACCTCAGTGGCGCTTCCATTATAGAATTACATACGTACACAACTATTCAATATCCACATTATCCACATTACGGATTGGGAAGATTGTGTACTCTATGCGCTTTATTTAAAATTTGTTCAAAACTACGATAACACTCATAAACCATATGTATGGTAAATGTTAATACGTTCATCGCAGCGTTGTTTACAATTTCATAGTTCGCCTGAGGTATACACGATTATAGATTAGTAGCATGCGTGTATCTGTACGCCGTCCATTATGAACTTATTATACTTTAAGCCCACTAGTTAAGAGCTTTATTGTTATCTACTCGGCCTCACCACCTTATCGTCGAATATTTTGTCCATGTCGTTTATCCTCGTGATTAGCGAGTCAATCCCCGTGACCTGACCGAAATGGCAAGTCGTAAAACCTAATAAAAAGACCGTATGGGGTGTTATAGTTATTCACGGCCGCACCATTATGACTTCCATGTCTAGTTACAATAGTCATAAAATAGTGGAGGTGGTGAGAGCTTCATTATTCTCATTTTTATAGATCTATTAACAGCAGTAATATGTACCACAAAATTCTTTTGTCAATTACTCGTAGTTGTTTATCAAATTGGATGTTTTTTACCCGTTTTGAACCGCGTGACGGATTTCCACTGATTCGTCACAGTTTTAGTATTTTTAAAACAAGATGGGAATTATGCAATCTATTTACACTATTATGATAAAATTGATTGATTTTTCAAATAATACAAAACTTATCCTAAATTTAATTTTCATACACCATTCTTTTTCCCATTCTGTGCGAACTTCACCTACATATATATCTTGCGATAATGTTTGGTTTAACCTTACTACTCCAATCTCCCAAAAGAAATAATTCGCATTACGACTTTACGTTATATATAAACACGTTATACATACATGAACAATAAGATCGCCCAAGATGCTACATCCTAAATAATAGTGTCCAATAAAGTGTATCTGTCTATAAAAACCTCCAAATGCATTCGAATTTTTTTTTCTCAGAACTGTTCATTCTTATCTGAATAAACTCATCTAGCCCATAAACCAATATAATTGTATAATAAAAAAATGGTTTTAGGAGCATTCGCAGCGTGCAGCCCATGCGGAAAGGAAACTCCGAGATGCGTCGCTTTATATGGTATTCTGTCTATGCGTGGTTCAGCTCTGCACTGCTAACATTAACGATGTTCCTCTTCGACAAGTATCCCGTCTCCATTCATCTGGATGCTGATATTGGAGTAGGCGCATGCTGGTTCAGCTCTAGTAAGTATTGTACATAGGTTAAATAAATCGATCAATCTTTCATGAATATCGTAGTAGATAAATCTCTTTAATTAATAACCCATTTTTAATAAAAGGTTAATTGAGTAAATCATAAAGTTAAAGCCTTAAAATTAAAGACTACTTTTATAAAAAGAAGTAAACTGTATTCTCATTGTAACAATTTCAACAAACGTTGTTGTGTGCAACAAATGTGAATTGATAAATTACAAGTAAACTTTTTATAATTATTTGAGCTATTAATAGGTTACAAATTTTCATCGCGAAAGGAGATTATAAGTAGGCAGGTGTAGCACTCATCTGTTTGTCGTGTGACTAACAGTACTGGAGATTGGCCGAAACACCTACGCGAGCATGAGTGAATCATCATCGTAACATAAATATATATAGGATAGGTATAAATTGAAAATTTAATGAAGATTTTCTTGTATAAGTATGTGTTATTGTGATTAATGTAAGATAATGTAGGTACAAAAATACTATCGTTAAAATAAGTTTAAAGTAAACTTTCATGCGAATTCTGCGTATAATAAAAACAATCAACAAATTCATTACGTCATCTACGTCTTACACTATGAGTTACTTGAAAATTTCGTAGAATTACTCGTATAATATTTTTTATGAAAATACCACTTTTACAAATAATCGTGTCGCGAAATTGGTTATACAATAACACGTTGTATTTGTCCAGGAAATGTCGTTATGACGTTTCCAATTTGAGGACAACGAATCAACAAATCACAAAAGAAATTATACAATTTGTACAGGTTTTTACAATTATAAAAAACATTTTTTCCTAGTTTAGTTCGTGTTTAGCCGTGACTTGTCCGTAAAAAACCAATTGTACCTATTTCTGCCTAATCACTTAGTTCGTTATATGAATCATCCGTTGTACGGTTTTATTTAATTCTCGTGGTCATGTTTTTAGATACTATATTAATTGGATTAAGTAATATGAAGTAGGCTTATTTTGGATATCAAAATAAGAAATGAATAAATAAATTATTATGCTTAACCAATTTAACATATGAACCCATTACAACCAATGCAAGGGTAAAAAAACTCGATCGAGTCGTCGCTTATTTGTGGGAGTGCGAATTCTCTAAGCTAGAGCACGGCCACCCTTCTAGTCGAGAGAAGTGTCGAAATAATCTATAACAGTGACTTGTCATTTTACAGTTCAAAATACCCAGACGGATGTACCGCATTACGTATTCTTTGTGATTCCCATGGGGTTGGTGACCTGTACTAACTTTGTACTTTGGGTGTTGACGGCTCGACATTGTGCCCGAGTGAAGTCTGAGGTGCATCGTCTGCAGGCAGGCTCAGTGGGTGACCGGGCAAAGAAGCGGTTTCGTGTTGATAGAGCCAAGTGAGTACATTTTCAGCGGTAAAGACATATTGTCAATAAAAATATATGTACCATGTAATAAAAAATTGTTCAAAAGCGTTATGTAATCATAATAATGTAGTTCATATGAGTTCCTTATATGTAAAGTGCTTATATCAAAATAGAACTAAAACTTTTCACAAAAACATCATTTTTCTGAAGATTTTAAAAGTGTATACAAAAAAGCGTGGAATACTATAAGAAATACATTGACTTGTTCTAGAATAAATTTACTTTAGTAAAATGATATGATGAAAATATAAAAAATAATTTAATTACCATAGCTTAAACTGTAATTAACAGTTTGTGCACGGCTTTTAATAATGATCTGCCTTGGCTGCGCCGTGAAATTAAGTTCCATCCTTCAAAACAGATACCATGTTTCATCATCTAGTCTAATCTCGATTAATAAAAATTTAATCTATTCTCGATTAATTTACCTAATAATTTTTCAAGATTTGTTTATAAACATATTTTACTCTTCAGAAAAAACGTATTTTAGTTTAAAAGAACTCATTTTCTACTACAACTGATTCCTTGAACTTATTCCGTTCATTTTAATAATGTGATATGATTTTATATTACAATGTTATGATTTTAGAGGAAAAAACACAAATTAACCTGATTTGTTCAACTTGCACTCTTGTAGATGTATAGTGACAACATTTTAAAAGTATTAGCTCGTTGAAATATTTGACAAAACCGAAAATAAATTCTGATAACCTAAGGCATTACACTCGGAAATTCACATATACAAGTAATAAAGAAGAACACATAATGTATTAGGAAACATCCTGACAATTGAAAAACTTTTGTCAAGAAATCGATATTTGGCGCGCTGCACCGTCTATAAATACTTATACATAACATGTGGTACTTATAAATGTATAAGTACTTATACATTTGATATGTTCTGAAGGTTTTATTGAATAAAAATATGTACTTGAACCTCTGCAATGTATACCTGCCTGCAATGTGTATGTTCTGCGAGTGCACAACATCTGTGATTTTTTTACATGGAAATCCATAGTCAGATAACTTTAAATTTGATAAACCAGATAGATAATGATAGTGTTGTCTCAATACACAGGTACATGTTGACTGGTAAACTATGGGTGGTTATGGGAGCTGGCTGGATTACCGAGTTATTGTCGACCATAGTGACAGAGCCTAAGTGGTTTTGGATGATCATCGATTTTGTTAATTCACTTCAAGGAGTTTTTATTTTCATAATACTCGTAATGAAGCCGAAACTCTACTATCTTATCAGAAAAAGACTGGGTAAGTACATCTTAATGTATTTTTTTGCTATAATAGCTATGTAAAATTTGGTGACCAAAAATTAAGGAAAATACGTGCCAATAGCGTATGCTACTTGAACAAATATATTTACCAAACCAGAGTTATTTTTGATGTAAATGTACTCTGAATGTATATGTATGTAGTTACTGGTATTAAGTAGTTTCGTAATAACTTATCCAAACAAAACGTTAAAAGACAACGTGGTGTTATTGAGCGTACTTAATTGAAGTTTAATTTATTGTCAATTTTATTATTATGAATAACATAGTGCCATTGATTGTCTTAAGGGGCTTACTCAAATATGTTAATGTTGCAATCATTATTTTAGTACCCGATACAATAAGTAAGTTTATTTTGTTTTCAGGTTGTTCAAGGATACCAATCGAATCAAGTATATATTAGTTAAAATAGTTGAACGTTGTCTTGTTTGTCGTAGTTTCGTAGATCTTACAACTGTAACGTACCACTAACTAGTAACGCTACTGTTGACGTGGCCTCACTGAGCTCGTTTTCATTACATTATCTTTTTGCTTAATTAACGCATACAAAAGCTAACATCCTGAGCAATAAAACTATTGCGTGATTTGATATGCACCACACTTTGATTTAATTTAATATATTAATTTAGATATCGTTATCTACCTAATACTTCAAATCTGCCAAATCTATTATTGCATTTATCTAAGTATCGGTAGTTTTATCAACCTGATTATATTAATTTCTTAATTAAACGCAAAACCAGAACATCCAAAAACCTTAATTAGTTTTTGGGTAAATCCTAATTTATCTACAGCCTTTACACAAAATATTATGCTGTTCATGAAGCTTTACCGCTTCACGCATTTAACTACAAATCGTTTTAATTATTACTGTTATTTGATATTCTTTGGTAAAAAGAGATCTTAGGCCTGAAATAAATACCTAGAATACAAGTTTAAGACATAACTTATAGTCTTAAATCAAAATAATTTATTCGGTTTTGCGTTTATACATATGTTATCTTATGTTTACATGCTAATTGTTTGTGACTAATGTACACTAATATACAACAGGACTAGAGAACCCCGACGCGCAGAAAAATGGTACATCCTCGTCATCAGCGCGGACATCGTCTACCATCCTGTCACGCGCGCTTAGTACCGAGGACCGAGACCGCGTGCGACTCTCCATTCAGAATAACGTGAAACTGTCTTAAAAATGCGGTGTACAGGCTTATTACATACTAGGTGAGCAATGTCTAAGGATGTGTTTATAACATACAATGAGTAATGAAACGCTGCTTCTATGGCAACAATGAACCAACTGCAAATATAACTGCTCACACGTCAAGCTTTTGTCTTTCTTTCTCTTAAAATTCATAAAAAGATTATGAATTTTAAGAAAAATCGTTTATCTAGTATATAATATCTCTATTTAGAAGTTATATGAATGTCTCCGCTGTAATTTCCTCAACAAAGCTTTGTCTTGAATTTCACTGCCAATACATTGATGATTTATAGATAATACCTACTACGAGTATAAAAGTTTTAAATTTATTTCCTTAGTAAATACTTCCGATGAGACTTTAGTCCAATTTTTTCTTAATGTTTCACCGTCTTTTTCGAAGCATGTTTACAAAGTATACCTCAAAATAATTAAATTAACAGACAACTTTGGCAAATAATTATGGCACAGAGCAGCTTTCATTATAGATGTACCTACATTTTAATTTGGTCTAGTCATAGGTTAAGTATTATTGATATCTGTATTATGTTCTACAAGCTTCTAGTATACTGCCACGAATAATATTTAGGGACGTCATGCTATTAGTGTATTTTAGGGCTTGACATTGAATGATGTACTTGATGTTTGGACGTGCCTAGCAGCATTTAAGTGGCTGTGACAAGATCACGACCTTATTTGTGTAGTTGGTTATTTACATAGTTAAGACTACAAAATATAATCATTTTTGTTGTGTAATATTAAGTACTATAAACTTAACTTACTATAAACCCAATAAGTTAATTTAAACATTCGTTTTGTAACGTATTACTCTCATTGACATGTGCAAACACTTGGTAAAGATAATTACGTCAGTGTATGTGTTTGGATTAACCCAATTCTTAGTAAAAAATTGGCATATAATGTACAGCAACAATCTGATTCAATTGGATTGTTTGTGCGATCTAGAACGTACGTGGTTTTGAATCAGATAATGAATATCATACGTTTTATGTCCATACCTAGATTAGCTCATCGTGTGGCTAAATTTTACGTGGAGTGAATCTATTTTACAATCTTGATGTATGAAATGATTATCCAGAAACCGATTTGTTTAAATTTATTTCAGAAATTTCAATCGACTAAAAGACAAGTATACACGTTAGTATACTGTGGCTCATTACACTGAAATGTAATATTAATGACAGTTTAAGTGCTTAAAAATTTAACTGTTTGTATTTATTAATTTATCCAACTTTCCTTTGTATTAAAATATTGCACACCTCTATTAATAGAACCCATTTTAGTTATAAGTCAATACGCATTAAGTTATGGGGGCTGATGACAGAAAATATTGTCATGTCTTTTGTCACCTAATTAGTGCATGCAGAAGATTGGCGGGTGGAGACGAGTAGTAAGGAAGATTTTGTCACTAATCATTACAGATAACTACATTTTGTTCTGTTTTCTTTCATATCATAATATAATACTTTATATCTGCAATATTAAACTACGAAAGTAATTCTTCAAAGTTACTTTAAAAAAAAATATGAATATTTTATTTTGATTTTTACCGTGAAAACTAGTTTATGCAAGCGATTAAATTAAAAAGAACTCACTAATATCTACACCCAATTTGATAGTACCACAGTGACTAAACCCAATAAATAATGGATGTAATAGATGTATTACCACGTTCAGTACATAAATATAATTTAAGATTTCCAAATTTTTCGTTACTAGCCTTTGATCAAATAAGTTTATTTGATCAAAGGTTAGTAACGAAGTAACTATTATATATGTGCTACTAGTTAAATATTGCAACTGTCAGGCTCTATTGATATTTTAAGTGCTGTGCTGTTACTTTATAACATTAATATAAACTCTTTTTAATTTAATAAAACAGTTTCAACTATTAGATTCTGTTGAAATTTTACCTACTACAAAACATCGACATATGTATGATACATATGTCGATGATAGTTTTTTGCAATAAATGTCTTTGTCTTTGCAACATAAAATACAGCTCTATGAGTAGCATAAGCATCTTACTTTTATTGATATAGTTCCGCGTAACATTAATGTGTCAAGATGTTTTATCAATTCTAGAACCTAATAAAGAAAGTAAAGAGTGGGTAATCAATTAATCGAAGGGACTGTTATACGCGTGCCATCAAATAATGCTCAACATCATAATGTTTGACATGTAATGTGAACCTCGAAAGCATTTATTTCTGTAATTTTGGTAATTATTTACACTAAGACTATACTATAGACTTATAATTTTTTTGGCTTTGTTCTTAGGTGCTTTATTGTATTATGTAGGCAGAAAGCTAGTTTACTTTAAAAGCGCACTCACTCCAGTGCTATGTCTTCTGGGCGTGAATTACAAGAACTACCTCTTACAACTATATTATTTCCGATATTTCCCCAGAAATGCATAACTATATTAATTTTAATTAACTAGAATGAATGGGGCGGAATTGAAAGGTTACATTTCTTAGGAATAATAGTGAATAGGAAATACTGAAATGCATTTTTACATAAACGAAACTAAGTAAAGATGCAAAATAAAAAAGTTAATTTAGTTCTTCTTGGAAATAATTCATGTGAGTATAATAAATTTGCTTAGTTATTTATTATAAAGTAGTGTTGAATTTTATGCGAACCTTAGTTGTATTCCATAATTATATTTAATAATTATATGTAAAAGTCTAAATGCAAATCTAAAATATTATTTATAAGTTCACAATCACCAGCTAAATTCAGTATAGGATGTTCTCGAATAGATTAAACTTATGTATATTGTCTGGATATGTAAACAGCCTAGGCTAAACGAGCTTAAGCTCACATAGACACTAGAAATAATACACTTTGTACTTTAATTTAGCAATTTAAACGTTAAAGATAAAAATTATATAAGGCTTCATTTAATTGTCAAATTGTACGCGTTCAAAGTAATATTTCCACCATTATGTTGTTTTTATTTAGAGAATTGGATTAGGAAAAGAAAAAGAGAAAAAAAATAAACAACTTTCCCATTCCATTGTTTTGTTTTTTATTTTGATAACTACCTTTTTATAAAACACATTCGGACGTACACTTTAGTTTAAACCGTAATGCATTCTTTTTAAAGGTTAGCGAGATAAAAAAGTTATGCATTGCGAAATTTTAATTTTGTAACAAACACGTGTAAGTACATGTATGACTTATATATAACAACTAGCTTTTGCTCGCGACTTCGTCCGCGTGGTGGCCGACATTAGACATCGTGGAAGATACCTACAAACAATCCATCAAAATCATGAAATCATCATCATAATGCAGAAACTGATTAAAATTCTTTATAAACGCATTCTTAACTATTTCATATACAGATATATGTTTAAAATGTATATCTGTATGGATAAAAGAAAAAACTAAAAAAACTAATTCACTGTCTGATCAATCAACGCGCAGCTTAAACCGATGGGTAGGTATAGCAAGCAAGCAAGCATTAAATTTTGCACAAATGTTCCTTCGGTGACTTAAGTGTGCTCTAAGAAAGGACTTTTAAAAATTCCATCCCTAAGAGTGCAAAATGGGGCTTCGAAATTTATTTAAAACTTCGTTGTTTTTAGTAGTAGTGTTTTTAAACTTACAGTAAATAATCTTTATTAAAAGTAATAAAAAACATTCTTACAAATTTTTCTAAAGTACCCTTAAAAAGGGTTTTTATGAGGAACTTTTTTTTTAACTTATCGATTCCAAGGTCTCAGTATAATTAAATTATGTTTCAAAAATTATAATTTTTAGACACCTATTTTTTTACATTTCAAAACGTAAGCATGTTTGCGCATGCATACATGTTTGTTTGTTACTCAATCACGCCAAAACCGCCATCTAGATATGGAACAGATTTGGCACATAGATAGATTAAAGTCTAGAATAGCAAAGCGACTACTATTTATCCCGCCCAAATTTATTGACAAAATTTATATTTATGCAAGCGAAGCCGTTGGCAAAACCTAATATTTTATATGCATCATCATCATCATCATCATTAATAGCCTTTAGTAGTCCACTGCTGGACATGGGCCTCTCCTTAGAAGGGAGGTTCTGGCCTAATACGATCTATTTTATATGCAAGGGTCATTAAATTTCATTGTATGTGAACAAAGTTTTTTTTCCTGATATGTTGTTGATGATGGTTCTTGTTAGTAACTGATTCGGTTTAACTTATAAAATATTGAACCATCAGTTTTCATAGTGTAACCAGCCTCAGTTCCATTTGCATGGTAAATTATTTCATCAATTTTGACAAACTGCCGATGATCCTATTTTGTTCGTCTAAATTCTAATAGAATAAACTAATCCTTGCACGAAACAGGATCGATTCGTATCATAAAATGAATTCGACGATATAATTTTTTATGAACAACTCACGTTTGAGAGTAAACATTAGAGTTTTTTTTAAATAGTGATACAGTAAACTTCTTTCGAACCATGAGTCATATAACTTTTTACATTTCTAACTACTTTGATCAAGTTTCATACATACTCTCGACCCTCTTTTTACACCTAATACACACTACATTAAGAATCATTTGCCTTGATCGATCAGTCAAAAAAGTCGCGACGTTTGTATGTAAAACTTACAACCCCTAAATACCAAAATTTTACCCCGCTAGGGGTAAATTTTTTTAAATTCCGCTCCACGTGTTCATTTATTTATAATTAGAAGTAAGTATAAGAAACTTTGAAAATTACGAATTTTCCCTATTCATTGTCCACATTCACATGTCTGTTTATTTGTAACCAGAAGAAGGTGTATGAAATTTCTTGTTTCTTACTTTGAAAATCACGAACTTCCATAGTTCCATACATAAATTTTCAAAAATCCCTTCTTAGTGCACACCACCTTCGTCACCTAAGGAACATTTGTGCAAAATTTCATGCTTCTAGATAGACCCAGCGGTTTCAGTTGATCGACCACTCAGTGAATCAGTCGGTTAGTTTCTTCTTTTATATATATACCTACAATAAATCGATCCTTAGGGAATATATTTTATTGACATTAGACTGCCCGCAGACCCTGCAGTTATCGCAGATTACAAATATAAATCTAAATATTGTACTGTACACGTGCGACCTTTTTGAATTACCTCTTTGTATTTAAAGTCTAGATATCTGACTATGAAAACTGCATGTAACAAGCCTTAGGTTTTAGCCTGTTTACTCACAATATATATGAACTTTATTGACATGTATATATTGTACAGGGTTCTTGGCTACTCTTACCCCTAAAGAACTCGATTGGATCCTGAGTGTTTGTAGAATAAATTAATTTCTTGTCTGTGTCGTACAGGACTGTAATATCAATCAATATTGTTTTTATTATCCATGTTCAGAGATGACAAGACACACCCTAAAAAATATAATGTAAGTTACAAGATGACGTTACCTAGTGTGTTAGAAAAGTTTAAAATACGTACATTTCAACTTAAAAAAAACATAGTTTTTAATAATTTTAAGGCAGCATTATTTTGAACGTTGCCAGGCCAGATTAAGCCGGGAGGAAGCTTTTAAAGGAAAATAAATATAGTAACATGAATTGTATCAGTCAATCGGTTACATTTATTTTATGTGTAAAAAAATATTTTGTCTGTAGAGATGCTAAAATGTTCGTTTTAAATATTATTTATATAATCGGACTCACGTAAGATTTACGGTAGACTCTGCAGTTAGCAAACATGCTATGCAGGCATACCATGCTATATAGCATAATATGGTGTGCTTTACCAAGCATGGTATGGTTTCAGACCGTGATTGGAGTGTGAATGGTATGGTTTTTGGCATTTTTGAACTGTTTTATGTACGTCCTTCTACATGTGTAGAGTTCCATTCAAGCATTTTATTTACTTTTAACGCCCCCTGTTGTAATTTACTTTCAACATTTCAATTTAAACTTCACAGAACTTGAAGATAATTTTATGTAGTGCCGCTTTACTGTTATTTAGTATGCTAGTCAATAGATGGCAGTGTCAAGTGTTCCTAAAGTTAAGAACATTTATTTTTCGACCCTCTGATGTAATATAGTACCTATGTAACAGTTTTTTTCCATGCATGACATAACCATCCAGTGAGAGATTTCCATCTCTCACTGGATGGTTATGTCAGACTTAAACCGCACGCCATCTCTTGTACTAGTAGCCGGCGAATCAGGTGTATGGACGATCTCAGGCGCTTGAGCCGCCTTCGGTACCTGGCCCGGCCCTGCAGTGTTATTCTCTAAGGAAACAACCTTGCGTAAAGCGCTGCTGCAGCGTTGAATTTTAAACTACTAGTAAGAACTTTGCTGCTGTGGCAGCTATGTACGCAAGGCTGTTTCCTTTAAGAATATCATTGCTGGTGGCAGCCCCGGATTTACAATTTTTTCGAACTGGGGTAGAAACTTATTAATAGCGCCTCTCTCCAACTTTTGAGATAAATAACTTAAAAAAACTGACAAATGTATTGGCATTTTTCCCTGATTTTCACATACTTTACAATATATTGGTTCTTAAAACCCTTTATTAAATTTGAACTATTTAATATCTTTTACCCACTTTTTCGTTTATCTGACAAAAAATTATACATAGGAAATATATTACCGTTTATTTTAACGTTTTTACTAGAAAGGTATATTTATATCATACTTTTTAGAGGGTTAATTTTTTACATTTTGTGATAGCAATAGTCCGACTATAAATTATATGACCAATCTAAACCAAAGTGTTATGCCTAAATTAACTAGAAATTGCTTTCTAAGTTAATAAAAACATTTTAACTATCTTTTTTCGTATAAATGGAGAACTTTCTGAAATGGAAGTTGAAATGAATAAGTATCGAACAATGTGCGCTGCCCTGCTTGGGTGCCCAGGTTTATTCCCCTCCGTCTAGATCCGGGGCTCCGGGGAACCGGGAGAGTTCTAAACCCCTCCGGGTTCCGCTTCAATACCTATTTAAAACCTAACTAGCATTTAGAGTCTAGTATGTTATAGTTATTTGGTTCACAAATGTACCTAATCTTATTTCACTAATTATGTACGTCGTGTCAGAGATGGAAGTTTAAATTTATGTTTGTGTCTAGCACTTTTTAATATGTATCAAACATTATTTAATAAATTTAAAATAAGGAGTTAGTAATAACAAAAGCTTATCAATGCCTTCTAAAAAAGATGTAAATGTGCCAACATTCGTTGATAGCGTGGTAATATTAAGTATGTAGCTACTTTAATTGTTTATATTTTTTTGGCGGGCCTGTTGGTCCAGCGGTTAGTAACCCTGACTGCTAAGCCGGAGGTCGTGGGTTCGATTCCCACCCAGGACAATTATTGTGTGATGAGCATGGTCATTTGTTCTGTGTCTGGGTGTTCTATAATATGTATGTATTGAAAAATATATAGGTATGTTTATCAGTCTGGTTACCATAGCACAGGCTCTGCCTAGTTTGGGATCAGACGGCCGTGTGTGAAATGTGTGAGGTATATTATTATCATAGATATTCTTGTAAATTTTATAAATACTTACCTGTACTCTATATACCTACCACCTTAACCTGTACTCTGTACACTTTACTTTGTGATATTTCTACCGACTCAGGTCAATTTTCGTAATACGAGTATAAAAATACATAGGTGTGCCAAAGAAACTTTGAGTAATGTGTATCGAAGTGTAACTACGTGTAACATTATTTGTGTTTTACAGTACATTTCAAATGTGATTCAAATGATGGTTTACGAATCCATGTGAACTCGAACAAATTCAACATTAACATTAAAAATTAACATGTAACTAATTGTTTTATTTCACATTTTATTATACATCAACAGTCAGCAGTGCCGTTGACAAAAAAAAAATGTAAAAGACGTTACGGTGGTATGGTTAAGTAGTGTCGTTTACAATACACGAATTCGCACCTAGTTAAAGTGACGGATACCTAGTTACCAAATTAACACGTAATATATAACAATAACCTGACTACTCATAACCAAACTTATATTTCACCAAATACCCATATAACTCATTTTAAACTAATTACATCCAGTCTCAGAATCAATATTTCCATGAATCTACGAACAAATATTTGTGTGATGAGCACACAATTATCTGTTCCGTGTGAGATTGGAACCTTGTCGGGATCATTAATAACTAGACCAACAGACCAGTCGAAGAGGCTTTGTACGTTTAAGAAAAGTCTTTTTACTGTAATACAGCCTGTACCCAATTATCAGATGTCGCGAAAAATAGACTTTTGTTTATATCTGTAATGCTCTAGTCTCACATACTTTTTGACCTTTGCTTTGGTTCATAAATGAAGTATGACTTATAGGACTCTGTAACCAGGTCATTGGTTGCCCTTCCATGCACCTGTTTACGGATACACACTTTCTGATATGTTAAATTTACCACGAGCAAGTGATGCCGCTTTTGTTAAGGAAAGGCTTAGCTTTAACTATCGGGTACTATAGTAGAACTAAAATAAACGTACACCAATTATTTTTTCTTTATACGCATTTATTGCTTTAATTTTTTCAAATATTTTTGGATGGCATTTAGCATTTTTAAATTACATTTATATGAAACAAATTCCAAGAAATTGGCATCTTAATCTCTTTACTTAAATATAGAATAATTTCTTAATAATCTAGGTTCATTTAATTAGGTAAATTAATATCAATTGATCAATGATAATAATAACTTGGTCCCATGATTACTTTTTACAAAACCTATCTTCATTATAAATACATAACAAGAGCATACGTAACACTGTGAACTCTGGTGTCAAATATGATTGATATTTATTTAATATTGATTACCCAGTGTTCGAGTATGTAGTGTTTTACGTACTACAGTATTTAAGAGAATGTTTTTTCACACATATACAAACTATTTATTTACTTAAGCATAAATTATCAACAAAAAGCAATAAACGCTTTATTTAAACTTAATCTATGTATATGATTTGTACCGAATTAAATAGCAATATCTTTTCTAATTCCTTAAATAACTTCATAAATTAGCAATACTGGTGACCACTATGAAAGTAAATCTTTATAAATATTAACAAACGTATTTACAGGTTAAATAGTTTTAAAGTTGAAAAGACCTTAATTAATATAGTAAGTAATATTTAATAGCGAGGTTTTTAAAGACAACAATTAATTAAGTTTACACCTTTATCACATGAAAGTTAAATTAATAGTTTGAGAAATATCTTAATCTAAACACTTCAAGTTGTTATATCTTGTTGCATATCTTTAGAAATATTTTTTCAAAGTAAGGGTAGCTTATAAATACTATTTTTCTGGTCTTTAAGTACTCACAACTATCAAGTAAAAGAATATTGATTTAATAAAAAAATAATTCTATGGGAAAGTAATCAATAGTTAATGTTCCTAAATTAAATAAAAAATAAGATTAACTTCTAAAATAAATATTAAATCCGATTTTTTTTTCCACTGAAGATAAAGTAATACTTAGAACATAACAAAATCTCTTAAAAGCCTTACACTCTTATATAAATGTCTCACTGATAAACTTTTGCGGACAAGTGTAGAATACTCAAGCTTGAAGGCATGAAACAAACATTCAATAGGTGTTGAATCTTGTAGAAAAATAAAATTATTGTACAAACGGCTTGCCAATATGCGGATATGATTCGACTATATAACAATTGCGTAAACATCATACTTTTGAGAACTGTGTAATAGTGATAGAAGTTAAGAGTGGTTTGCGGGTTGAACGGTGATGGGTGCCGGCGTGCTGTATGCAGCAGGTGTTGCTGGGCTGCCAGGGACTGATGTCTGTGCTTCAGCCTCGGCATCGCGTTCTGCGACTTCTTCCTCGTCGATAATTGAAATATCACGGATAGACGGACGGTGAGATCGGCGCCAACCTGCATACAAAAACGTTTTTCTTATATAAACAGTACAAAAATATGTAAATTATAAGAGCTAATGTGCAGTGCACTGCAGGAATCACGATTTTAAATTTTTTACAATTTAAACACAGCTTTGTATTGAGAAAAGGTTAAGAACGGGTGAACACATAGACAAACATATTAAATCTTACCTATTTAAATAGGTACCTAAGTATTGACCATTGTATCCATATTACTATTATGGATTGGAATCATTTACGAATTTGTTTGCTGTTTTTCAAATGTTATTGTTTAAATTTTGTGAATTTTTAATGTTTGCAAGTCAAGGTAGATTGTATAATGGTCAGAAAAATTCTAGTCTAGGTACTGTCTCGCAGTTCTTGAATAAGTAAGAAAAAAAAACTGGTAAACTTTTGCAAAATACGATACGATATTTCTTCTATATCACGTAGTTATTCATATCATATAAAGCACCATTACAGTGCGACCACAATTCCTAACAGAGCTTCGTGAAAAGTAATGTGTTGCGGTAAACAGTTGTGGAAAAAGTTGGCATAAATATTTTACATTAAATAATTAATTTGTTCATAAATATTGAACTGAACGGACAACACTACGTATAAAAAATAAACAGCGTTGTACAAATGGATCCCCAGGAGCCTTAATTAAAACCACTGACTTTTAACAACTAGTTTTATTTATCACTAGGTTACACTTCACACAATAGGTAAAAGGATGTTCGTTCAATACAAAGAAATCAAATCAATTTATGTTGATTGCGGTAACGAAACCATAACGCGATTTAGCAAAACGGCACAGCGACATCTATCGAAGAGCAATGTAACATATTTCAATTTATACATTCCGCCCACCAAGGACATATTTATAAAACTATGTCCTTAATAATGTAAAATAACTGATTCCGCCCACCATGAGGTAAAGGGGATTGGTAAACAAAACTAATGAAATCCGCCCACCATGAGGTCAAGGGGGATATGTGGTAAGACTTACGACTACAAGCTATACTACTGAAACTTACAACTAGATTATCAATCTGCTATTGGCAAAACACACAATTTATTTGTTGGCCGTTTAAAAACAGAATCCTTGCATTTCAAAGTTACGACTCTAGTGATTCCGTCCGAACCCGGGTGTTTTAATAAAACCCTACCGAGTAACCACCTACCAGGAGGCAGATTGTCTTCCTTGATCAGAACCACATCACCTATCTTTGGCTCAGGTTCCTTTTGGGACCACTTATAACGGTGCAACATTTGGGTCAGATATTCCTGAGACCAACGTCGCCAGAAGTCTTGTGTCATTTTTTGAAGCAACTGCCATCTTTTCAGTGTGCCTACATTAGAGTGTTCATAGTTACGATCCGGTGCAAGAATCAACGGCTCTCCTATCAAAAAGTGACCAGGTGTAAGGGGCATTTGGTCTTCTGAATTTTGCGAAATTTGAGAAATTGGTCTAGAATTGAGACACGCCTCAATTTGGACCAGAAGAGTAGACAGCTCCTCGTAAGTGAGAGTGGAGTCGCCAATGACTCTCTTCATGTGATATTTAGTTGATTTAATGCATGCCTCCCAAAGACCACCAAAATTTGGAGCGTGCGGTGGTATAAAATGCCACTTAACACTGTTGGAGCTGAGCCAATCCCTAATTTCATCAGCGACCAATGACTGTTCCGCATTTACTAGGCAGCGTAACTCCTTGGAAGCACCTACAAAATTCTTTCCGTTGTCACTCCAAAGGTCACTGCAGTGACCTCGTCTGGCAATGAATCTTTTAAACGCTGCAATAAAAGATTGTGACGTGAGATCGCTTACGACCTCCAAGTGCACCGCTCTCGTAACCATACATACAAACAAAGATAGCTGAGTGTCGGAGACAAGTTACACATCTACGTGCAAATGATTTGACTGTGCCTTTTGCCGAGATTATCCAGTATTTCGAGCGCAAGTAATTTAACATTAGAGTGGGTCCTCCATGAAGTGTTTTTCTATGGGCTTCATCAACAAGCAGGCCAGCTAGGTGACTATGTTGAGGAATAATAATGGGGTGTCTCATGCTTTCAGAGAGTTGAGCATGTTCTATTCTTCCTCCTACTCGCAGTATTCCTCGTGAATCCAGTATGGGACATAGTGCCTTTAATTTGCTTTTAGTCTTAACTCTTCCTGATCTCTTAACATCGTCTATGTCTTCACTAAATGATTGCCGTTGAAAATCTCTAATACAAATTTCCAGGGCCTCATCTAATTCCTCGCTGGTCAGGTAAGTGTGTCCTTTCCTATATATTTTAAAAAATCTTCTGCAATACGCCACGACTCGGACTAGCCTTTGAAGTGATGAGAATCTGGTCCACAGTGAATTGTCTTGACGTATTGCTACGTGTACCTTTACTATTCTTACTTCTTCTTCCGTACTGATTGACTTGGGTTTTGTGTAGTCGATTGTTCCGTTTTTCAGCCAAGATGGACCATGAAACCATAGTGAGCAATTTGAAAGTTCCATAGGTGTCGTACCTCTGGACGCTATATCTGCGGGGTTAAAAGGAGATTTTACATGCGCCCATTGGAACTTTCCACCAAAGACAGGATATCTGAGACGCGATTACCTACGAATGTAGTCCAGCGGCTAGGGTGACCACAAAGCCATGCTAAAACTACTGTCGAGTCAGTCCAGCAGTGTATATTTTCTTTGGGAATGTTGAACAATTCAGCTACTTCCGTTATCAGCTTGGCTAGAAGAACGGCACCCATCAACTCCAAACGCGGTATCGAAAGCTGCCTTATAGGAGCCACCTTAGTCTTGGCTGTCACCAGGTTAACTTTAATGTCCTGGCTCTCTCCGATCACTCGCATGAAGACCACTGCTGCGTATGCTTTATTAGAGGCATCACAGAAACCTTGGAGTTCCACAATATCATTGCCATTGGTTTCTAACCACCGTGGGATGACAATGTCGGGTAGGTTCAATAACTCGGTTTTATATGTTGTCCACTCGTTATGTAGAACAGTAGGCAAACTGTCGTCCCAATCAATCCCCGCAAGCCACAGTTTTTGGATGAATATTTTAGCAGGTAATACACAAGGTGCTATCCATCCTAAGGGATCAAAAAGGCGAGAAATTTCCGATATGACCTTTCTTTTAGTGATTGGGTCAGAGTGTTGGTGAAATGTTACAGAATATTTGAAACAATCATGTTCCTTATCCCAGGAAATGCCGAGTACCTTCATCACTGCGGGTAATTTTAATTCTACTACCTTGTCTCGACATTTGTTTGCTTCACTAAGGCCTTTTGTCAGTTCTCTACTATTGGTCGTCCACTTTTGTAATTCAAAACCTCCTCTTTCAAGCAATTCTGTCATTTCCTTGTAGATCCTCATTCCTTGCTCCACAGTCTGACAACCTGACATGAAGTCATCTACGTAAAATTCTTCTTTTAATTTTTCAGCGACTAAAGGAAAAGATGCTCCTTCATCGTGTACCAACTGCTGCAAACACTTCACAGCAAGATAAGGTGCACATGCAGTTCCGAATGTCACACGTGTTAATTTGTAATCCTTTATTTCAGATTCTAGATCACTCCGCCAGAGCAGTCGTTGAAAATGTGTGTGTTGAGGAGTAACTATGACTTGCCTATACATCTTAACAATGTCGGCACAAAGGACAATTGGATGTAACCGCCATTTCATTACAATTTGACGCAGGTCTGGCTGAATGGTAGGACCAACCATCAGTGTATCATTAAGGGACACACCATTGGACCCCTTGGAAGATGCGTCGAACACAACTCGGACCTTGGTCGTCGTTTTATCCTCCCGAACTACGGCGTGGTGAGGTAAGTACACAGCCTCCGTTCTCTGAGTGTCCGTTTCGGGATTGATTACTTCCATATGACCAAGGTCGAGGTATTCTTGAATGACCTCAGTATACTTCTGTTTCATCTCTGGATCCTTCTTAAAACGACGTTCAAGAAGGTGAAATCGTCGAAGCGCAATGTCTCTGGTATGGCCGTATTTGCACTGTGGGTCTGAGTCTCTAAATGGTAAACTGACAACATACCGACCAGTGCTGTCTCGTTGAGTGGTTTGCTTGAAGAAGTCTTCGCATAACTGCTCTTCCTGGGTAAGTATTTTCTTCTTACTGTATGCGTCAGATTCGATTTCCCAAAATCTTTTAAGCATTTCATTGTCACTGATCTGCGAATGCATGCTTACCAATGCCGGGTGACAATGTGCTGAATCCAAATTCGAATCTCTGTGTGTTCGACCAGATAAAATCCAACCTAACCGTGTATTTTGTGCTATCAAGGGTCCAAGAGGGTGCTTGATTAAACCCTCTCTGAGTACCTGGCCATAAACTTCAGCTCCAAGCAAAATATCGATTTTGTTTGGATTGTGGTACTCTGGATCTGCTAAAACTATTTCTTCTAGTTGATGCCACGTTGGCACTAATACTTTATCACCTGGAAGTAACGATGTAATATTACCCAAAACATATGCCTGAACTTGGATGTGAAAATTAGGATCGTGACGTGATTTAATAGTTACGAAAACGATAAACTTGGAGACCATAGCTCCACCGTCACCTCCTATGCCTGAAATGACACCTCTTGCGGGTGTCTTTTTGAGTCCAAGTAACTGAACTGCTGATTCGGTTATGAACGACGTCTGGGATCCTTGATCCAATAACGCCCTCAGCAGGTGGTTGTATCCGTTGCCTGTCTGTGCTTCGACAAGAGCGGTTGCTAATAAGACCTGATTTGGAACAGCCTTCTTACTAAAGTGAGTGGTTATAGCGGCAGCATTTAATTCCTGCACCGCATCGGAAGCAGTACTCGATGTAGCTACTGCCGACTTGACTACTGACGTCGTCTCTGCAATGCCTCTAGACGACGTTGATCCTGAGGATTCCTTAGGGTGTAATAAAGAGTGGTGTTTGCGATTGCAAATCTGACAAGTGGTGGGGACACGACAAAACTTAATAGAATGACTCGACCTTAAACAATTAAAGCATAAGCCACTAGTTCGAACGAAATCACTACGTGTTTTATAGTCATTTTTACAAAACTGTTTACAGTGACTAAGTTTGTGGGGTTGTTTACAGAATGGACAGCTTGCTTTAATAGGGGTATCGTTTTTGGAAGCAACCGCATGAAGAACTCTTGGTTTGTAACTTGACCTTTGTCTACCACTCTGTGTATCCAAGTACTCTAATGACCGAAATCGAGACTCTAGAAACGTTTTAAATTTGTCAAATGTTGGTAATTCTTCACAGGTACCAACCGTTGACTCCCATAATTTTCGTGACTCGCTATCTAATTTTTCGCTGATTAAGTATATTATTATAACATCCCAAGAGTCAACTCCAACACCAATAGTTGATAGGCCATTTATGCAGTCTACAGTTGTGTCCAAGAGCTCCTTAATAGCGCCTGCTGATTCCAAAATATTCGATTGATTTATTAATCTCTTTAACATAGCGTTACACAAATACCGCTTGTTGTCATAACGCTTAGTTAGCAACTGCCAGCATTCCTGGTAATTGGCAGCTGTGACTGGAGTGTGGCGCAACAATTGTTCTGCCTCACCCGCCAAATGACCTTTTAAATAATGTAACTTCTGTACATCATCAATTGCATCGTTGTTGTGAATTAGCGATAAAAATAGATCACGAAATGATATCCATTCTGTATATTTTCCCGAAAACATTGGAATAACGACTTTAGGTAATTTAACATTATTATACATCTTTATTACCGGTTGCTTATCAGAACCCTTAGTCGGCTTTGCAAGTTTTGAAATGTGTTCTCTCAACTCTGATTTGTATAAAATATAACTTTCTTCGGTGCTATCGTATGTATCTGCTTTAAAATAATTATGTTCATTATCTTTTGCAAGTTCTACTATCTTTCTATGTGTTTCTACAAAAGACTTCCATTGTTGTTCCAAAGTTTCCAATCTGGTCTCCAGGAACGAAGGTGTTAGACGTTCTTTAGGTGATTTTTTATAATTTACTCTGCCCTTCTCAATGGAATTCTTTGCATCATTTTGCAACTTTATTAATGCTTCCATGTTGAAGTTAGAAGTTTTTGCTTGAATGCGTCACTCACTTACTCCAAATTTACAATACTTCTTAATTTCTCCGATAGGGGGCGCTTGTAACTCCTCCACACCACCGCTATTATTCGCCTGTATTGTCCGCTTCAATGACACTCCGCTGTATAATGCGCTTTCAACACGCTGCTGACAGCCAAGTGACTCCACACCCGTGGCGCCCTCTGCTGTTGACGGAATACGTCGCTGAGGCCTCTTCGTGGCGTTAAGAGGCGGCAGCACTTCAGAGCGATCCACTCTGATTTCTACGCTGGTGAAGCACTAAATATTGCACGCGTCGACACTACCGCGCACTGTATCCGGCTGAGAAGGACCATGTACAAATGGATCCCCAGGAGCCTTAATTAAAACCACTGACTCTTTACAACTAGTTTTATTAATCACTAGGTAACACTGTACACAATAGGTAAAAGGATGTTCGTTCAATACAAAGAAATCAAATCAATTTATGTTGATTGCGGTAACGAAACCATAACGCGATTTAGCAAAACGGCACAGCGACATCTATCGAAGAGCAATGTAACATATTTCAATTTATACAAGCGTTAGCAAAACACCATTTATTAATGGCAGATCCAGATATAATTTTTCAAGTAGAGAAACACATTTCCTCCACTTTGAAAGAGTATACATAGCATTATTATCAAAATTACATTAATAGTGTATCGCCTACTAGAAGTGAACACTGCATTCGAAACTGCAGACAATTGAGGTTAAGTACATCACTATCATGGCTATGATCTAGGTCTTAAAATTAAGAAGTATATAAATATTAATAATGATTAGATAAATACACCTTCAAAGACCAAACTGTAGCACCAAAAATATCAATATTATTACCAACTTTATTATATGCGGAACATATACGGTACAACGGTGCATGTTGACCATAATTTGAGCGGTAGAAAGGTAAGCTAAAAGCTTTTCTGTTATTAATACGTTTTAACGTTATTAAACTAAATTATTTTTTTCAAGTAGAGAAGGGCTGTCTACTTTTCCATGGAGTAGTTTGTACAAATAAACGATGTCGATGTCAAATATTATGGATATGGAAATATTTCATCTGCGCTCCAGTGAAATAAGTTTGAAATATGCTAGTATGAATTCATAAGTCGTTAGTTTACGGCTAAGGTTATGAGCGTATGATAGATGGTACAAAAATTTCTTTTGAAGCCCTTCAATCGTGAAATATGAACTGCATATGATGGGCTCCATACCTGACAGCAGTAGCCAAGTAATACGTAGGTAATACTCATATAACAGTTATAAAGAATTATCGGAATCTCAAAGTCTTTAAAGAACTTAGTTTGTCGCATGACAAATCCAGCTAAACGTGCACTCTAATTTTTAATGTTGTCTATATGATCTCGAAATTCCTAAATTGGACATTCTTGTTATCAAACACAACACTCAGATATCGCACGTTCGATTCTTCAGTGATTGGAATGTTATATGTTGTTATATTAAGTAGCAGATGTAGGCTTTCGCTTTCGTGTAAATTGAATGTGAAAGCATTTAGATGTGTTTATTGTCATTCCGTTTAGAGCACCAATGGTTTATAGCAATGACGTCACTTTGTAGAGAATTTATATTGTTCATATTGTTGATAACTCGGTAAATCTTTAAATCGTCTGCGAACATGTGATAAGTGGATGTTATGGCGGAGTACAGGTCATTTATATAGACCAAAAAGAAAAGTGGTCCCAGGTGGGTGCCCTTGGTCACACCGGAGGGAATTATCCTGGTGACAGATTTAAAGCCTCTAATTTTAACTAGCTGTGATCTATTTCTAAGGTAAGTGGTAACGAGCCACAAATGTCAATGCGAGTCAACTTTTGTATAAGAAGAGCATGATCAACCACGTCAAATGCCTTTGAGAAGTCGGTGATAGATGGCATGTACTTCTCTTCTATGGTCCTGAAATGCTTCATATATATTTGTTACATAGTCTAACAGGTTCGACGTAGTTGATCTGCTGGGTAAGAACTCATGTTGAACATCCTAATGGATGTTGAATTTGGGCCTCAGGTGAAATTGAATTTTGGCTTGAATTTACTTCACAAACACCTTACCCAACACGGCCAGAATCGAAATGGGTTTGTAGTTAGAGATATAACTCTGGCTCCCTTTTTTAAATATAGGTGTGATGTATGCTAGCTTCCATGTAGAAGGAAATCTCTCGTCATAGAAAGACTTATTAAAAATGTGGTATAGTGGATCTATAAGCTGTTCTGAACTTTATTGCCGAAATATTGGTGGTATTGCGTCTGGCCCTGGTCCTTTACTAATGTTTACCGATTTAAGGGACCTTTGAATATCTGCTCTAGAAATATATCATACACCTAGTGATTGTGTATGATCGGATGAATTATCGGTACTCGCAGCTTTATGTGTCTGTTTATCAGGGTATACCGAGTGAAAATATTCGGCGAAAAGGTCGCTGATATTCTGTCAACCATTAGCAGTTTTATCACTTAAGAACATTTCATCAGGTATTTCACAACTGTTTTATTTTAGGGATTTGATAAAAATCCAAAAATATTTAGTGTTTTTTAATTAATTGTTTCGATTCATTCTTATAATTATTTAAATACTCTTGCAGCATTGTCTTGCTCCCAGCACGTAAAACCTGGTAAGTGACTAAATCCCTATTGTTAGCGGGTTTTTTATATTTGTGTAATAGTGAGCGACTGCACCAGAAAGGATATCTATTATTGCCATTGCTTCGTGTGGGTGTCTTATTGGATATTATTTGATTGAGTAGCGTGTAGAATGTGTCAACAATCTCATCAATAGTTTCATTATGCTTAAAGCTTTTATATCCCTTTCATGATCCCTGGGTGATGAGCGTTCAACTCTACCTCTGGGGTCTTGCATTGTCGCTCTTTGAATAGTTTAGGATTCGAAGATTATTAAATATATATAATATTTTTGATTTGTTTCCTTAACATAGTAATCAAAAATATTTTTTCTTTTGAAATATCAATTGTCAATATTACTAGATAAACCAATCACAGCTAAATTAGATTTATAAGGCTTGCATTATGTGAGCAGCAAACAGGAAAATCCTAATTAAACCTAAAATAGAAGAACGTTCTTAGAAGGTCGACCAGTGTACACTTGTGGCTATCGCTTATATGTAAATACCACGTATATTTAAATAGCAGATAACGAAGGTTAGAGTTTATCGGAATATTATTTTGTGTATTAGCCGACACTCACAATTACTACTCGTTAAAATGTTGGGAATAGCGCACCGTCTTTGTGTAGCGTTGACTATAGTTGTATTATTTTGTAGTAATTTTGACTGTTTACAAATTAACCTAGAAGATTCAGTGTCGTACAAGCTAAAAAATGTTGATGTGTATCCAGAAGATTCAGACGTCACGGATTCACCGAAGATTGAGGAAAAATATGTTGAAATAGTTCCAGACATATTCGCTAGCGAGAGAGATAACTATGATGGGGAATTATCGGAGGTAATGAAAACAAAAGTGATCAATACACTCAAGACAAAGCGAAAGGTACGTCAAGCAGGATTTAATCACGGGTACGAATCACTATACCCACAGGTGCCCTCAGGGCCTCCTTACAATCAATATCAGCCATCTGCACCACAATGGAATTCAAATACCAACAACTATTCTCAATCTGGTTATCCAGCTCAACAGGGTTATAAACCAAACCAGGGATCGTTTAATCCTAGTCAACAACCAAACCAAAGGCCTTATAATCCAAACCAAGGAACTTACAATCAAGGCCAGATACCTTATAATCCTAGTCAAGGAACCTATAATTCAAGTCAGCTACCTTACAATCCAAACCAAGGGTCATATAATCCAAGCCGTGGGCCGTATAGTCCAAGTCAAGCACAGTATAATCAAACTAATGTACCATATAACTCAAATACGGGCTCCTATTACCCAAGTAACTTTCCTAATCAAGGACAATCTAATTATTCTAACAATCGACCTTATAATCCATCTTCGGGGCTTAATCCTTACGGATCGTATAGTACTACAAGCAGACCTTATTATCCAGCCAGTAATCAAAATTCATCCTATAACCGCAACACAAATGTTCCTCCTTATTCAAATAGTTATGGACCCCAGAATTCAACAGTTAATTTTATAACCACTCCTAGGCCGTACAATTCTGGATATAATAATAATTCATATCCAGGACAGCAGCAATATAACAATAATTATCCCACCAATCCAAACAACGGTTCTCAGCGACCTCCTAATAACAGTAACTATAATCCTAGTCAGAATCCATCGTATCCGTATTCAAGTGTGCCAGGTAACAATCCTTCATCGCAATATCCTCAAAACTCGAATCCCTATGGATATAATACAAACTCCTATTCTCAAAATCCCACTCAAAACTACCATCTTCAACCCAAGAATTTATCCTATTCTCAACATCATTATTAAATGAAAGAGTAACTATGTTACCTGCACCAGATAATGCAAGTCGCCTTATTTTTTAATTACCTACTTACTATTCTAACATTGTAAAAAGAAAATCATCAGTGTAAAATTTTATACAATAATATTGTAAAGACATTGTGGTAACAAAATAAATAAATTAATAGACTGTGAAAGACTTATTTACATCTGGCTACGCATTAACTTTACTCTTGATAACCTTAACAAATACTGTTAAGTTGTGATAAGGGCGCAATGTCTATACTGAGGAAACATGTATTAGTTATTTTACAAAAATAAGTATGTTTATCCACAAATATAAAAATTAAATGTATTATTCGAGTTTTCAAATTCAAGTAAATTTTTCGTAATTTGCTGGTATGTACGTAAAGTTGGCAAATTGGGTTCTGTCATACAACGTTTTACAGAATATACTTTGCTAATACTTCAGTAAATATTCAATATAGGTGCTATAGAATATTTATAGTAATTATACTCTGTGAAAATTTAATATGTATAAATCTACATACTTACAAATATATAAAAATTTTACAGTTTTAGTTCTTAGATCTTTCCTCTTAATTTTAAATGTAGGTACAGATTCACTGTGTTTGCAATACGAGTAAATTATAGTTCATATCGCAATACCGAACATATTTATTACTTCTGATTATAATTTTATTCATTAATATACTAAAATAATTGAAATAATAAGATGATTTTATAAAAGTGATTGAATGATTTTAGTGTCTGAACGAACATTCTACATCCTACTCACCATCACACTCTGTTATTATTTGAAAGACATTTCTGTATACTATAAAGAAAACTTAAGACTCGAGAAGGTGCTCAATGCCGAAGGATTAGAAAAAATACATCAAAACAAAAGTTATACAGGATAGGACAGGAGGAGGTTTGAACACAGCAGTTTTATCGTCGAGATTCAACTGCACTACTAAGTTAGTGTTCATACTACAGAACATTGGATATGTTTATGTATGCATAGTTATCTTTTTCTTTGAGTTGCTTGTCAAAATTAATCTAATCAAAATAACTTAGAGGAGTGGCCTGTCTAAGGAGGGGCCTATGTTGAGCCAGTGGACTACTAAAGGCTATTGAAAATGATGATGAAAATAACTTAGCATAATAAATCAATTATAGGTATTTTTAAATTGATAATAATTGGAATCAGTTGGAGAATAAGTCAGTCGCACATGGAGCCAGTCTGTTGTCAACTTCGTGGATCGTATGGACGCTACAGCTTTTCCTATAGTTGTAGTTATAGTATAGTTCCCGGTAGACATGGGACAAAATCACAGTGAACTGTGATTTATTATTAGATTTTTGCGTACGTAGGTTAGGGTTGCTAGGTACGAGTAGGTAGTTTAGAAGCTACTAACAGTAAATCTAGTATTTTTTTAATTATTATGTAGGGAATGGTGGCTATATTTAATAAAATAATTACTAGATTTACTGTTGAATGGCTGAAATAGGGTTTTTATGCATCGTCTGAAAACACTTATTAAGCTTATTGGCAACAACGCGTGAGAAAGTAGTAACTCTAATCTACGTACGTAAAAATCGAATGATAAATCAGCAGTCTTACACAGTTCACTGTGATTTTGTCTCATGCCTGGTTCCAGGATTTTTTTTACTATAGTTAAGATAGGAAACTAACTGTACACGTCAGCCAGTTGCATTAAGAGTGGTTTCAAGTAAGTAAGTAAGTAATTTGGCTGCACGGATGGTGTAATGGTTTAAGCGGTCCTCTCGCCATTTCCTACTGCGCTAAGTGTTGTGGGTTCGATCTTCACATAGGACATCACTTTGTGTGATCCACAAATTGTTGTCTTGAGTCTGGGTGTTCTTTGTGTCCATTTCATGTATGTTTGTAATATACTAGTGCGGGATTTGTCTTTTAAAAAAAAGTACTGATAAGTGGTCACTCAAGACTAGTATTTGTTAGTTCCCTTAGTTCTCTAAAAAATCGGTTGTCTGTAAAGTCGGTTTACTGACGATAGTTGAACGTGACAACGTCATAAGAAAATACTGATGGAATGGTTGCATTTTACGAAAACATGTAAATGTATTATTGTATAGCAGCTGTCCACGCGGACGCATCGCTCACTCAAGTAGGAGAGAGACAGATGTCAAACGCTGCCGAAGGCGGAGGCCGATTGTGCCTCTTTGTCGCTCGTTCCGCGCTCTCGCTTGCACTTCAAGCCTTAAATGGAACGCCTCAGAGCAAGGTAACGCCATGTTTTTTCGTGCGTGCAGCCGGCTCCATCGAATTATAAGACGTTGTCACGTCAAAAACTAATACCGCAGAGATGACGTATCCATAAAACCGAGAGAGTAAAATGATCTTACCTTCTAGCACCGGCGGCTTAGTTGTTCTGGAAAGTAGTTTAGGGCCCATGAGAGTGATGATGATAGCTCCAATTGGTGCCGTGATGACAATAGACATTATGCAAACGGTGAGAACAGTTTCAGCATATCCTACCAGCACTGGATCCGGCTCTATGCCAGCCATCTTGCGGACTTCATCTAATGCCACGGGGCCTAATGCTGCCTAAAATATACAATGGAAAAACAAAATTGAGTAAAAAAAAGATTTAATTTAACTTTTACAAAAGGAGTATTTATTAACAATGATTTGGTTTCTAGTTTGGAGAAACATTTAATCGTTTTACTTTTTAAATAATACTTCTTTAATTAGGTATATATTTCCAATTGTTCCTTTTTGCCGTATTATCATTGTGCGTTGACTTCAAACAACCTTACAAAAATTTAATAAAATAACAGGGACAAAGTAAGCATTGAGTCAAAACATATTATACTACATAAAATTTAGTATAATTTGTTTTGACTGTATGCCTTCTTTGTCCCTGTTATTTTATCCTATTGTGTAAAGGTTCAAAATTTTTCTAATAATATTAGGAATTTGACTATGACAGCTCGTAAATATCAAAAATTAGATTAAGAAGACACTACTTGACTTTTAAAATTATGAGCTATATTTATAATTTTTTTAGCTTATTTTGAAAAAGAAGCATTTATAACTTCCCTTACCTGTACTGTGGCTTTGGCCATCCATGACAGACCCACGAATACTTTTTCTTTCATATTAAGGTTACTTCGAACAGCACAGGCACTGGTTACTATGGCACGTAGAACCACACATGCGACCAGTATACCTCCGCCTACTAATACCAAATGAGGTTCTAGCTCTACAATCTGGAAAAAATATTGTTTTCTTTTTATTGTATGCCTATAATCCTTTTTCTAAAATACAGATAAAAAACTCTAAATCTATAATAACAACTGAACAGTTGTTTTGCAGCCGTCTCTTACTCTATGCTATTGAGTTTGAGTGAAAAATTTCGTGTAATAGCTTTGGTCATTAAATTTATACGAATAAAAATACTTACACGTATTTTTAAATGAGACATGTTGTTAACTGACAGTATAATAGTAAAAGTATAACTAGAACTGTCATTGTATAGACTTTTGTATCTTAAAAGGTGAAAATAAATAGAGGACCTTTGCAGTCTTACTTTAAAGCGGTTAGATTTAATATAATTTTTAAGTTTATAGTTCATAATGTTTAAAATTTTTACTTTTTTTTATTTTTTATACATATACATTTCTACATATAAACATAAAATTTTCTAAATTTGATATGCTCTCGGGCACTGAAGGCTTAGTATGAGTTTATGTCACATGAACTATCTCTCGACGGCTAGCATGTTCGGTGTTGTAATTGGTGAACATTTCAGTGTGGGCCAATTGCAACGCCGCGCTGAAAACACTTGGTAGGTATCACACTAGGCCCTCAGATCTCAAGTAGATCCGTGTAGCCTGGGAGGCAATTATTAGTATTCAAGATAGTTAAATACTTGCTCTATTCCCCTTAAAAAATGATTCTCTAATTTTTATTATTCTCTTGTCAAAAATAAAGTAGTTTATATTTTTTAATTCTTCAGCAGTATTAGAGAAAGTATTTTGATTTTCTATAGAGAGTAAAAATATCAATATTTAATACATAAATTTAGAAACATAAATACGACTTTGGTAAATTAATGGTGATCAATGTTGTGGTATTTAAATTGACCTCAATGAACTGATATCAATTTGCTTAGTAATCTCTCTAAACTTGTAATGAAATCAAGGCCATAGTCACATTAATGGGCAATGAGACGTTATAAAACCAAATGTCAAGGGCCTTCATTTTATACGGACAGCTTTCTATTGACCGCCATCTACCTACTGATAAAGCGTTTGATTAGGTCGTCGCCGTCGTCAGTGACGAATTGTCTAATTTGTATGTATCGTACATACAATATATATATTTATACAAAACAACTTTTAGGCCAATCAATTATTCACTTGTTAAATGTACATTATCACACACGCACTCACACGTACAAGTAATATATCTAACAACAAACCGGAGGTATCCTGCTCAGCCGCTTTTTTTATTTTGAAACTTTTTAAGTTTTACAAAAAAATACTTACAACTACTTGCGCACCAGTAACAGCGAAGAGCATAGGTTCAAAGAACATCCAGAAGACTTCGAAAGCTGTTGCAACGGGATTATCTTCTAGTTCCCAACCAAGTTCTGTCCAATTTTTGCAGGCAAAGAAGGAATAAGCAATCACAGCTAAGGGCCCTGTGAAAGACAATAAAGCCATACATTATTACAGTTAGGAGATAAGGGAGTCATAGTGATAGTGTCTGATTTTTGTTCTCCTATCGAGTACACGTGTGGTGACGGATTAAGAATACAGAGTGTCACCACCCCTATTCATCCCGTGGGTGTCGTAAGAGCCGACTAAGGGAGCAAACTACGTAGCACAACAGCACTTCAAAGAGAAGGAAAACTTGACAGAAACCCTATACCAACCCGTCTGGCGAGCGTGGTATAGTAGGCCAAAACCTCCTTTCTAAGGAGAGGCCTATTTCCAGCAGTGGACTATTAAAAGCTTTTATTTTATTTTATTTATTTTATTTTGTTTTAAACTTAATGCACATATTGTACAAAGGCGGACTTAATGCCATTAGGCATTCTCTCCCAGTCAACCTTCAGGTGATGTAGAAATATGATCCGGTAGGTGCAAAATAAAATATGATATTAACATAATTTAGGTCCAGAAACAAACACAATATAAAATGAAATTTTGATGATGATGATGATGATCGAGTACATAAATATAAGCCCTATAATATTAGCGATTGGAAAAGAGTAGTCGGGTAGTCATAATATTTCATTCCACGCTGTTACAGATTTGGCTTAACTACAAGCTACTCGGTCACCTAAATACATCAAGACTAACAGTTTGCAGAATAAATAAGACATTTTACAGATCCAAATGCTTCTTTTGACTTTTTAAGTTCTACATGGTTGGTAGAATGTATTTGATATCTCCAAAATTTCAAGAGGCCTTTGGACAGGATAATTTTTGTCCATGTATATAATGTATAAAAATGATCCCAAGACTTTATTATAAAGCTCCATTTTAATGGAACATGAACTTAAAATGAATCAATTTAAAATTTTACTTATCAGAAAATAATCAGAAAGAATATGTTTTTTTTTGTTACGTGAAGACGCTACTCAGTTATTTAGCAATTAGATATTCAATTTAAGTATTCTTTTTTTCAGTGCATATTGTTTCTCCTGTTTTATCGATTGACAACACCGTCATTGATTTATAACAAGCCATTGTTCTAATGAAACGTAAGCATTACCTGCAGAAAACAATCGTCCATGGTTATTGACTATACGTTTTACACTTACGTTACGTATTTGTAACGTTGATGTATTTGTAAATACTAAAAATCTATATTGAACGACATCGCTTACATATTAGGAATTCATAATATCTACTTAATAAACGGTAATGTAGTCGAATAGTGTAGGTAATTATACTACGTGTAAAAATGATTTCGGTTGAAAATGTATATGTTGTCACGTTTGGTAAAGATAAGGCCGGAAATAGTGGCACGGTTGTCGGTTTCCGCGCATAAAAATATGATGAGCCGCTATCATCCATTTATCAACAAGGATGTTAAACCAGTCTATACTATAAAATAATCTATCAGTTATATTTTTGCAAACATTTTTTATAATTATGTAAATAAAAAAACAAAATCGCACTGTTTCTTCCCCACATGGAGAAGGGTATAGAAGGGTGGAGAAAGGTATAGAGTACAATATTTTGGATATCAATACTTAAAAGGTACTCCGTTTTCTACTATTATGCCTTTATGTTTGGTGTTTTTTTCTTTGGTCTTTCACTTAGATAATGCTACTGTTTCACATTTACAGACGTTAAAAATGTTAGACGGTAACATGTGTTGGTATATGTAATAAATATATATATCTATTCTTTTTGAATTATCATGTACTTAGAACTATGTTTTTATAAGTAACTTACCAGAGCCACCCCAACCAATTTCTTCAGATCCTAGTACCATTGCCAGACCGCCGATAAGAATCAAAAGAACTCTCAGAGGTACAAGAAAGGCGTCGTTGCGTTCAGGAATATATTTCACTAAGTAACCACACACTACGCCCAATACAATGCCACCGATTATACTCAGAGGGCCCTGAAATGTAAAAGTGTTTAGGTGAAATAGTGTAAGCTAATTTAACACACAGTATTATTTGACGCCATTGGTCCGAGATCGAATAATGCTTTCTCTCTGAAGTTTCCAATAGTATGTCTGTATTAGAAACTAAATCTTACACAAAAATAACCCCGCCACCTTAACAGTTTTCCATAGAATTCTAGATGATTTGTGAGTCTCTTTAAGCAAGGTGGATAATTGCTTAATTTCTCTTATATTGACGTTTAAAATAATATTCATAGATTTAAAATATATCAAATTAAAGTCAATTGCTAAATAAACTTCCTACGCATTAAGTTTTTATTCAATTATAGTGATTGCACGGATAGAAAGTAGTAAATAGTAACGTTAATGTATTTTTCGACGGCGGCGTACTTGATGTAGCCAATCTGGCCAGCTGATAATAATGTTATTATTATTATGTTTTTACACTAACACACCTATCTTCCTCATTGTACGGAAACCTCTGGATTCCCAGAGCTAGGTACCTAGTCAGTGACCATTGAATACCTCTGGGAATCTTGCGGGTGACCTGTGACCATGAGATTAATGCGCAGAGGCCTTTGGAGGTTTTCAGTATTTTAGTGAACTACTCCAGGTATGTGTTGGACTGCTGTAAAACAAGTATGATAACTTTCTTTCTTATATTTAAATTAATTATAAACTTTCCTTTTTCACTGCCATGCCAATGTTCATACATTAGCATGGTAGTGAAAAAAGGAGAGGCTTATAATTAAAAGGAGAGGCTTAATTGGACATAAGCCTCTTTTTAATTAATATTCATTAAAGGCTGTTGATAATGATGATGACAAAACTTTTCAAGAAATGTGTTCATTAATGTTATGGGCTGTAAAGCTGTAAAGTTTTTTTTTTGGTTGATATCTTTATGCGAATTATAATTTTATGATCAACAGTATTTCAATTTAAGAAACGTTTTTAAATAATATAATAGTTATAGAATATTGGCGATCATAATTTTTTTGTGAAAGCCATTATAAATAATATTATTTATTTGTTTTTATTGAATTTTTCCCAATTTTACTTATTTTGGGTACCTATTTTTTAGTGTTCTTTATTCTCCCTCCCTTATTTTACGATATTGATGCGTCGCACAAACATATATAAATATATATATACTACACAATCACACACTTGAATGGCTTCGAGCTGACAACACCCAGTCATATGGGCTGCAGCTGAAAACCAGCGTTGGAAAGCACCTGTGGCCATCCAACAGTATGCTGAGGTGCAGACCTATTGGCACTTTTTGTAAGGAATTTTGCATGTGCCAATAAATTTTCTTTCTCTTTTTATGTTACTGTGCGGGCGCTGGTGGGGGCGGGAGTGCGGCGAGTCTAATTTCTGTATTAATATGGAAGACAACACACTGAAAACGTGCGCGGGTCGGGTTGTCTTCCATTTAAATACAAGGAATTAGACCCGCCGCGCTCTCGTCCCGACCCGCACCCGCTTTATGTGTGTTTTGCGCTTTAGAGTCACAAGTGCGTTGCTGTCCTTTCAGCCTCCCCCTGCCGGAATCAGAGGAATCTCTGTCAAAAGCAGCGAAAAAATGCTTAACACCGGTTTTAACGTGACGTTCGAGTTGCTTTTACTTTCGACCAGTAACGAATTGCATGAAATAAACAGTGTTTTATCTCACTCCTCATGGTCATTACGAACAGAATTTATTAGTTTCTTAATATTACTGCATAGTCATAAATAGCAGAAATTGATTGTGCAAGTCGAAATTTATTGATTTTTTTTGGTTCGTCCGATCTCCCGGACCGAATGGCGAAATTAAATGAGCAAGGACCAATTAAAATAATTAAGAGGCAATAAATTATAGATGAGCTTTAGTAAATAGTAAAAACGAAAAAATATATGATTCTAAAGAATAAACAATAAGTAGTAGTGGAGATTAATATTATAAAGCAAATAATAAGCTTATATATTTACGACTAAAAACTTACTTGAATAATATTCATTGTGACTGAAACAGTAGAGAACATGATGGATAAGATGATGCCGAAAACGGCAACACTCGCCGCATCATCCACACCAGACACGGCCAGCACCAGTGTGGGTATACCCTTGGATACACCGTAACCCTTTTCTCTGAGTCGAAATAGACATGGAACGATCACCGCCGGTGACACTGCTGCTACGATGGAAGATAGCAGGAAAGCTGAAATTTTGTGAAAAGTTTATGATGAGACTAAAATATCAAAAGCTGATACTGATTTTCAAGACTTTGTAGATGATTAACATTACAAAATTGAAAACAACAACGGGATTTTCTTTGTTTATTTTTTTAATAAAAGCTATTGTAAGTATAAATGTAGTCTTACCCCAGTCCCAAGGTAGTCCAAGGAAGAAGAACGCTAGTACTGCGCAGAGCAAGCACTCAAAAGTCCAAGGTACTAAGGCTAACTTGACGACAGTAAAGAAGTGTTTCTTCATGGCAATGGGGTCTAGATCCAAACCAGCTCTTGTTAAAATAATTGTTAAAGCAATTTTCCTAAAATATTTTATTAAAATAGTTATATGCAGCGGAGAAAATATTGGCAAAACAGTCCTTTTAAAAAGGAAAATAAATGTTTTATTAGAATTACCTTATATAAGATGTAACATGTTGGTAATCTTCGTCAAAGTTGACAAAGCCTATGTTTTTCATAATTATTCCAACAAAAAGCATTCCGATGAGCGCTGGTAGCGTAGTAAGTTTCATTAATAACATGCCTCCAAAATACGCGACGATAGTTAGTATCGACAACATAAACAACTGTCCACCAGGTGCTGCCGTGTCGCCCATAATGATCCATATAGTCACCCAGACCAAAATTCCTGATAAGACACACGACATCATACAAGAACTTAATTAAAATTTATTATTCGAACACAATTTACACATAAATAGAAAAAGGCTTGCATATGTTTCTACAATAAATGGGGTACAAGGTATACCTAAATATAGGGTCATTTCCTAGCAAGCGAGTTTAGTAATTATTTTGCTTCGAGAGGACTTGCATTTAACATGTGGCTGAGAATATTTAAAATATTATATAACTTACCAATAATTAATACTGAAATATTTTGTGCGAATTGTCGGTAGGATGGACATAGTGGAAAAGGGCAGACTTTCTGCCAATTCGGTGGTTCCCACGAAGGAATCCCGGAATCCTCTGTATGACACTTCGCACAACAAGCGTACCACCAAGACCTGTACAAAACGGAATCTCTGATATAAAAATTCAAAATATTTCGAGTAAATTATATTAAGTTTATAAGTGAGTATTTAAGTTTATAAATAAGTATTTATTTATGTAAAGTTTAAAAAAAATGCCAACTGATTGGTATTTCCATAGTATTGTCTATGTCTTAATATGAGCAAATACGCAAAAATTGAATGTTTTTCGGCGTAAGCCAAGCAGCAACCAAACACGAGCGTAACAGCAACGGCTTAAATGTTAGACAGATTCTAAAATGAAAGAATAAAAGCTTTGCCTCATCTATGAAGTATTCCTAAGTTTTTTTTATAATAGACAGTTTATTTTGTAACCAACATGTTTTACGAGCCATGTAATAAAAACATCGTTTTACAACATATAGCAGGTAACATCTAACAGGTTTAAACTTTCAGTTTTAAATTGATTATTACAATGTAAGGTTTATGTATAAAAAGTATAAAATTACCTTTCTATGTATTCACTTTGCTGTGAAATTGCTTTCTTTGAGTAGACAGAGGATGTGGTGGAATATTTCTTAAATCTGCCTTCGATGTGTCCCTGCCGATCTGTGTTCAAGAGACCAACGTTAGAAGTCGAATGCTAGTTAGAAATGTTTATCGATCAAATTGCTACTGGGAACAAGTAATAGTTCATGACACCTGCTATTCCTACACCATACAATAGTTCTTGCTACTTGACCTTGTCGTAGCTATTTCTATAGAGTATTGCCTCATTAATTATGAAAACAGAGAAAAATTGTAACAATTTTTTATAGTTTTTAAGGTCATCTTCGTTTCAGTCGCTTGTACGTTAGCAATTCTATCCAATAACAGGTGGTTGATGCCTTTGAATGAATTATTTGCATTATTTAAGATGAAAATTTGAGCGTGATGAGACTATAAACTTAATTGCTGAATTTGTGTAGAGCCTCTGTAGGGACCCTCTTGTTGGAAACCATGATTATGGCCATGATGCGGTGTGAGAAAGTGTGTTCTGCGAGAAAATTATGTATGCTTAAGAAACACCGGAAAAGTAACCGGTAACAGTAGATATGCTAGGGTTTTTTTTCCGAAGTTGCACCCTAGTTTTATAAGTTATAAGTAACCCAATCTTGTCGTTGAACTTGCTGTGGTGACAAAAGCTAATAAATGATACACATGGGAATTCCATACGACTAAAAAAGGGAGCATTACCCCAAGAGTTATCCATATCTCCTGCCATGACATTGTGAAGATTGCTTTTGCGCCGCGAAGGCCCTTCCGCTTTAGCTGATACATTGCCATTCCTGTTAATGAGAATAAAAAATGCATATTAATAAATTAAAACACTGTCGTTGACAAGTAGAAATATTTTCCAATGATATTAAATCAACCTTATGTGTACAGTCGCTAATAAAAACATCCTTAGGTTTACAAACAATTAGCCACATCCTTCGGTATGTCACAGTGCAGCCCGAGTATCTAAATTGTAATGAACATCTAAACACACCTATATAGGTATGTGTATATATCGTAACAAGTTAGAAAATTAAACTGTAAGTCATTACGATCATGTTCGTAATTAAATCTATCAATTCATTATAAATCTAAAAATATAGCTGAGAATTAAAGCATCTACTTTCTTTTTCTTACTTAAATTACCCATCTTTCTAGTTTTAAGCATGACGTCGGTGGCATGCTGGTGTTATTTAATTTTCAATCAAAATTCATTTGCGTGCTTTTTTCAAATTTTTAGCAAGTGTAAAAAAAAAGTTCTATGCTCAGGAGAAGAACGCTGTTTAATGGATGAACCTAGAGTATCCGTCCTTTACTATGCATCCTATTCGTTCTTGACATAGTGTGTGTTAAAACCTTATGATGATCTTTTGTCATAGGTAATGTGTAACAGTGTTACTTATATTGTAAGAACGGGTTGCAACTGATCTTGCCTGGCAGACCACGGCCAAACGATGTTCGGAAATATATTTACTTTCATTAAACGACACGAATTAATAGTTGCTTTTATAATTTAGGTTGTCTTTGTTTTGCTGAAACTGAACTATATTTTGCAGCATCTGGTCATCTTTGCAGCATGCACATACACATATCCGATTTATTACTCAATATTAAAGTGAAACCAATTCATCCGCATGCACTGCATGCATGCACCAACTTCGTCCGCATGGTGGTCGTCATCAGACATCGTAGAGGATATAATGAATCAAGATTAAATTAAATTTTAAAACTAAACAAACTAATTTACAAACAAAATTTATTTCCCTACGGTATTAATGAATGCTAAACTTTTACAGTGAGTTTTAAAGTATAAAAATTTATATTTCAAGTCAAATCATACACTTAAAATTAAAAAAGTTTGCACGCCTCATTACGCAAGTAGAGGAATGTAAAATTTGTAATGCTTAAAGTTATTACTTCTAAAAAACCAGACTACTCAATTATGAGTCTAAAAGAAATGTTATACCTAGTACTTGGACACTAAAACTTTAATGTAGGTACATAAAGCTAAGCTAAGTTTATTACTTAGCACAACAAGGGACCGTATTAAATCCTCTGGCAGTGTTGCAAGAGTGAAAAGGGCAGTTGCAGAAGCTACACATTTTAAAATATCGGTTATTACAGTGTCATAAATTACGCTTTAAAACATCAGAGTTTTCATAAAAATAATAGTTATCGATTTCATTGTTAATGTTTAGAACGTAAACAATAAACGTAAACAACAAACAATAATACGTAAACGGTTAGAACGTAAAAAATGTTTAGAACCATACTTGGTTTTACTACTATTGAAACGTCATCGCGTCATATCGCTGGCACGGGCGCGAATAATGTGATAGCCAACCTGCACAACTGTGCTCATAAAACACCTTTAGAAAAAACCTTTTCGAGAAGATAAGTTATTAAACCTATTAGAACAATAGGCCTTTACTGAAATTTATAACGTAAATACTTAACTACGTTTGGCTATACTCAATTAGCTTAACTGGTACTGTTCTACTGATTGTACATATCTATTATGGTAGTCCTACCTGCCTCTAGAGGGCATCAAGAACCTTCACATTGCTTTGCTTTGAAATGAAACTAAATTATGTATAATATCTATCTAACAATGACAATAGTAAGTAAACATACCTACTCGATTGGAATTACCTTGGAAGTAAAACATTCCTAATATATTTAAAATTGTAACCCTAAGCAGAATGTTCAATATTTACTTCCAATGAATAATAATTGTAATTATAAAACAGTAGGTATTCCTGTACAGAAGTTGTTGTTGATAAGATATTAATTATACCCGGGATCCATTCTGTCGCCCCGCGGTGCATGTCATTTTATTGGCGAATATGTATTCTATTTACTAGGCAACATATTTTATCTTATAACCCCCTGCAACTGCATTGCTCTTAATGATTTTACAAAAAAAGTACAACAATGTGGTCTCTAGAAGTCTAGACGAGCACACGCGTTACACTCACGGTCCGCGCCAGTCGCGAGACGACCGTCTTGGACTGGTGTAAACAATTGCGTCTAAGCACCTTTAAGAAAAACCGAAACGTTATTTATTATGCGCCCACGTGGTGCCTCTTTTTTTTTTTTTTTTTTTTTTCCGTGCGGAAATCCCCTCGGATACCACCTCTCGGTGGCATGTCGGACTCGAACCGACTAAAACCGCACGCCTTCGCCGGGTACTAATAGCCGGGGAACCAGGTATACCCTAGAAAGGAAGGCCCTGGTGCCCCGACATACCTCGGGTCATCTACAGACGAGTAGACGACCCCCGCCCCGTGTGGGAACCCCATGTTCCCTGTGCTCCCTGGAAGCGAGCGCGCTTCGCAACGCGCTCGCCGCCACCCCGGCCTGCTTCTGCTAGGGTGACAGATGGCCTCACCTGTCACCCCCAGGCCTGCGCTTATGGAGGACGAAGGTCGTTCTGCGACCTCCGGCGCCTGAGTCGCCTGCGCAGCCTGGCCCGTGCCCGGGCCTGGCGGGCCGGGAGAGTTCTAAACCTCTCCCGGTCCCGCTCCGCCGTCTCCTTCGCGAGCATAACTTGCTCGCAGAAGGAGACGGCAGAGTTCCACGCACTCTCGCTCCGCACGATAGCCGCAATCAGGCTATCGAGCGAGAGAACTCCCACTCCGATGGCCGCCACGAGGTCTCGCCTCTGCTCAACCCACGCCGGGCACTCTGCCAGCGTGTGGAGAGCCGTGTCCACGGTCTGGCCATCGCAGTGGTGGCACTCAGGCGTTGGCTCCTTGCGGATCAGACACAGGTGATCTCCGAAACATCCCTTCCCAGTGATCACCTGCGTCAATCGGTATGAGAGGGTCCCGTGACGCCTCTCGAGCCAATCCTCCATAACGGGTCTTACCGCCGCAATGACGGCGTGCCCGGCGCTCGGTTGCCCGAGTCGTTCCCTCCACTCCCCTATGATGACCTGGCGGAGTTGGGATTTCCGGTCATCGATTTCTCGAATCTCGGGGTATCGACCCAACTCCTGCGCCTCCTTGCGCCACTGATACAGTGCTGCAAGGGCTCTCGCCTCCAGGTCCCACGGTGGAGTTCCGGCCAGGAGACTCGCCGCCTCGAAGGAGATCGTGCGGTACCCCCTTATGATCCTGATGGCCAGCATTCGCTGCGGTCGCCGCAGTATCGCGACGTTGCTGGCCTTCAGGGCCCCCGCCCATACTGGGCACCCGTAAAGGGCCATGGACCGCACAACCCCCGAGTAGAGTCTCCGGCAGGAGTCATCGGGTCCCTTCATGTTGGGCAGCAGCCGCGCCAACGCACGCGCTGCCCCAACCAACTTGGGGACCAGACCTCGGAAATGATATCCGAAGTCCCATCGGCCATCGAGTACGAGCCCCAGATACCTGATCGAGGGCTCGATGCCGATGCGAGTGTCTCCTACCGTGAGGCTAGATCCCTCAGGCGGCTTCCTCCGAAGCCCGTGGAAGAACAGGGCCTCGGACTTGTGCAGAGCCACCTCGAGACCCAGCCGCCGGATACGCTCAACGACTTGGGCAACCCCGGCCGTGGCCCTCAGGGTTGCCTCGTGGTGCGTCTTGCCGCGCGCCGTCACGCGAGCGCCTCTGCGGCTTGTGCCGACTTTGGGAGCCGAGGCTTCATCGCTCGAGGCCGACTCCAATTGCCTCTTCAGGCCCAGGCGAAGCGAGCGCCTTTTGCGCTTTGGAGTACTCCTCTGGTGCTGCTCCACAGCTGAGACCATAGGGGTACTCGCTCCGCTCCTCTCCGAGGCAGTGTCGGTGTTCGACACTATCTCCATGTTTCTTGCGTCCTCCGCGTAATTTCGGTTGCCGGATTTACTGCTCGGCAACGGGCAGGTTAGACAAAGGTTGCTCCCCCCAGAGTACGTTTGGGAGCTGCCGGAGCCGTCTGGCTCCGGGAGGGATTCTCCAGACGCAGTGCGTCTAGTACCCTCCTGGGTAGATTTATCAATCTTTGGGCCCATGTCATAATGTTAAGTTTAACGTCCTTCGACGGGGACGCCTTCGGCACTGGACTCCCTCCAGTGACTCAGCCCCTTGCCAGGCGTCAGAACGTGGGCTTAGAGCATTTTTTATAGAGGTTTACGTCCTCGCGGATCCGAAGATCCACCGGTCCTGTCCATTCAGGATTACGGCTGGGCCGGACGGGGTCTGCACCAGACCGGGTCCGTCCGCCCCAGGGTTTTTTATAGAGGTTGCCTTCCTCGTAGCCCTCGAAGAGCCGTCATTCCTGACCGTTGCCAGTCAGGGTTACGACATGGCCGGACGGTGGTCTGCGTCAGACCAGTGTCCCCCACCTCTGGACAGAGCCAGCTGCAGTGGACCCGTCCGCCCCCAGCCCGCTCTCCCCTATGCCCTCTGCCAAACAGAGGGACACGCGGAATGCGGCCCTCCGAACAGCCCTTGACGGGCCGTTCCCACCTCGGCCGGAATTGGCCGCAGGCGGCAGCGCCTCCCCCACCTAGGGAGAGAGGCGCTGCCGTCTCCGTTGCCCAGGGTGCACCACAAGGAGGTTCCGGACCACGCACCCCGCCCACGTGGTGCCTGAGATAATAGATGCAGTTTTTGTTGTTATAAAATAAATATGTATGTCTGTGCGTAAGTTACTAGAATTTATAAAATTAAACATTTTAATGTATACGGTTGCGCAGTTATATGCTGCTTAAAAACATACCTAATACAACGAGGCAATGGCAAGTACGAGTATGTGTGTTGGCGTCACTTCACAATAAATAAAAGTAAATTAACATACCTAAATGTGACAAGCGGGTTGGTAACAGGGA